GCATTTTGAATGCCTTAAGAGCCTCAGGACTCAAAAACCGAGGATTAGTACCCTTCTTGATCATCTTGGTGATAGGGCAATAATGGTTTTTAATGATGTTTTTAATGAACTTTCTATAGTAGTTTGCAAAGCCTACAAACCTTTGGATGGCTTTGAGTCCTTGTGGGAGCAGCCAGGACATGATAGCTTCCAATTTTGAGGGGTCCATACTAAAACACTCTTCTGAAATGATATACCCCAAGAACTGCACAGATGTCTGATTGAAGAGACATTTCTCCAGTTTGCAATACAGACCGTTCTGTAGCCGTTTCTCTAGTACAAGCCTAATGTGTTTGTGGTGGGTTTTGAGGACTGGGGAATATATGAGAATGTCGTCCAGGTATACTATAGCACATACGTGCAGAAGATCCCAGAGGACATCATTAATCAATTCCTGAAAGACCGCCAGGGCATTACAGAGCCCAAACGGCAGTGCCACATTCTCATAATGTCCACTGTGAGTGTTGAAAGCTGTTTTCCACTCATTGTTCTCTTTTATTCTCACTAGATTATAAGCACCCCGGAAATTGAGTTTGGTAAAGTATCTGAAACCTTTAGAAGCAGCCTAAAGGAAGAAGCCTGCCCCTGCAAGAGAGGAGGATTTCCTAATGAAGCCATTTCTTAGGGAGTCTCGTATCTATTCCTCAATAACTTTGTTCTCCTTCTCGGAGAGTGGGTAGACACTCCCCTATGGATGCATAGTACCTGGTAAAAGATTTATAGCACAGTCATAGGGATGATGCGGAGGTAATTTGTCAGCCTCCTTCTTCTCAAAGACCTGTACTAGGTTAGCATATTGGGGAGGAACAGAAGTAGATTAGAGCGGTCTGGTGGTCTTTGCAAGAGGGGATTAATTCATAACACCCAAGGCCGACCCCTCATTAGGTCTTAGGGTTTAGGGGGTTAGAGACAAGAAGCATAGTTAGGGTCAAAGCCAAATTATAGAAGTTGAGAAGTTTTACCGGGAACAGGAAATCAGGAACCAGGAACAAGAATTTGGAACCAGGATCAGTAACAGGAGACTGGAGCAGCACCAAGACAACCAAGCACTGTCTAAGTGCAGTGCTTGGATTTTTATAGGAAGAGTCCATCACATGATTGGCTCCCACCACCTGCACGCTGGATGTCCAATGCCAATAAAGGAGGGGAGGAGACTATTCACCATCTTGGCCATTTCCCAGTCCCTTCCCTCTATCTGTCCTAAATGGCCTCCCACCGGCCCTCCCAAGCCCTCCTGCCTGCTCTGCCATCTTGCTGGTATCTTGCACCGAGAAGCAGCGAGGAGAGCCAAAGTAAAGCAATAGAATGTGTTGGAACAGAGCTGCAAGAGCCTGAGGCACCTGAGATCAGCCTCCAGGACGCTGCTGGCGCAGCCGAGAATGTAAGTGCCGGCTGTGAGGAATGTGACATATGCAAAAGTAGGACAGGGTTCATAAGGCACTCCCAACTTCCTCCCTGCTAACCAAGTAGATTATCACAATCAGATCTGTCACATGGGAACTGTAGCTCCAGCCTACAGTATACTATACAGTATGGCTCCAGCCTACAGTATACTGGAAGGTAGGCATAGGGTTACATAATGTCCCTTAATATTATTTGTCCATATAGCACAACTGAATCCCCACATTTGTTTGCTAAGATAGGTGATTTTCAGTAGCCTTGTTAGATTTAAAGCTGATTTTTTTGTGTGCACTGCTCCTTAATCTACATTTTGTATATATGTTGGTCTTTACAGCAGCACCACTACTTAGAGCTCCATGTTCCGGGTGTGCCCCCAATTCCCTTTTACTGTGTATATTTGGAATCCAGATCAGATTGCTTTTGGTTTGAGCACCTTCTTAGTATTGCAGTTAGCATGTTCAACTCCCATGTTAAAATTAGTGTAGGACCCACCGATATTGGAGTACTCTGACAATTAAGTATTTTGTCCATAACAGTATGGTGGGAATAAATTCCCATATTTTGTTTGCTAAGATAATATTTAGAACTGTATGTTTATGTTTGTGAGCTGTGTCTGTATTTTATATCATATCCCTCTTGTGGCAGAAATTTTAAATTTGAAATAGGCAGAAGACCATTTCTAAAACAGAAATGAGAAAGTGGCTTTTTTTTGTATGTATTCAATTAAAAAAAAATATTCCTTACAGCTTTTAGCAACATACATTTTGACAATTTAGGGAAAATGAGATGTAATTTCAATGATACATTTTCAGCATTATTTTCTACTTGAGAATAAGCCATTGCTTTAATGTGTCGGAGATGGGCAGATTACATGGAGATGGGATTCTACCTGCTGTTCTAGTCAGTGTTTCTGTATAATAAATATTGCATTGTTTTGTTAGGTTAGATTTCTGCTAGATAGATTGGATGGAAGTATTGGCTCTGGTGACATCATGCTGCAGAATAAGCAGGAGAAACAAAACAAAAAAAAAAAAATCACAAAGAGGTCGCTGATCAAATTTTTTACAGCAACATTATTTGATGGAGATGTCACTAATGCTTTAAATGGGGGGTGACCAGTGAAAGAGGGAGGGGTGACCAGTGACAGAGGGAGGGGTGACTAGGGACAGAGTGAGGGAGGTGGTGACTAGTGACAGTCACCACCTCCCTCACTCTGTCACTAGTCACCACCTCCCTCCGTCACTGTGTCACCCCCTCCCTCACTGTCACCAGTCATCCCCTTACTCTGTCACTAGTCACCCCTCCCTCACTCTGCCACTAGTCACCCCTTCCCTCACTCCCTCACTCTGTCACCTGTCACCCCCTCACTCTGTCACTAGTCACCCCCTCACTCTAGTGACAGAGAGAGGGAGGGTGTGACTAGCGACAGTGAGTAAGGGTGTGACTAGTGACAGAGAGAGGGAGGGTGTGACTAGTGACAGTGAGTAAGGGTGTGACTAGTGACAGAGAGAGGGAGGGTGTGACTAGTGACAGTGAGTAAGGGTGTGACTAGTGACAGTAAGGGTGTGACTAGTGACAGAGAGAGGGAGGGTGTGACTAGTGAGAGTGAGGGAGGTGGTGATTAGTGACAGAGGGAGGAATGGGGTGACTATCACTGTGTCACCCCCTTCCTCACTCTGTCACTAGTCACCCACTCCCTCCCTCACTCGGTCACTAGTCACCCCTCTCTCACTCTGTCACCAGTCATTCCCTCACTCTGTCACCAGTCATCCCTTCCTTCCCTCACTCTGCCACTAGTCATCCCTTCCCTCACTCTGTCACCAGTCATCCCCTCACTCTATCACCAGTCACCCCTTCCTTCACAGTGACAGAGTTAGGGAGGGAGTGACTAGTGACAGAGAGAGGGATGGGGTGACTAGTGACAGAGTGTGGAAGAGGGTGACTAGGGACAGAGGGGGTGATTAGTGACAGAGTGAGGGAGGGGGTGACAGTGACAGAGTTAGGGAGGGAGTGACTAGTGACAGTCACTCCCTCCCTCTGTCACTAGTCACTCCCTCCCTCTGTCACTAGTCACTCCCTCCCTCTGTCACTAGTCACTCCCTCCCTCTGTCACCAGTCATCCCCTCACTCTGTCACCAGTCACCCCTTCCCTCCCTCACTCTGCCACTAGTCACCCATTCCCTAACTCTGTCACTAGTCACCCCCTCTCCCTCCCTATGTCACTAGTCACCCCCACTCACTGTGTCTCCCCCTCACTCTGCCACCACTCAACCCCTCCCTCCCTCCCTCCCTCACTCTGCCACCAGGTACCCCCTCACTCTGCCACCTGTCACAACCTCCCACACTCTTCCACCTGTCACCTTCTCCCTCACACACTGTCACCTGTCACATATGCATTCACACATACACTATATACAAAAAAGCACATGTAGTCATCCCGACATGCACAAGTGCATTCACACAGACTCAAATACAAACATGCATTGATACACAGGTCTTCACAATATACACATCCAAAGGAATGCTGTATTATGAGTTATATTTAACATTTATTTAATGCACATATATTTGGCCTTCAAAGGGCCTGGGATCTAATTTTGCCCGGGGGCCCCAAAGGCTCTCAGTCCGCCCCTGTTTATCAATAATGTAAATAGTAGGGGGCCGAGAATGGAACCTTAGGGAACACCACACGTCACTGGGAAAGGAAGGGAGTGGCTGTCAGAAATGGACACATATTGTGATCGATCCTATACATACGATCAAAATCAGGTTAGCAGTAGAGGATGAATAAAATGAAATTCAAACGTTCACCTTTTTTAGATATATTGTGTATTAGTTACTTATTATGTGCAGAGAATAAAATTTGCAAAATTGAAAGAATATTACATGAAATATTATCCCCTTTGTCCTCTCATTTTCCAATCCTTTTTTGAACCATTAGGAGTGTAAGCTCCGAGGGCTTCTTGTTTTTTTTTGCTGTGGTACCCAAATTAGTCATAGGTGGTGTAGATTGCCAATCCAGCTTCCACTGCTTCATCTTGGCTGGGCTTCATTCATTATCTACCAGCTGTGATTCCACATGTTATGCTGCCATTTAAAGCATTAGTGACATCTCCATCAAATAATGTTGCTGTAAAAAATTTGATCAGCGACCTCTTTGTGATTTTTTTTTTTTTGTTTTGTTTCTCCTGCTTATTCTGCAGCATGATGTCACCAGAGCCAATACTTCCATCCAATCTATCTAGCAGAAATCTAACCTAACAAAACAATGCAATATTTATTATACAGAAACACTGACTAGAACAGCAGGTAGAATCCCATCTCCATGTAATCTGCCCATCTCCGACACATTAAAGCAATGGCTTATTCTCAAGTAGAAAATAATGCTGAAAATGTATCATTGAAATTACATCTCATTTTCCCTAAATTGTCAAAATGTATGTTGCTAAAAGCTGTAAGGAATATTTTTTTTTAATTGAATACATACAAAAAAAAGCCACTTTCTCATTTCTGTTTTAGAAATGGTCTTCTGCCTATTTCAAATTTAAAATTTCTGCCACAAGAGGGATAAGGTCACACCCTTACTCACTGTCACTAGTCACACCCTCCCTCTCTCTGTCACTAGAGTGAGGGGGTGACTAGTGACAGAGTGAGGGGGTGACAGGTGACAGAGTGAGGGAGTGAGGGAAGGGGTGACTAGTGGCAGAGTGAGGGAGGGGTGACTAGTGACAGAGTAAGGGGATGACTGGTGACAGTGAGGGAGGGGGTGACACAGTGACGGAGGGAGGTGGTGACTAGTGACAGAGTGAGGGAGGTGGTGACTGTCACTAGTCACCACCTCCCTCACTCTGTCCCTAGTCACCCCTCCCTCTGTCACTGGTCACCCCCTGTCACTAGAGTGAGGGGGTGAACAGTGACAGAGTGAGGGAAGGGGTGACTAGTGGCAGAGTGAGGGAGGTGGTGACTGTCCCTAGTCACCACCTCCCTCACTCTGTCACTAGTCACCACCTCCTTCTGTCACTAGCCACCCCCTCCGTCCCTTACCCTGTCACTAGTCACCCCTAACTCACTCTGTCACTAGTCGTTCCCCTCTCTCACTCTGTCACCAGTCATTCACTCACTCTATCACCAGTCACCCCTTCCTTCCCTCACTCTGCCACTAGTCACCCTTTCCCTCACTCTGTCACCAGTCATCCCCTCACTCTAGTGACAGAGTGAGGGAGGGTGTGACTAGTGACAGAGTGAGGGAGGGTGTGACTAGTGAGGGAGGGGGTGACTAGTGACAGAATGAGGGAGGGGGTGACTAGTGACAGAGGGAGATGGTGATTAGTGAGGGAGGGGGTGACTAGTGACAGAATGAGGGAGGGGGTGACTAGTGACAGAGGGAGATGGTGATTAGTGACAGAGTGAGGGAGGTGGTGACTGTCACTAGTCAACCCATCCTTCCCTCTGTCACTAGTCACCCACTCCCGCACTCTCACTAGTCACCCCTCCCTCTGTCACTGTGTCACCCCATCCCTCCCTCTGTCACTAGTCACCCTCTCCCTCACTCTGTCACTAGAGTAAGTGGGTGACTAGTGACAGAGTGAGGGAGGGGGTGAATAGTGACAGAGTAAGGGAGGGAAGGGGTGACAGAGTGAGTGAGGGAAGGGGTGACTAGTGACAGAGTGAGGGAGGGGGTTACTAGTGACACAGTGGGGGGGTGACTAGTGACAGTAGGGGGGTGACTAGTGACAGTGACGGGGGTGACTAGTGACACAGTGAGGGGGTGACTAGTAACACAGTAGGTGGGTGACTAGTGACAGTGGGGGGGTGACTAGTGACAGTGAGGAGGTGACTAGTGACAGTGAGGGGGGGGTGACTAGTGACAGTGAGGGGTGACTAGTGACAGTGAGGGGGGGTTACTAGTGACAGTGGGGGGGTTACTAGTGACAGGGGTGACTAGTGACGGGGTGACTAGGTAACAGTGGGGGTGACTATGGACAGGGGGTGACTAGTAACAGTGGGGTGACTAGTAACAGTGGGGCAAGTGACTAGTGACAGGGAGGTGACTAGTAACAGTGCGGGGTGACTAGTGACAGGGGGTGACTAGTAACGGTGGTGGGGTGACTAGTAATGCATGGGGTGACTAGTGACAGGGGGTGACTAGGGGTGACAGGGGGTGACTAGTAACAGTGGGGGGCAAGACTAGTAACAGTGGGGGCCGACTAGTAACAGGGGTGACTAGTGACAGGGGGTGACTAGTAACAGTGGGGTGACTTAGTGACAGGGGGTGACTAGTAACAGTGGGGGCACTAGTGACAGTAAGACTAGTAACAGGTGACTAGTGACAAGTAATTAGTAACAGTGGGGGGTGACTAGTGACAGGGGGGGGTGACTAGTGACGGTGGGGTGACTAGTAACAGGGGGGGGGTGACTAGTAACAGTGGGGGGTGACTAGTGACAGGGGTGACTAGTAACAGTGGGGGTGACTAGTAACAGTGGGGTGACTAGTAACAGTGGGGGGGGTGACTAGTGACAGGGGTGACTAGTAATAGTAGGGGTGACTAGTGACAGGGGGGGCTTACTCAGTGACGGGATGACTAGTAACAGGTGTGGGGGTGACTAGTAACAGTGGGGTGACTAGTAACAGGGGGGTGACTAGTGACAGTGGGGGGTGACTAGTGACAGGGTGACTAGTGACAGGGGGTGACTAGTAACAGTGGGGGGGGTGACTAGGTGACAGGGGGTGACTAGTGACAAGTGACTAGTAACAGTGGGGGTGATTAGGACGGGGGAGGGGGGTGATTAGAGCCTACCTGTGCTTCCTCTGCTCTCCCTGGCTGCTGCTCCTTCCCCTCGCTGGGCTCTGTGTGAGAGGAGTAAACAGGAAGTGAGGTCACTTCCTGGCCCCGCCTCTCCCATCACACAGAGCACCGCGGGACTGGGAGAAGGAGACCTGGCAGAGAGCTGCTGAAGCTGCCAGGTCTCATGGGGGGGGGTGATTTACAGGGCGGTAGGTTGTGGGGCCACCGATATGCCCGAGTGGTCAGTCCGCCCCTGTTGATAAATGATCTGCCGAATGTCTGCAAATCCTCAAATGTACACATGTACGCAGGCGACACAGTTATCTATGCAAGCAAATCCAATCTACCGCAGCTTGAGGCTGTGCTCCAAGACTAGTTCACAGAGGTAGAAAAGTGGATCACAAAAACCAAACTCTCCCTAAACACTGACACAACGATCTTTGGAACAGTACCCAAATTACACAAAGTATACAATTCCCACCTATCCATCAAAACAAATTCAAATAGCACACTGACCGCAGTCCATTCTTTTAAATACTTGGGTATGTTGTTAGACTCCAATCTATCTTTTGGCCTCCACATAGAAAAACTTGCATCTAAACTTTATCCAAAACTAGGTGCCCTGTACAGAAACAAATCCTGCCTAAGCACTACAGTAAAGGAAAAGATTGTACAGCAAATGCTGATGCAAGTCATTGATTATAGGGATGTAGTATATGCACCTGCACCGCAATCCCACATTAATAAACTCAATACATTGCATAAATTGTTCTGCCGATTTGCACTACAATGTAATTATAGGACCCACCCTTCATATTTCCAGCCTTGTGTTTAAGAGCTTTTATGGAAAGCTCACCCCGGCTGTTTCCACCTCCTATAACCTCCGATCCGGTACTAGCACTCTATTTAGTCTACCTCAATACAAAAAGAAACTAGCTCGATCCTCCTTTTCCTACAGAGCACTGAAATTATGGAACGACCTTCCGCACACTTGCAAATCTTCCCCAAGCCTAAAGTCCTTTAAGAGATCCATCTCTACATACCTCAAAACAGAATGCACCTGTCGTAGTCAATTATATGTTTCTTACCATGTTAAATTTTGTATATTTTGTGTATTAATCTTGTTTTTGTATTTAATTGTACCCTATTGTATCAATGCAATGTTTTGTAAAACCAGGACATACTTGATAACAAGAGAAATCTCAATGTATCCTTCCTAAAAATATTTTATAAAAAAATAAATAAATAATAACTAAACATAATTAGATTTAAAATTAGTTTCAAATGTTTCCTTTTCTTATCGATTTCTGCTATGAAACAGTAGGGGTACATATTGTGGCCCAGTTGCTCTAATTGTCACATTTTCACTTTCTACAAAATTCCAATTTGTTACCACTTAAAGTGTCTAATGGTCACACTGTGTTTGCCTACTAGACTTTTTGTTTTGGTCCAGACTGCAATTTGGATGTATTTGTGCCAAACTGGTGTTCTGCTGAATTCCCAAATCCTGAGCTGAAATATACCAGAATCACGGCCCAACGCCAAATATACCGGCTCGGTTCTTAATCCATACAGACAGGCACACTGCATCTCCAGCACACACACTGCATCCCCAGTACATCCCCAGCACACACACAGACACACACTGTATCCCCAGCACACACACTGCACGCTCAGCACACATACACCCAATTGCAACTCCAGCACACACACACACACATATATGCTGCATCCCCAGCACACACACTGCATCCCAAGATCAAACACAGAAACACTGCATCCCATGCAAAGAAACGAGACAGCCTTATGGTGAGAAAACACCCATCACTGTTTCAGAGTGGAGCGCTATATTAAATATGCATTTTCCCCTTATTGGGGATGTGTAATATTGTAATAACGTAGCTGGAGAATTATGGAGAACTACAAAAAGAAAAAAAGAAAGGAACAATGGTGTGTATCTTTAAACACTTATGTGGGTATAAAGTAGTAATGGTCACACTCACATGGAATTGAGCCAGCAAGACATGCTCAAATCATCACCGTGTCCAGAGCAAAAGACACCTGGCTCTGGGTATATACACTTGTGTGTCTTTAAGGGGACACTACCCTTTTTGGAAGCATCTAAATAGTATGCTCAAAGGACTTTTAAAATAATTTATTGACCATAGGCACGGGGCGAGGGGATTCGCCAGTCTGTGGGAGGGCAGGCTGGCTTACAGAAAATGTCAATAGCACAGCCCGGCCATTTCATTTCACTTCAAGTTAATTATGTTAATTTTCGGCTGTAATGTTCTCTTTACTTTTAACTTATAAAATGTAAACCTCTGATAGAATGTGAACACGTCATTTAACACTGTTTGAAGTAATACATGCCTTAACAATATGACCTTCCTTTCTGTAACTCAAAAGATACATGTATTGTGATTTGGCTTTTGCACAAGCCTTCATTGTCGAACTGCTGCATTTTCGGTCAGTGCAAAAATAAAGAATTTTAAAAAATAATGAAGTAAACAATTTATTGAAACAAATTTAAAAACAAATGTTGAATAAAATACTTTGTTCAATAGAAATTACAGTCCAAGAGCGCTTCTCCATCTGAGGCGCATTTCGCCCACCTAATGGGCTTTCTCAATCGGGTTCATTGATTTCAAATTCTGTCTGGTTTAAATTTGCCCCTCGTTCCTGTTGATTACTGAATTCTAGTTGTAGCCAATTCAGTGATGCTGTTTTGAGGGAGGGTATTCTATCAGCTGATGAAGTCTTTCATTCATCAAGGATTGGAAGTGACGCGGCAAGCTGTGTCACATCACTTCCTATTACCAAATCTCATTTTATTTCCTGGCACTCAGACCCGCTGCCTGAGGGCGGAAGTGATGTTACGATTTAATGAATGATGAATGTCACTTCCGCCCTCAGTCAGCTGGTCCAAGTGCCAGGAAATAAAATGCATCCCCTGCGCACACACAGACACACTGCATCCCCTGCACACAAATAGACACACTGCATCCCCAGCACACATACATACACACACACTGCATCCCCAGCACACACAGTCACACTGCATCCCCAGCACACACAGTCACACTGCATCCCCAGCACACACATAGACACTCTTCATCCACTATGTTTTAGTGGCATGGTTTGAAGGGGGCAGCATTTCATCCTTTGACTCAGGCAGCACAATGTCTTGGGCCAGCCCTGACCAGAGGTTCCTAGTGACACTCCTGCTTCAAGGCATTATGAATAATTTAGTTGACAGATGATCCCAGAGCCAAAGTTAACCATACATTACAGCTAATACCAGTTTGAATTCAAGGTAACTTCAAGATAACATGTATTCAGTATTTAAATTTTATTACATAAATTTATTTGAGAATGAAAAGTTTTTTTATATTTTTAAGACATACATTAAATTTTTCTTCCAGGTAGATTGCATTAATACAATAAAATGATGGCTGTATTAGTTTCTGTTATTCTAGATAAGCTAATGCATCTTAATCAACAAGGAGAGGTCAACATTTAGTCTGTATATTAAGTAAACATAATCATTATGATTGGCTCGGAGTAAAGAAACAGCTGCGTTTGTTTGCAGAGCTGACATTTTTTCAAAGCAACTTTCTTCTTTTCCAGTAGATATTTTTTCTCATTAAAATAAAGTCCTAAAAGATAACACAAACAAACAAGTATTAGCTAAACAAAACATGATTTACTTTTAATTTGTTTTTACTTAATAAAATGTGCGTTTGGAAAACGGTATGGTAAGATTGACAGATTGAAATAAAATTACAGCCTCAGAGAATCCACTTATTACACAGTACACATTTTAAAAAGAAAAAGAAAAGAAAGTATAAAAAATATCAGCAAATCAGAAAAAAGAGACTAAGAGCATGCAGGGGGTCCAGTCATAGTTAATTCCAGTACAGAGCACTACCAAAATGTTTTAAAAACTTTAACTAAAATGAATGGAAAATTCTAATTGCTGAAAAAGCAAACCACACACACACACACCACACACACACAAAAAAAACACATAAATAGATACATTATCTGGATTATGTGTACAAATCACACAGTCAGTCTTCCATTAAAATCATAATATTAGCACAGAGTTCATTTGTCTTGCTGTGAACGTTTGCAAACACAGATGGGGAATCTTGATAAAACAGATTATATTATCTACATTTTCTGCGACACTCAGACAGTTTTTCGTATAGAGGAGCAGGGGGTCAGATTAACGTAGAGTCTATTGGAGCAGAAGCTCCAGGATAATGCGTTGCAAAAAGCCCAAATTGCCTAACTTTCTTTAATATGATGTTTATTTTTCTGTAAAAAAAGGATCTATAGCATAAGGTAACTTTAGCACTACAAAGTTGTATAATGACATACAAGTGTTTACTCTTGAAGTGTTACCTTGTACACTTTGCTATCCAATTGGATTTCTCTTTGCCTCCGCCTGTATGTGACCAAGTTTCTAGTTTATAAATGCACTTGGTGTGGAGTTATATATAAGTAGCTTTTAAAGGGACACTAAGTACCAAAGCAACTTTAGCTTAATGAAACAGTGTTCGTGTATGGAGCATGTCCCCGCAACCTCACTGCTCAAATTCTCTAGCATTTAAGAGTTAAATCACTGTGTTTAGTTACATCTGTGCTGGTTAAGGCTTACACACCCCCCTCTCCCACCCCCCAAAAAATAAAGGTATCATTTTTACAGCACAGTATGTTTATTTTAGAGGTTTTTATCTCCTGCTCTGTTAATTAAACTTTAACCAAGCACAGAAGGCTCCCATAGGCTCTAGGATGTTATTAACAGAATAGGAGGTAAGACATTCTAGATTAAACACGTTATGCAATAAGATAATTTAAAAATATTTCAACTTTTTCATGAAGTATTTAGAGAGGCTATGATGTGAGTCTCATTTTGGAGAGGCATGGCTAGGACAGTATAAACAGCGTGATTTAACTCCTAAATGGCAAATAATTGAGCAGTGAAACTGCAGATACATGCTTTATGCACCAAAACCACTTCATTAAGCTAAAGATGTTTTGGTGCTTAGAGTGACATTTTATTGGAGAGCTGCAAAACCGGGGAAGTATCTTTTTAATCATTGTTTGTTTGTCATTATATTCTCTTGTAATTGGTATTATTCACATGTTAATAAATAATCTTTGTTTGTAACACAAAAATAACGAGCATTGTGTTGTTAGTTCTTTAGATTGTTTGTCAGTTTTAATTGCAAATCTAAATCATTCTTTTTAAACTTTAATGACACTGCCTATCAGTAAGATAATGTTCTAAATCTTAGACATTAAAATCTATCATTTTGCAACTATAACTTTAATAATAAAAACTGTTTTCCCACTGCATCCTAGTAGGATGCTGCAAGACTGATTTAGAATTCTTTCTCTTGACTTCAGAGGAAGCAGCTCTGTAGGTGATATGGCTGTGTTTCTATAGGAGAATGCAACACAAAATTCAAACTTCTTGTGCTGGATATTTTGTGGATAACAGAGCAAAAAATACATACTATTTCCATCTATTCACAGAAAAATACATGTTTTATGGGATTTCCATTTAAATAATGATAATAATCAAGGTGTAACTGATATCACAGAAGCAGATTTGATTACAGAGGCAATTTACAAATGTAACAGGCCACAGAACAGATAATGACAGCGTTTTGCAGTAATTGTGCATTCTACAGGAATACTAAATTAGTCTGTTATTCATTTTTACAACTCAATTGCCTCTGCACGGACATGAATAAAAATGGATGAATTTCAAAGTAAAATGTTTACAGAGCACATTAGCATCTATGTGAATGAATGCTGGAATGAAAATCCATTTCATCTTCCAATTCCACAACCTCTAACACATGTATCTTAATTTGTCTAAAGAGACAGTGAAGGACACAATAAGCACCATAATCACTGCTTCCCAATATAGTCCTCATGGCATCGCATGCTCTTTGTGCCTGCTTTGGTTCTGTGCCAAACCATTTTTGAGCAGTTCGACACAAACAAAAATTTCCATGGGTTGCACCACGGGTGTTTTGGGGACCCTCGGTTTATGTCATTTTTAAATGATTTGACACAGAACAGAGGCTGCAACCAATACTAAGTGCTATTATGTTTCTCAGCATTACTACCCATGTACATGTATTTGCCCATCAATCCCCATCATGTCTGTGCTGGGCTCTTGCCAATATGTTATCTGTCAGTGTTCCATAGCATACATGGCTCCAAAGGTACTTTGCTGCTGAATAGCAGCTGGGGAGGGGCTAGGACGTAGGATGGGTTTTTAAATAGTTGCAGACTGCAAACCTACGCAGCTGAAAAGAAAAACATTATGCCACTTGCCTCTAAAATACAACACTTTAAATCAGTGGTTCTCAGACCAGTCCTCAAGACATGCCAACCAGTCCAGGATTTAGTGATTACCCAATTGTGTCTTAGGGTGTTTTCTTCTTTCTTTATTAAAACATCTTAGACACAACTGGGTAATCCCTAAATCCTGGATTGATAGGGGTGTCTTTATGGACTAGTTCGGGAACCAATGTTTAAATAATAAAATCAGACGGACAATCATATGACCTAATGGTGCATGGGAGGTCAGAACTCTGATAGCAATATGCCAAACCAAGCAAATACATTCTAACTTCAAATAAAGCATTCAAACGAGTATTGTGGAAAAATCCTCTGCATGGATATAGTCAGGTAAAAGACAACTGAAGTGTGAAGGTTTGGTGCCAGACTACATACCCACCTGCAATACTGTATAGAGTACAGAATATAGACATGGTGCCAGACTGTTAACTTTATTTTCTGTAAGGGTATATTTATTTGTTTAATCTGTGGATAACTATTGGGGCAAAGCTGTGCTGGGATATAAAATGGGCCCTTCACTACAACGGATAGCAGCCCAATTTAAATCAGGGCAATGAAGACATTAGTGACTGGGTATTGCAGGGTATTGTTGCAGGTAGACTAACTAAGACAACGGACCCTCAGTCATGTATACCTTGTGGATTTTAGTGCATTTGAATTATCATAGATTAAGCCCTAGCCATCTGGTCATTGCACCTCTACTGGGCATTTGCAGTATATGCTACTTTTCTATTTTATGGGACATTGAGAAAGACATGAATTGTGTGTTCTGATGTAGACAAAGCTTTCTATAGTCTACCTTGTGTGAAACTAGCCAACAGTTCACATAACTATATTGTATTGCAGGGGAGGGCTGGTTACATTTGGCCTGGGGGCAGCTCCAAATAAATAGCCCAGTTTGAGACCAAATTAGCAAATCCCACTCCCTTTTTTAGTTTTATAATGAAATGTTATACTAATACTGCAAGAAATAGAATACAATAATAACAAAATAATACCGTTACAGAATATAGTTTAGTATTGTGCTGTGAGACATCAACACACAATGCTCTCTATGCTAGTGACCTGGGAGGCAAATTGGTTCCCTGCTCCCTAGCCAGCCCTCCCCCGTTGTTATGTCACACTGAGTCATGCAGTCAGTATAGTGCAGCATGCTTAATACAAATATAGCATTAGATAGAAACCTGGTCTCTCTACGGTCCGAGAAGGGGGAACGGCAGAGGTCTACTGCAGTTGCATAAGAAACCCTTGCCTGTAAACAGAGTCACTGTTACCAAACAGTGTTCTGTCTGGCGTGATACTTGCAGTAAAAGGAGGGCTGGAGAAATACAGAAAAAAAAAGATAAAACATTGGCAGATAGCCCACTGATGAGCAGTAAAACAAGGTGGGATAGAAATAAACAGCAGACCAAAGGTCTGGTTAAAGTCATGCTCTACAGCAGGGGTATTTAACCTTCGGCACTCCAGAGTTTGTGGACGACATTTCCCCTGATACTTTGTTAGCATGATGGCTGTTAGAGCATTATGCGATATGTAGTACACAACATCTGGAGTGATGAAGGTTGCCTACACCTGCTCTGCAGTGTACAGCTGCACCCAGTGACATCATAACATCATTTAATTTGATATGGTTATGATGTCACAGCAAGTCACACTAACTAAGAACCCATAACTGCTCACAGAACACACACAGATAAATTGTAACAACAAAGGAGGCTATATGCTGTTAGTGTAATGTAAATAGGAAAGGGGTGGAGAAAATAGAATTCTAGGCAATTCGACACTACATTCAGAGTAAATTAAATTAATACATTGTTTGCAAGTCTTCAGAACTAATAATTTATAAAATTTATATACTGATTCTAACAATTCACTGCAGGTATTCTGCACAAAATATTCTTTATATTTTTATATCAAACACTCTTTTTTTTTTTTTTAAACTTCCAATACATTTTCACCTGACAAACATCACATAAGCTGAATATAAGTGAGCAAAAAACAGAATAATTTGGGGCAAAAGAGCCAAATTGGAAAAAATGCAAACTCCAAACATTAGAATTTTCACTTTTAGGCGTCAATTTAATATTAAAGGACCACTATAGGCACCCAGACCACTTCAGCTTAATGAAGTGGTCTGGGTGCCAGGTCCAGCTAGGGTTAACCCTTTTTTCTATAAACATAGTAGTTTCAAAGAAACGGCTATGTTTATAAATGGGTTAATCCAGCCTGTAGTGGCTGTCTCTTGACAGCCGCTAGAGGCGCTTGCGTGCTTCTCACTGTGATTTTCACAGTGGGAAGACGCCAGGGTCCATAGGAAAGCTTTATGAATGCTTTCCTATGAGACTGGCTGAATGCACGCGCAGCTCTTGCCGTGCATTCGCATTCAGCCGAGGAGGAGAGGAGGCGGAGAGTCCCCCGCCCGGCGCTGGAGAAAGAGGTAAGTTTAACCCCTTTCACCCCCTAGAGCCCGGCGGGAGGGGGATCCTGAGGGTGGGGGCACCCTCAGGGCACTATAATGCCAGGAAAAAGAGTATGTTTTCCTGGCACTATAGTGGTCCTTTAATAACAAAGTATGGGGATCCAGGGAAAGTTGCTTTTGCCCAACATCCAGGGGATGTTACTATTACCCAATGGTATTAATTTTATCCAAAAGATGAAGGGCTGAGTCAACTCTGTCGGGATTTGAACCTGCGCCCCTCCAGGGCGAGATTAACATAGGGGCTGATGGAACTGCAGCTCCAGGCCCATGCCCATGGAATAGGCATTTTGATTGGAAAAAAAAAATGTTTATTTACACACTACTCTTAGGGTTGCCACCTGGCTGGTATTTATTTGAGGCTGTCTGGCTGGTGCCGGTGCAAGTGTCTGTGCCCCCAAGTGTCTCTTGGTGTACCATGTCTCTCAGTGTCCCCTAGTGACATGGGGACACAGAGACATGGGGACACATACACTAGGGGACACTGGGCGAAATGGGGACACAGAGAGACATGGGGCACTGAGACACTGATACATAGGGACACTGTTATACTTAGTCTCAGTGACCCCCAATCTCAGTGTCCCCTACTGACATGGGGACACAGACACTAGTGGACATTGGTGACATGGGGACACTGGGCGACAGGGAGACACTGGGAGCAATTCATCTATATAGCAGAATCAAACTGTAAGTAGTTTTTGGTGATTTTACAGAATTTTCTCTTAAGTCACTCCTATGTGATGTCACGCATACATAATTAGTTATGCAAATCAGTAGAGGCCTGTATTTTTTTCCATGAAAGGTGGCAACCCTAACTACTCTTCACATACTCTTGCTTAAGTATGGAAACTTAAGAGGCATATATGGAAACAATACTTGTGTGGACTAGCTGAAATGAAATTAGTTCAGGTAATGCTGACTTTGGTCTCTAACACTGTGGCATGTTCCCTTTCTTCTACACTCACTACATACACCTTTTCTCTGTCTCAGACTGTAGAACAGGAGCTTCTGTCTGCTAGTAAGAAGGTAAGGAGACAAGGGGACATGTGAGTGCTAGGGGACAGTCCTTAGAAAGTATGGAGCGAGCGTATCATTAGCCGCATTTATGCCAAGCTCAGGATGCTGTTGGCCAGCATGCATGATTGGCAGGCAGCCTGACATGCATTCATGCCAGACTAGCCTTCCAATTCTTTGGGCAGACATGACTCCTTTTTGCACATGTTCAGCCCTTTCGGGAGTTCTGGTTACATGATCCGTGTCAGTGGCACACCCTTTTACACCCCCCCACTGACTTGCTGCTTCACTGGACACTGCTGTTAGGGGGTATGGATTTACTTGAAAGATGAAAGCATTAATTAGAGAGAGATTAGCATATTTTAATAGAATCTGGATTTTCTTATAGCTGCATCCTATGAGTTTCCCTCCGGCAACATCTCCACCAGATACATAACACTTGAGAGGTATGACTGTTTTAATGGTTTTGGTCGATAAGATTCTGTACTTAGGCCCCTCATAATTGTCAGCACCAGGACCACTGTGCTCTTAATCTGACCCTGCACCCCCAATATTGATGATAAACTTTTAAAATGATTTAAGAGTATAAAAATACTAAAATGTTAATATATTTTTTTTTTTAAACATGATATTTATAATTTCATATTTTAAAAAAAATATTTTAAAAGTGTATCCAGATAGTAAATCATTTGAAAAGCTTATCCAGCAATATTAAATCAAGGCCTTATGTTGGCCCAAAATCTGGTTGAGCATGCTCTATAGGCGCACTGTTCTTTGTCCATGATTGATGACAAATAACAGGTAAAAGGGTATATTTGGGAGGCGTGACTCACAGATACAGGATTTCAATTTTTTTTTTTTTTAAATTACAATTTTCTATAACTACAGACAGGGCCGCCATCAGAAATTTTGGGGCCTCTGACAAGCACAAGGTCTGGGCACACCCCCTCCCACCTGGGCCCGCCCACACCCTACCTAGTCCGCTGACAGTGATGCAGGACTGAATGTGCTATGTATAGTGGAAGTGAATTAGAATGTGTGTAATGGATGTAGTGTTTGTGTGTATTAGATACTGTTTGTGCAGTGAATGCAGAGTGTGTGTTTGTGTAGCGGATGCAGTGTGTATAGTGAACGCAGAGTGTGTTTGAGTAGTGGATGTAGTGTGTGTACAGTGATGTTGTGTGTGTTTGTGTAGTGGATGTAGTGTTTGTATGTACTAGATGAAATGTGTTTAGTGGATGCAGTGTCTGTAGTGGATGTAATGTGTGTATTAGACGCAGTGTCTGTGTATAGTGAATGCAGAGTGTTTCAATTTGTGGTGGATGTAGTGTGTGTACTGTAAATACAGGATGTTTGTGTAGTGGATGCTGTGTGTACAGTTAATGCAGAGTGTATGTTAGTGTAGTGAATGCAGAGTGTGTGTCAGTATAGTGAATCCAGAGTGTGTGCATAGTTTAGTGAATGCAGAGTGTATGTTAGTGTGTAATGAATGCAGAGTGTGTGTTAATGTGTAATGAATGCAGAGTGTGTGTTAATGTGTAGTGAATGCAGAGAGTGTTAGTGCAGTGAATGCAGAGTGTGTGTTAATGTGTAGTGAATGCAGAGTGTGTGTTAATGTGTAGTGAATGCAGACAGTGTCAGTGTAATGAATGTAGTGTGTGTGTTAGTGCAGTGAATGCAGAGTGTGTGTAAATGTGTAGTGAATGCAGAGTGTGTGTTAGTGTGTAGCAGATGCAGAGTGTGTGTGTTGGTGTAGCGAATGCAGAGTGTGTGTTAGTGTGGCGGATGCAGAGTGTGTGTTAGTGTGGCGGATGCAGAGTGTTTGTTAGTGTAGTGAATGCAGAGTGTGTGTTAGTGTAGTGAATGCAGAGTGTATGTTGTATTAGTGAATGCAGAGTGTGTGTTGTATTAGTGTATGCATTGTGTTAGTGTATGCGGTGTGTGTGTTGTGTCGGTGTATGTTGTGTCAGTGTATGCAGTGTGTGTGTGGTGTTAGTGTATGCAGTGTGTGTGTTGTGTTGTGTTAGTGTATGCAGAGTGTGTGTTGTGTTAGTGTATATTACATTAAATTAAATGTTATTCCATGATCCCTGGTGGTCCGGTGGCATGGGGGCCCCCCCGGCTCCCTGTTACCGCAGAGGGGGCCCAGGCAGCACACGGCTTCTACTCTTCTCTTCTCCTCTCTTCTAATAACTCTCGCGAGACCCGCGGAGCATTGCCATGGTAACTGGGTATCGCGAGAGTTATTAGAAGAGAGTAGAAGCTGTGTGCTGGGCCCCCTCTGCGGTAACAGGGAGCCAGGGGCCCGCGGCTGCACACATAGATAGCGATATTCGCTTTCTATGTGTGCAGAGAGGGAAAGTGGGGCCCGGGACTGCCAGAGCAGTCCGGGCCCCCCAGGACCGCCGGGCCTGTGACAACCATCATGTTTGTCACCCCCTGATGACGGCCCTGACTACAGATAATCCAAAACAATACTTTTTTCTCACTTAAGGAGAGATGAATTGAGGGAAAAGGAGAAGCTATTCTGGAGCAACACTCTGGATAAGGAACAATCACTAGGGAAACCAACAGACTGTCTCTCAACATTTAGCACTTTGCACCTAACACAGCCCCTGTTTTACCTTACTAAATACCACACTTCTCCATCTGTGTGTTGAGTTTTTAATTTTAACATATTTCAGGATCCTCCCTTGTTTGTAAAAGAAGTACATACATTAGATTTAAATAAAAGCACTGCAACAGGGAATGATTCACTCAAATAAAGATAGAGTTGTAGTCAGGGACAATAAACCAAGTAATAGTATTGATGGTATAAGTAGGATGTGGTACAAGTCAGTTGTGGTGTACCGGGACCAATGTTTGGTTAGGCCTGTAAATAAAGAGTGCCCACCAAATGAATGGCTTGTAAAAGGGGAGTGGTGGGTGGGCTGTTCGCGGCATTAATGGAACAGTGAGGGGGTGGCACATGTTTTTATAGCCGGGTAACCCCTCCACAATTACAGCTACGCCTTCTATTTGTAGTCGGGGACAATAAGCCGAGTAATAGTATTGATGGTGTAAGTAGGATGTGGTACAAATGTGTGAGATGAAAGCGGTGCCCCAACAATATGGCAATAATTCTGCAACAGTTTTTTTTAAAGAGGAATTACACTCTATCCATATTGATCTATATTAACGATCAGCATGTTTTTCATTAATCCAAAACCTGTGGAAAGTTAACAAGGCGTCTTTGAGGCCAAAGTAACCAAATTGGAAATTTCTCCAACTCGAACATTTTTCCAGGTCAGCCTAAAATTTGCAGCTCTGTTCCCAAATTTCTACAACACGAGGTTTAATAAATAATTGCAAATATATATAGAACATTAGGAATTTCAAAACATCATTAGCACAAGTTTCACTTTCAGTATTAACAGCATAAATAAGGAATGCAAATAAATACAAATAAAAAATACAATTGCTATTTCAGCATTTGCCGCAAAACACCATGATTTCCAACTTCTCCATTAAAAGGGAAACTAGTGCCAGGAAAAGAAAGTTGCTCCCCCACCCCCCTGTGGAGCAGAAGTGGTTAAAAAAAACAACCTTTTGTCACTTACCTAATTCCAGCGCTGACATCCCTTTGCGCTGGTTCAGACTCTGCTGACATTGGCTAGGGAGACCTAATCTGCATGTGAAAGCATTATACAGTGGGTGACGCTGGATATCCTCATCTACAGTGCCCAAAAGTCACCTAACGACCTAGAAGTCCCTCTAGTGGCCACTAGAGGAGGAGTTAACCCTCAAAAGTAATTATTGCAGTTTATTAAAAACCGCAATAATTACCTTTGCAGGGTTAAGAGACCTGGGACACTGCACCCAGATGACTTTAACGAGCGGAAGTGTTCTTGGTGCCTATAGTGTCCCTGTAAGCTCTCGCCAAATAAGGGTTTAGTTAATCCAATCAGTTGAGCATATTCCCAAAACTCTTAAAGAGTACGAGTGAATGAAGACCTGTTCAAAATTAGAGATTTACCAGTCATCAGATAAGACTATCTTCACTGCTGTCAGCTTATTTGAAGCTCCTGTATTTAATTTAGAAAGGAGCTGTATACACAATCACACTACCATAGCTCGGGATCCACCACTGTAGCTGTGATGGAGCATGTCGGGTAAACAAGCTCCTCTCGACGTACATATAATGGAATGGGCAGAGGAGAGATGTTTGCTTTCCCCTTGGCTACTTAAACAATTTCTAATCTCCAATCAAAAATGCAGCAACATCCAAGTAGACCCTATTTTTTCCAGACTTAGTGACAGTATTGTGTCTATTGTAATATGTATGTCATGGTAAATGAATATCAATGTCCCTTTCAAACGAATTTGTCCAAAAAATATGGAGCATCTACCTTACATATTTCGGCTTAAACAAAACTGTACCACAAAATAAAGATATGAGAGTTAAACGAAACCTCCAGGATCCATAACCACTATTGCATGTTGTAGTGGTAGTGGTGCCAGATGTGCCCTGGCCCCTCCGCTGTGAAATTAGTCAGACCATTTGCCAATGGAATGCCAAGTTACCTGGTCTGCCGAGTGTCAGTCTCTTCCTCTTTGAAAGACAGAAGTTCACTTGGTATGTTCCTTTAATTACCTTTTTATTTTCATCTTTTGTTTTAATGTTAAATTAAATGAGATCTCTGTTAGGCAGAGTTTGTGAAAAACTTAAGAAATAGTTAACAAAAATGTGTTTTTTAAATGTTTCACTACAGGAAGTAACAAAGTCACAGCAGCCTCAGTTGGGTGATCTATCCAGTCTGTCTGCCATAAAAGGGCCATGCTGATGGTACTTTTTTTTCCTATCTGTATATAAGTCTGTCCATCCATCCATCAATCCATTGGTCATCCTCTCTTTCTGTTTCCTTGTTAGCCTCTCTCTCTCTCTGTTTCTGACTAAGTATTCAAAATAATCTAATCATTTTCAGTATCTGATTAAATACTTACACATCATCATCGTACTCTTTGGGGGGAGACACAGCTATGACCAAATCTATCCAGTCCTGTAAAATAATATGTTTATTACTAATAGAATTAACATTTAAAAAAACATTCATTAGCATAAAAGCTGCTTTTAACTGGTCATAGAGGAGTAATGCGTACCCCACCGATGTTCCAAGCTTTTGCCAACGTCGCCTGAGCTTCGGCAAGTGTCACATCGGTTAATATCTTCCCGTTCACAGCTAGAATCTCATCGCCTTTTACAATTCCCCCTGGAAAAGAAATAGTAACTAATGCTGAATCCTGTTCGATAATTCTACCGTTAAATTACACATGCAGACGAATTTTAAAGTGATTGAATTTTGAACTGAATTAAAGAACCGGTTATTTAACACGATGGACAAGAAGCCTACTGATAGTCACCTTGTATCATGTAGGGACAGTACAGCATCCTGCTGGTACCAAAATCATAAATTATAATAAATATTCATAAACACAGCATTCATGAACATTTTCATTCTCAGATTTTCACTGTCCTTGGGCACAATGTAACCCGAGCTTTATTAAAATTATTTATTTATTACTCAAATTAGGTTTTTAAGATTACATGTCTCTAAGTTATTTTATGCATTAACCTCCTATAACCACAAGGAATAAAATAAATTATATCCACTAGCTCTTCATAAAAAAATTAAAGCCAGTGCAAGTTAACCAATTTTAAATATTGTAGCTTTATTTTCATGTTACATTTTTGCAAACTACAACAAAAACAATGATGTCTACATTAAGTGAACAAAGACATATGGCAGTATTGTATGTATACCAGGAGTGTATCTGTGAGTTGATGCACTCACAAAATGAATTTGCTTGTAGGCATATCTCTTAGAATGGGTCTAATACATCTTCAATATCTTACAGGTTACGTGACCACATATAAGTAGAAAAAAGGAGAGATACATAGTGCAGAGCTTCAAGATATAAATCACTTTTTGATATGAATGACACTTACAAGATTAAAATTAGGTATAGGCACATCCAAAAGTAAAACCAGAAATCAGAAGCTCCGAACCCGTAATCCAGAAGAACCAGGAACAGGATATGCACTCTTCCTCCAAATATATTAAAAATAGGTGCAAAACTAAGTATATAAAAATTTATAAAAATGTATTTTAAAAAATGGAATACTGAGCCCTACGCATTTTGTTCAACTGCTTGAACCTCCTCAGAGGAAATAACTTTCCGGTAACCAGAATAACTCCAACTATGCCTCTGCCTCTGCCAGTCTGACCATTAGGCGGATTTCCTTTAGCCAATCCGCTTCTGTGTTAAACCCATCGGACTCTTTGAAGATCTAGAAGACCCATTCTGAGAGATATGCCTACAAGCAAATTCATTTTGAGAGTGCATATATATATATATATAATAAACCCTTGCACTCCAGCCAAAAAAAGTTATTTAAAAATTACCCGGTGCTCTGGTTGCTCAATAATATAAAATGAAAAAGTTTACCGGCACTCCAAGGATTTTCAAAACATCTTCTTCTTCTTTATTCTGAGAAATACATCATGAATGTTTCAGCTCCCCTAAGGAGCTTTCATCAGGACACACATATATATATATATATACACACTTACATATACATACACATACACTCCTGGTGTACATACCGTACTGCCCTATGTCTTTGTTTATTTTATATTTGTGTTTCTTGTATTTTATGAAAACTTGTCTTGGTATATCTACACGTTAAGATATGTATGTCACGGAGCTGGGAGGTTGTATCGGCATGACATTTGTGTGACTTTAACAAAAACTGCGTGAGGACAAGACTAAAAGACTCTCGTCTGTGTGACATTTTGTGAATCAAAACCACTGCCTTTGAATCAGACCTAGCCTGTGCTGCAGTCCAGATCTCAGTTTCAACCTTCACATTAGTGCAGGCAAGATTTATTTTCCAATTGAGATGAATACATTGTAAAATCTCAGTTAATATCAGTTAGTCTAAATCAGGTATAAATATATTTGGAAACAACATGTATACTGTTCCTGTGTTATGTTCCTGTTCATACTTTTTTCACTTAAAAGTTGACAACCTTTAATACCAATGATATGCAGGCCAAGACTGGCCATCGGGCACACCGGGCAAATGCCTGGTGGGCCGTGGTGGCCATGGGCTGAGGCCGGCAGGGGAGGTTACAGGACATCCCCTGCTGGTCTATGCAAGGCCGGCACTATCCGAGCGCCAGTCCCGCTGTTTGCCATGACAGGCCGGTGGGGAGATCAAAGATCTCCCTCACCGGCCCACTTGCATACACATGCGGCTGGGGAGGGAGAGGAGGACCCGGTGGAGCTCTATCTTGTAGCTCCGCCGGGTTACTCTTGCGAGATCCGGAGCGTTGCCATGGCAACGCCCCCGCTCTCGCGAAAGTGAACTCTAGCCCGCAGGCTGGAGTTCACTCACCACTAGGACCACCAGGTTACATTCCAGACACACACTAGATCCCTTACCCAACTCTGGATCATATACACACACTAGATCCCTTTATACACTCTGAATCCGTTATATACACACACTCACTAAATCTCCTACACATTCTGGTTCCTTCAAAGACACACCAGACTCCTGTATACACACACACTACATTCCTAACATACACACTCTGGATCCCTTATACATACACGTTCCTTGTAAACAAACACATACTACACCCCTAAACACACACTCTCTACAACCCCTACAAACACTACATCACCTATACACACACTATAGCCTGTGTGCACACACTTACTACATCCCCTATACACACATTTTCTATAGCCCCTAGCCACATATGCATTACATTACACCAAAAACACAACATGACTAAAACCGACCTTATTTACACAATACCACACCACAAACAGCTCACTCTACACACACGCAATACCACAAGCAGGCTCCAAACACATGCACAATACTCTTTCCTGGACCTTTTGTCTCCTGGTATCCCATTTATAGAGAAACCAGAGACGAGTTTCAAGTAGACACAGAGCAAGCATGTTATTAAATTTGTTTGCACTGTGCAGAACAAATACAGGGCTTTTTTCTCATGCTAGAGCTCTTTAGCAGAGCTCTGCGCATGGTCTTCCCGGGAAGAGCATTGAACCAACATGCTCACTTTGAGAGGGTAATGACAAAAAACACCCTCTATGCCCCGCCCCCTTCTTAGTGGGCCGCTGTGATAAAAAAAATGCCCGGGCCGAATTTTTCTCCCAGTCCGGCCCTGATGATATGTAATGTACTTTACAATGTTCCTGACATATATTTCAGCTTCCTGCTTTTTGTTTTTTTTCCATCTGGCCTTCAGAAATGAAAGGCAGAGTGATTTAACACGTGTTTAGATTTGTCATTCATATGACGAAATGAAAAGTATGCCGTATGCAATAAACTTTGCATAAAATAGTTAATTTGCATTTAATTTTAATGGTTTAAAGAATGTCAGGTAAAATGGTTGGCCCTCAAGCATGTTCACTTCATCAAATCTGGCCCTCTTTGAAAAAAGTTAGGACACCCGTGGCATAGAGGGTTATTCACTAATGTGAGAATTCAAAGTGAAAAGAAAATGTCAAATTTAAGGCCAGAGTAGCCAAACTGAGGTGGAGAAGGGGATATTTTCAAAGACCATTAAACATTCTTACCGTGGCTATCAGCAGCACCGCCATCATAAATGGCTGATACTACTATTTTACCAATTGGAGATTCAATGCCACCTTCAACTGCAAGATCCAGGGCCCCCTCCTGTAAACAACGTGATGAATTATTAGAAATACCGGCAAGACTTATCAAACGGTTCTGATCTAAAAAGTGGCACAAAAATGTAAAAGTGGAGGAATCACCAATAGATTGTGCATTGGTTCCTATGGTTTCCACGGTAATTACCCCACTTTTAGTACCTTGTACCTCTTTTCAGAACACAAAAATTTAATACTAGGAATCCAGAAATGAGGATTTATCAAAGTGCAGCGTTTTACCTGGAGCAAGATGGGGTTAAACTACAATAAATGTGTTTAAAAATCAGTCTGTGTGAATAAGACACATTGTTCTTGTTCTAAATTACATTCTAGCAGTATAAATTGTTGCAGCAAGTCACCTAAAATTTCTCAGAACAGCCCCGCCCCTGGTCACACCCCACACTCACACCTCTAAAAATAAAGTGTCCCTCTTTGTCCATTTGAAATGTTGGGAGATACACTATAAATTACAGAATATGCTTAATTAAAGCAATAATCATTAAATGATATAGCCACAGTAAATACCTTAATATTATAAGCATTTGGCTCCTGTATGGTTCCATCACATTTATATTTTATATTCCTCTCTGTCAGATATTCAGAACAAATTTGATCAGATAAATATTAGAATTCGATTCCCATTCAATCTTAAGCTGGACCACACCAAGTCACATTTACCTTTTTTATTCGAAGCTGCCGGACGTCTTTCCCCGCAATTTGATCAGCCGTAAACTAAAAACACGGGCAGGAAAATTTTAATTTATAGGAAGCACAGCAAACAAATGGTAATTAGTTGCATGTGAAAAATTATATCAAAATGTTTCTAAACTAAAAAAAAAAATTAGAATTTATTCAAAATCAAAGTATGATTTATGGAGTGTCAGTTGAAATGTCTTGGGAAGTCTACAAGAAATTCATTGCAAAAATCTATCAGAACAAGAGTCTGTTTTGGAATAATATTGTTTATAAACATCTAAAGTAAGTTTTGCTAGACTGTTTCAGAGCCTTCAGTGCATTTACAAAAACTGAAGGATCTGATCTGCCTGGGGATAAATCTCTCTGCCTAAATAAATGGTATATGTCTCAAATCGAGTCGCGTTACATCTCAGAATGTCAGAAGCTGTCATAGAAAGCACAACAGAAATGTGTGTTCTATGTCAGAATTTCAATGGTTTAATGGACTTTAGATCAATACCTCTGTGCTGTAAGCTTTAACTGGTTCTGCAGAGAATAGATCTTACAGAAAATAACTACCAAACCCACCTGGATCAGGAAATTATTGTTTTGTTTGTTTATGTTTGATATAATAAAAAAGAGCTTGCTATAATTCAAAAACCATATGACATAACCTGATTAAAAATATATTTATGCTTCTACAAAAATATTGTCACACATGCAAGGCTAGACAAATAATGCATTTAAGAAAGTAATGTCGGAGACAAATAATGCATTTAAGAAAGTAATGTCTAAGGGGTGGTTTGGATTTTTCAAGAATTGCTCCTTATACTAAATAAATCAATGGTTATTATTACTGCGCCTTTGATCTTCTCACCAGAGCATTATATCTACAATCTCTCTGAACTGGTCTCCTGGTTAATAAATTATGGATCTTTAAAATAATGGGGAACTTACACTTACCATTGTGTAAGGATCAAAGTCTTCAACATATTTCTGGAAACCCTCAAGAAAAATAATGTTTTAAAGTTAGTTATTGCTCCTATATTGGTGAGTTAGGGAATACAAGCAAATAAGAAAAAGGAAATTATATAAAAAATAAATAAAAAAAAACAGAAAATTTCTAACATGCATGAAATGTTCAAAGCTTTCTCCTGACAGCCAGAAATAGAACGTATGAGGATGAAGTGCTGTCTGCGAGTACCGTCACTGGCTTTCCATTCACAACAGAATTAACTTCAAAATTTTCACTCTGAGATACAAAGCCCTTACTAATCCTGCTTCCCACTAGCTGTTCTCACTAATCAACAGATATACTATAGTCCGCCCCCTAAGATCTAACAATAACTTGCTCTTTGCATCTTCTCTTATCTCTTCCCATGCTGGACTGCAGGTTTTCTCGCGCGCGGCACCAAGCTCCTTGGAATGCACTTCCCCACGCCATCAGACTTCACCCTAATCTCTCTTCCGTAAAATGCTCCATAAGGGAAGCCTACCACTCACTAAATGCCCTTACCTCACTCTGTATTAACATTATTCTCAACCATGCAGACCTCAACTCCTATTTCTCAACTCACCATTCATCTAGATTGTAAATTACCACGAATAGGGCCTTAATCTCCCCCTGGATTAGTTTGTCATATTTTGTGTTGTCTCTAAGTTATATTATACTGTGTCATTATAATTGTACCAATTGTAACTATGGACAGAGCTGCAGAATGCAGTGATGCTTTATAAATCAAGTATAATAATAATAATAATCACCCTGCAGACATTTTTAAGGATTTTCTTGTTTTAACTAAAATGAGAACTCAAAGTGAATTTAAAGTGAAATTCAAATTTAACATCAAAATAGCAGACTTAGAAACATTTTCTATGCCAGCTATTCATTGTCTTTGGTTACTCTGCAAGCAGTGACTTGTAGTAATTAACCTACAACACATCAAAATCTTTATTTGATTAATTTATCATTTTTAAGGTTGACTGTTTCTTTAATTCAGGTGTGCTTACTGTTTTGACATGGACCCGAATCCTGTCTATGGCAATAAAGGGATCCATTTTTCAATTCTAAAATTATGTCGATGATGCATTCTATAATGTTTACGTAATGTACAACAATATCGATTTGGCAAAATGCCTTCAATAGGTTCTTTTCGGTATTTAAGTGGTCTTCGTTGCACTAAACAAGGAAGTACCACTTACAATACTACAATAGAGATGTCGCGAACTGTCCGCCGAACTGTTCGCGAACTGTCCGCCGGCGAACAATAGCGTGTTCGCGTTGGGCGAACATATCCGATTTCCGGTCCGCCCCCTATACGTCATCATTGAGTAAACTTTGACCCGGAACCTCACAGCCAGCAGACACATTCCACCCAATGAGCAGCAGACCCTCCCTCCCAGGAAGTGTCTGCTGACTGTGAGGTTCCGGGTCAAAGTTTACTCAATGATGACGTATAGGGGGCGGACCGGAAATCGGATATGTTCGCCCAACGCGAACACGCTATTGTTCGCCAGCGGACAGTTCCCGAACAGTTCGGCAGACAGTTCGCGACATCTCTATACTACAATAGTCAATTATTTGGAAGCAGTTGCCTGTTGAATACAATGTTTCTATTCTAAGCATTGTGGATCCCTTGGAAAGGTACATGGAGATTCAATTTTGGGTTCCAACATCAGGGGTATAAAAAAATTCTCCATAAAAATGCTTCTCATTAGTTTCAAGTTTCCAGTGGAACCAAGGAAACAGGGCTGAATACAATGTAACAGATATATTAATCTATGGTATAGCCTGCCTACCCCCATCATACTCTCCCCTAGTCTTCAATCCTTTAAGAAGTGCCTTAAAACCCATCTCTTTAGGAAAACTTATGGCCTCCCAGAACAACCTCTACCTTACACACCTGTCTCTTGCTCTCTCCTAAAGGGCAGCATTCTACTCTCTCCTCCAGCTCTGCTTCACTCCCACCTAATTTGATTGCTATTTCTTGTCCGAATGTGTTTTATAACCCACCTCCTATAGAATGTAAGTTCGTCTGAGCAGGGCCCTCTTCAAGCTATTGTTCCTGTAAGTTTTCTTGTAATTGTCCTAGTTATAGCTAAATCCCTCCTCTCATAATATTGTAAAGCGCTACAGAATCTGTTGGCGCTATATAAATAGCAATAATAATAATAATAATCTAGAAAAAATATAAAACATGATCACAGACAGAAAGAAAGCCCATCATTAACCCCTTAAGGACACATGACATGTGTGACATGTCATGATTCCCATTTATTCCAGAGGTTTGGTCCTTGAGGGGTTAAATACATTAATATTCAGTCTTGGAAAGGCTTGGTTTGTTGAAATTTAGACAAGTGGTCTGTTTTTTTAACATTTCGGATGCCTTCAGCACAGCTGTGTTTTCTCAAATGTGTAGTGGACAGTTTGACAGTATGACCCCCTCCCCAGAAAAAGAAAATACAAAACAAATAAGAACAAACCATGTTGAGCTCTATTCACCAGTCTGTTACATATGCCCTCTCCCCTTAACCCCTTAAGGACCAAACTTCTGGAATAAAAGGGAAACCTTAAGGGGTTAAAAAGATGCAGACACATTTCTGGCTGATAGTGTTTCAAACTGATAATCAAGACCTTCATAATTTGCTAAATAATTATTGCCTTTAGTAAATGGGGCCTAAAATTTCTTTCAATAAAATACCCCATCAGCAACTAGATGGATACATTTTGGATGCACAAAATTACAACATATCTAAATTGTTTTACAAACATGGAATATTATACCGTGCACTTGGCATTATTGACGCAATGTCTGAAAATGGTTTGGATTGCTCAATTGTTTTGTTTTTGTTCTACGACTCATTCAACATTGACTGTAAAATTAATTAATTTAATAATATTTAAAATACAACCATGAGACACAGTTTTAATCAGAACTGACTTCTCTATTTAGACATATCTATCTGTTAGAAAAACACACTTGGAGACAGGTCGGAGAGAGCAAAAAGACCAACACTCAGAGATGGTTACTTGTTTCTTGTTTTGATTAAAAGGGGTGTTATACACAACCATTCTTTTCAACATCTCTGGTGGCTGCAACAGAAAGAAACACATTAATCAAACTGTGAAGAACAAAGAGAAACTGGGCAAATGGTAGAAAACTGGATACATTCTCCAGGTCTACTCTAATGCAAAACATGTTAGACATTGAGAGAACACAATTAATCCAGAGTTGGCTACGAGTCTAGCTATAGAAAGAAAGAGAACGATGAATCTTATCTCTGAATAGGACTGATTCATCCACCATGTTTCCCTGGACACATATCACTTGTACATAGCGATCAGCAGTACATATAATATGCTGCTCTGTGGAATGTAGAATTCACGCAATGCAGGAAGGAAATACATTTATCAAAGAGAAATCCCAAAGGCACTTCCTATATTAAATCAATGTTTTCTCCAACAGCATATGAGTGCTGCATACAGAGGGCAGCACTTTCAGATTACTAAAGCCGAGAGGTGGGATGTAACATCACCCCAACCTGAGCTCCAGGAAGCAATCTCTGTGTACCAGAGCTCCAGGAAGCAATCAGTACACAAATTGAGGGTGAATGCCAATAAACATTTCTGCCTTAGGGCCTAATACCCTATGAATGACTCAGTCAAACAATAGTAACAGGCAAAATTTGACCCATGCACTAGCACCCCATGCCTATTCCTCCTTCTGAAGCTGACAGGACATGTTAACATCCCTCTTATTAATTGGGGTAAATTAATGAAGATGGCAAATCATGTCAGAATAGCCATCCCCAACAAGTATCTAAGCATTTGAAATCGTGAAAGACCTATTTTAACTCTTCATAGGAAAGCTTGCATTTAATTAATTGCTGTCGTGCCAGACAAGTTTCATAAGATCCAAAGTACTTTCCATTTTATGGCTGTGGTCCAGGTGTTCAGTAAACTAGAGAGATACTTTTTTTTGCTGCACTTTAATTTTGACACACTCATAAGGAAAATATGCAAGAAGTACCACATTCATGCATTTCAGTGTTAGTAAAAACATTTTAATGACAGACCACAACATATGGAAACATGAGTGGTTTATGGATTTTTAATGTTTACTCATTGTGTCATGCAAAAATTATTCTGTAAAAACACCTTGCGTTGCACAATACATTGCCATCCAATCTGGTAGACACTGATGGTCCTGTTCTAGATAATTTACTGCAAACCAATTAGTTTGAATGACTATCTGTTCCTGTCCAAATTAAAGATAATAAAGTTGCGTGCACGCAGAAGTAAATTCACACTGAGACACAAGGTTCAGGGTAATGAAAGAACTTCAGAGAAGTTTAATGGCTTCTGACAGAAAATGGGTGCGCAGACCCTTATAAAGGCATTATTACATCATTGAAGAAAATCAAGATATAGACAAATAGACATTGTTAATTGGCTTAGGTGCTAAGATGTTAGTAAAATGCCCTCCCCATTCTTAGGTCACTATCTACGTAATTTCTTAACTCCTACAGGTTTTAGCGCCATTTTGTTAAAATGAGGAGCTCACTCGACGGGAGGGGCCTTTTGGCAGCTATCCATTTGGAGCGTAGCTGGCACTTGTTAGTTTCTCAAGGTTAAGTTTCAAGGATTTTAGTAAATACACATTTTATCAAAGCTATTTCTTGCTGACATGCAAATTCTATGTTCTATAGACAAAGCTTCCTTGTAAAACTATGGGGGCCTCTTAGAGGTATAGCAAGAGGATTTAAAGGGGCCTTACAAATTTATAGAGGCCTAATAATTCTACAACAGTCCTAAAGAGTTAAATATATTCGAACTTTTATCTTTGATTAAATTCACTATTTATTAAATTTCTTGTGCGTCGCTCTGGGTGGGTTTATTAGATCACAGAACATTTGTTTACATCAGCATAGAGCGGGGCAACAGACAGGTTCTGCAAATGTTTTTATATCTCCAGATCAGATTATTCCCAATGTTTTTCCTGTTTTTGCTCAAGCCACTATTTGCGGAGATCAAACAGACCTGAACGATCCAAGGATAAAGTCTAAATTAGCCAAAATGGAAGTTTTTTTTTTTGTTTTAACTTTTTCTTTCCCGTGTTGCTATTTACCAATTTATGCTATTAGAGTTATTCACTAAATTGGAGATTGTGTCAAGTAAACAAGGGAATAGCGGTTTTTAATCTTTGCACTAGCACAGCATTTCAAACCCATTTATGACCAATGACACCATGCATGATGGATCTTGTGCTTAAAAGGATTAAATTGTCCTCAATTTCCACGAACAATGCAGGGTTTTTTTTATTAGCATTTATCAGAAAGACTAGCGTCTATACAGATATTTAAACTGCAATTGGATAAATACTTGCAAAAACATATCATACAGGGATATAATTTCTAATTAGCGGGGTAATAGCTGCTTGATCCAAGGAGACATCTGACTGCTATTTTGGGGTCAAGAAGGAATTTATTCCTAGTTTGTTGCAAGATTTTGGATCAACAGCAAAAACATATATGAGGAAGGCTGAACTTGATGGACGCAAGTCTCTTTTCAGCTATGTGACTATGTAACTACGACGATGCCTCATTATATTTGCCTATTTTGTGCTTATATTTTGCACAAGGCATAAGGCACAGATTTGTTCATCGATCAGCCTTAAATGAAAATGTTTATTCATTAAACTGGGAATTGTTGAACATTTTTAAATTTGAGCCAAAACAGCTACATTGAAAAAAAAAAAATTACAAAAATAATAATAATGTAATGAATAACCACCTGAAAAATAAAAATGGATGTCCCATAATTCTTACATTCAGATAAGCTGTTATAGCTTGGTTTCTATAACCTTTATAGCTTTTTATTATTTCACTTTTTCCTAACTAAATATCAGCAAATCTTCACGTTTTTACTTATTGTCACTCATTGGAGAGTATATTAAAGTAAACTTAAATAATGAAAATATTATACAATCGTGATTTGAAATGTTCACAAAGCATTTACAGTTCATAGTTAATCCAATGAGATGATGACTAATCTTGACACCGCTTATTTACTAATGTTATAATTGCAGTGAATTCGAAGTGATTTTCCAATTGAAGACCAGTTCAGTTGCTGAGCTAAAAGCATAATTGACTGGTAGAATTTTGCCAGTTCACATAATTTTACCTTAAATTTGAATTCCCTGCAATTCTCACGTTAGTGAATAACCCTGTGAATATGCTGATAGCATTCTGTGCGATAGCTGAGCATCATGGGAATTGTAGATGACAGTTATTTGCAGTGCCAGGATTAGCCATTAATGTCTTGATTAGTAAGAGCACATATAATAGGTGCAGGATTTCTTCACTCAAAATTTAGAAGAATTTTCTCACCAACGTGTCTGCTTTTGCTGGTCGAAGCATAAAGTTAGAATCGGGTGCCAGCATCACCGGTTTGGAAGAAACTGGTGCAACCGGCCGCCGGTGAGTAGGTGGACTGGGAGCAAACTGCTAGATTTAAGAGAACAATGCAGATAATAGTGAAATGGTCAGAAATATTGTATAACACACTTTAATCAAAATCACGGCAGACATACATGCAGGGCAACTGCTAACTACATCTAAGGTAAGTTCAATAATGACCCAACTTCATTGTGTAAAGCTGACAAACTTATAATCCGGTAGCTCTTTTTGTTAACACACCACTGTAAAGGTAGTTCAAACCTAAGTAGCCGCTTGTACTTATGGTGTGATCATCGTAAGATGATTACCAAGGTTTATAAAATAAGTAACAGTATCACTAATACCTTTCCAGTTTGGTTAAAGGAGAGAGAATATGAATAGATCCAAGAGTTCCCTTGGCATGGTATGTGCCATGGTATGTGACACCAGTTTGTGATACCCAATTAATCCACAATCCACATGCACTCTATGTTTAAAATCTGGGTACAGAAGAGAAAACTCAGCATAAAAAGCTGACCAAGGTCATTTTAGGGAATTTCTCAGAGCTCTGTGTATGTTGCATATCAGACTGATCCCACCCATGTGGGCACCCAAGAACGGAAATCGCAGCAGGTCCCCCTCTGAATGGGACGGACAGTAACGGCCTATGTGATCATTTCTGGCTTTGCTGGGCCTCTTCAAATGTAAGAAAATTATTTCACAAAAGCTTAATTTAACTAATTACACCTCTAGCAGAAAAGGTATTAAATTCCATATGTGCGGTGTAAGAGCAAAATACTGCACACAGAGACCCCAGACACCATGACCACTTCAAATCACACAGTAATTGTCACTTCCTCATTATTGTTGCAAAGGCATCCAACTTTGGACAATAACAAAAGTCTAAGAGAGCTGGAGGTGGGTCAGTACAGCATTCACAATCTACCATTTTTCTTTATTTATGGCTTATGGTACATGCAGTGTCCCTTTAACTCAAGTCTTGATCTAGCGGCTCAGCATACAGCTTTATTTTAGGAAATTAAAAGCTCAAACACATGGCTCTACGACTCATATATGCAGCATCTACTAGCAAAATACCTTCCGTTTAATTAAACAAATAAGTAAACTAAAATGACAGCACAGGATTGTTCTGGTCTAAACTTGATGTTTCTCATAGCTAGCAAACCGCACAAGATGAAATCTTCTCAATAAAACATTTTTATGTTTAGTTTGCAAATACCCTGACCTTTTACATGAACAAGGAGAGATATAGCACAGCTATATGCACTGTTTAAATCTTTCTGAGCAGTCACATAAAATGTAATATATTTATTGTATATATGAGTTAATGGAAGAATGATTCTCTGCTCCAGTGCTACAGTTAATGTGAAGTCATCCATGTACACTGTACTTTGTATTAATTTATGGATGGATTTAATCAGGGGTTCCTCTTTTATAATGGATACTTTAAATGAGTTCATTCTAATTCCCAAGAATGTTCACTGGTTGTCTATAAAGAATGTGACATGTACTCACTAAACAAAGAAATGGTTTCCCTAAAAACCAAGAAGCGTGTTCAACTGTACTCCACTGCAAACTAGATCAGAAACTACTACTGATTTGCAAAATTTAAGCCGAAATGGACAAGTTAAGAAAATAGTTAAAGGACCACTCTAGGCACCCAGACCACTTCAGCTTAATGAAGTGGTCTGGGTGCCAGGTCCAGCTAGGGTTAACCCATTCTTTTATAAACATAGCAGTTTCGGAGAAACTGCTATGTTTATGAATGGGTTAAGCCTTCCCCAAAAATCCTCTAGTGGCTGTCTCATTGACAGCCGCTAGAGGCGCTTGCGTGATTCTCACTGTGAAACCAGGCTGAAACCTCCACAATTGTACAGAGAAAGAAATGCTGATATTATACATTCAATTATTTTCTAGGTTATTCTAGTTTTCTGAAAGGCTAATTTGACTCACCCTTTCTTCTCGAGGTATCTTGAACTGATTCTTCAACTGCTTGAAAATGACAACTTTAAAAACCGACTTGCTATTTTACAGATCACAGCAGTTATAAGATATTCTTAGTACACAATGGGTGCAAGTTTTCTCTGTTATAACCTTAAAGGGACAATTCACTGCCCCCCTCCCCCCAAAAAATAAAATAAAAAATATTTAGTAGATCTGCCCCTAATGAAAACATGCATGCATTTAATCTACATCTAAAATCTCCTAATACTGCTCCCCCTCTTTCGGTCTACCTTCAATTGAGTGGTACCCACATCAGTCCATCCTTGCAAGCGCGCTGTCTTGTGTTATACTTGATTCTGGTCTGATTCTCACATTTCCCACAAGTCGTATTGGCCCACTACAGTCTGTAATGAATGCTGCAGCTAGACAGATTTTCCTCTCCTGACGCTCCTCTCACACCTCTCCCCTCTGTCAGTCCTTACATTGGTTCCCTGTATCCTATAGGAGTCAATTCAAGGTACTAATCCACACCTATAAAGCACTGAACAATTCTAGCTCCTCCTATTTTTCTTCACTGAGCCATAGGTATGCCCCTTCTCAGTCTCTGTGCTTTGCCCATGACCTTCTCCTGTCTGCTGCTCACACCTGTACAGCCAACTCACGCTTGCAGGACTTCTAGCGGGTGGCTCCTTTCCATTGGAATAGCCTGCCTACGACCATCAAGCTCTCCCCCGGTCTTCAATCATTTAAAAAGTGCCTCAAAACCCATCTCTTTAGTTAAGCTTATGGCCTCTTAGAGTAACCTCTACCTCACATACCTGTCCCTTGCGCTCTCCTAAAGGGCAGCACTCTATTATCTCCTCCAGCTCTGCTTCACTCCACCTTGTTTGATTGCTACCTTCTGTACTTTTGGGTTTTACATCCCACCTCCTATAGACTGTAAGCTCGTTTGAGCAGGGCCCTCTTCAACCTATTGTTCCTGTAAGTTTTTGTAATTGTCTCATTTATTGTTAAATCTCACCCTTTGATAATGTCGTAAAGCACTATGGAATATGCTGGCGCTACATAAATACCAGTAATAATAATAAAAACAGCTTACAAAAGCTGCAGGTCTCGTGTCTGCAGCCTTTGCAAGACCTCCCCTTTTAACCCAGCCCAAACTTTCTGTGGCTGTCCAATCACAGGCTTCCCTATGCAGCTCAATGAAAAGTTTTTGCAAGGCAGGTGCTCTGGGCAATTGCTGCCTCTTGAGTTTAGCTCCACTGAGATAACCAAACCAGGCTATCCTATTGCTGTCAGAGATGCAACAAGGTTAATTTATAAAAGTACCAATTTCTATTAAATTGTGCACTTTTTGTATCATAAAAAACAAAAAGAGGACATGCTCTTCACACATAAAGCTAGTTAAAGTTCTTTAGGGGATTGGAGTGATCCTTTAAAGTAAAAATTTTCCAATACTGACACTCTAAAAAAATAAAAGCATTTATTAAATATACCACAAAGTAAAAAGAACAGACAAGGGAATAGCAAATTTTAGGTACTGGTAAATATACATATTGTTAGAAATATTTATTGTCTTATCCAACTCTGCCTCTAAAGAGACTGTAATGTAATTTTACTAAATTGGGAATAGTAAGAACTGACAAGGAACTGAAAACATTAGGTTAATAAACTGATCAGGAAGAATATTTGTGTTGCGGAATTTAAAATTTAGCTGTATTGGAATATAATTTGTAATTTCCTGGTCAATTCTCCACAATCCCCCACTCAATGAATGTATCTCACTGTCACAACTACTGATTGTGTACTTTCCATAAACTGTTAGTAAAATCTACACTTATTATTTTATAAAAAGAAACGTCTTGCACCTCCATTGCTTGCATTCCACTAGAGTCATAAACGCGTTCATGCAATGCAACACTGACAGCCAATGACACACAGCATGCTGTTGGCAAAATCATCCTAATTTCAGCACTAAAACCCATGCATTAGATTGACCTACCAGTGGATTGCTCGAAGACGACATCTTACTGACATTTGAAGTGTTTCTGACAACCTGTTATATTAAAGTTTTGATTGGTTGGCATTTTAAGTGGTATACAATTCACTATCACTAGGAAGCGGCTGATAACAATTAGACAGAGATAGAACTAGAACTACACCATATGTTAATAAGAAAGCAGAGCTGTTGGTTTAACTCCTGATGTATGATCGAACACTCCTGCCTCCATAACAACTACATTGAGATGTTGATGACGTTGTTATAGAGTAGGATAGATATTTTAACGTCTGCCTGTAGAACACTCAGGGACCATAGTGGCTCACACTGATTGTATACCATTCTAATCACTACCTGGACATCTCGGAGTATGTCTGGTGGGGTGCAGTTGACCAAGCTCCATTGATCTAAAGGCTGGTAGGATATTTTTGAATCACCCAGATTCTACTACAATATATGCCATCATCATCTGACCTTGCCAGAACAGACTGGCATAAAATAACCAATCCAAAACAACAACAAAAAACAGATCAATTTAGGCTTAACAATGTAATAACCCAAAACTGCAGCAAAGGAACGATTCTTGGAAGATATAACCGATAGAGCCAATATAGCTCACTTGCCCAGCAGTTATTAGACAAAACACAGAGCAACGGATTGTAGTTGTACAATTGAAGTAATATGGAATTTAACGCATTAAATCAAATTGTGCAAAGGTATTCCCTCTAACCAGTTTTGGTGAGGAATTCAGCAGTGAAAACATTAACGTCACCATTACCACACGTCCCACTTTAAAGAGAAAATGATTGTTCCTATGCAAATGACATAATGTGTGTTATAAAGAATAATTGATGAACAGTTTACATTACAAACAAATGCTTTCTGGAAACTACTAAAATATATGGGAAGGTTCATTCACCAAAGTGTGAATTGTCCAGAATGCAATAAATGTATTCAGTAAACACTGAAATGTAGTGAACATAAACCAAAATGCAAAATCTAGACAAATAATACCCAGCTGTAACAATAAACTAGTCTTGGGATTTTTCCATATCAGCACTTACTGCTAAAATTTAGCTGTTTGGTTTAAATTCAATGTTAAGTAAATAGAGATTTTTCCAATTTGTCGCTTTAGCTCTAAAAATTTAAATTCACATTGAATTCCTGACAGTTCGGACGTTACTGATCTATGTTTGCCTTTTATCCCGGTTACAAAGTTACAATGTGAAATGTATTCCAGTTCTTGTGTCTGGGGATAGCCAAGGTTTTATTTACTAAAGGGATTGCTACGCATGTTACACGTTTCACGATACTTAACCTCAAATTAATTATGATGAACTTCTCCATCTTTACAGACTCACAAAAAAAAAAAAAAAAAAAAAATCGTCACATAAGAATTCTTCTTTCTTTCACGTACGCATACATCCTGTGTCTGCTTACATTCCACCGTCTTTTTCCGTGATGCTTATTAGCCGTTTCATTACTGTAGCCAAGCGATGTGTTGTGATAAGCTGCACAATTCTACACTGCAAACATTGGGAGCTATGTGACGGATTCCATTCTGTATTACTACGGTTAACAAGAGCCTGTAGAAACAGACTTTATAAATACTCCTTGCCATATGCGATCGCTTGATTATTTAAAGGCAGAAGGATATTATTGTTAAGGGAAACACAATATATTTACAGCTGTATAATAATTCAGTGAGATTTATGTTAGTCGAAATGAAATATAAAATGTGTTAGTAATTATATTTCATGATAGAGTGACTCATGCAATTGCACAGAGAGTTACAAAGAAGTGAGAATTTGGAGAGGGAGAATTCCATTGTTCTGATATGATGATCCCCTTCTATTCTCTCTTTACTCTTTAAGCTAGTCGTCCCCCATTATCACATCTGTTTATATCAGCCACTCTCTGCCTTCTCATCCTTAGAATGGTGGGTTTCTGTTTTTCACATCTTTGGTCCTCTATTCTTCACATTGGTGGGCCTCTATTCTACACATTGGTGGGCCTCTATTCTACACATTGGTCGGCCTCTATTCTACAGATTGGTCGGCCTCTAGTCTTCAGATTGGTCGACCCCTAGTCTTCAGATTGTGGGCAGCTATTCTTCACATTGGTGGGCCTCTAGTCTTCAGATTGATCGGCCTCTAGTCTTCACATTGTGGGCCTCTATTCTTCACATTGTGGGCCTCTATTATTCACATTGGTGGGCCTCTATTATTCACATTGGTGGGCCTCTATTCTTCACATGGTCGGCCCCTATTCTACTTTTGCCTACATTCCAGGCCCCCCTTTAAATTAGTTCCTGCATATCAGCCTCTCTGTGATTTATTCTCTTTACACCCCTTCCTAAGTCAATAAAACAAGTACCATGAAGTTTAGTAATGATGGCCAGATCCCAGAATATACATGGTAACTAGTGAGAAATGCTCCTAATTAAAAACATTTATAATGTAATTATTATTATTTACAATCTTCCTTTCTATATCCACAGTTCACACTGCCCAACTAAGTGAAAAACAAAACAAACCCAGGATAATGACCACAAAATGCAGCATTAAGGCTCATAGAGCCGAGATAGCATAGTAATCGGCACATATTTCCTATATGGCAATGAAATTTCTATAAACTCATGGGCACATTCTATTTTCACATGTAACGAAACTAAGCAATGCCTTTAACAAACTACAGAACAGCTGCTCCCTACAGAACAGGTGTCAATTTATAGAACGCAAATGGCTACTGGTGTAACCAACACCGTACGCACTGTACAGTAACAAAGTGAATACATTATAGTTGTCACTACAAATAAAGCAAGATTTCTAATAATCAGTGGAGGATAGACACCACCCATGGCTAATCTTGATACTGCAGATATGTGTGAACATCATTTAGCATCATGCTCGGCTAGGCCTTTTTTATTTTAATTTACTCAATTCATTTATTCACTAGACCCTTTTAATTACATGAGAATGGATGTAGCACTCTGCAATGCTGTGGAGGGTAGTGTTTTACAAAGAACACTGAAATTATTCTAATTTCAAAAGAATGTTCTAAAATGTGGCTTAGACACTTCACCCCGAAATTCCTAAGCAATAGCACATCTCTTAAAGGATTAACCACTGCAGCTATAATGAGTTTGATATTGGGCATGATAGGTAATGTAGTTCTTCATAGCTGTAGTCTGAAAGGTTAGAGAGAGGGATTTTAACCCAGAGCTAGGCCTTAAAGGGCAGTGGTCTTCAAATGTTCAATTCATGCTTTTTTAAAGTTTATTACATTTAATGAAACTAAATATTTATTTTTTTAATTGCGAATATTGAGTTTTTTGATAAAAGTATACTTTTTCTTCTCTGTTTGAGTGGCCAGGTCGGGTCCGATTTCATTGTTATCTGGCCAACTGCGGCTCAACCTAACTTGTCTGCTGCGGTGATTGCTCTGTGAGAAACTACAGCAGAAGCAAATTAGGTTGAGCAGTGTACATAAATAAGGTACACAGCGCACCTTATTTATGTATTATTATTTTATTATTTATATAGCGCTATCAGATTCCATAGCGCTGTACAATGTATGTTTTAGTGTTCTTTTAGAGTCTTAGCACTTCTAAGGTTGCTGATATTTTATGTTTATATATTGATATACAATAATAGATATACTAAGTGCCACCCATTCAATTATTGTTCACTTTATCACTAGGTTAAACAGCAGTTGGTCAGATAACAGTAGTGTCTAACCCAACATGACTGCTCAGCAGGGTACACAAATGAGCACATACCTCCCAACTCTGGTGTCCTGAGAATCGGAACACCGGTGGGTGGGGGTGTCCCGGCTGTCTGCCTATCTTTTAAGGCTAACCCACTGAGGGCAGTCCCTACAGGAAGCACTGTTTCAAGGTCCTAGTGCCCTGAACATATCACACGTCCATCTAATGAGAACTATTTAAGGACCATCTAAAGTGTCCTTCTAGGAATGCAAAGCCTCGTGGCAATTGTAATTTGGTTCATCTTTGACCATCGTTACTCTAAAGGTCAAAGAAATATGATTTAATTTTCGAGTATAAAAGATACTTTCAGGAAAATCTATTTTTTTACATTCCTGCTGATTATTAAAGCAATCCATCTTTAAAACTGAATTTAGTCGATCTTAAAAAAGAAGAATATATAAATACACACATAACTATGGATAAAAATAAATAAAATAAAAAATATTTTTCCTTTTATATAATTCCAAACGAATTACCAATGTAATTCCCATGTGTGATTGTAAAAGACCCTAAATAAAATAAATGCCCAGTATAAAAGTTATTTTTCTGGCAATTAACATTTAGCTTTCAGAACATGCATGACATTTGATTCAATAATTTACTGTAGAGAATTTCAGTGCATCCATCACTGTACTTGTTTAAATGTGAGATGGATGACACAGCAGTTTAATCTCTGTGCCGCGAAAGGGTTTTGAAGATGTTAATGAATTATGGACTAGTTGAGGTTGCGGTAATTGACCACCTGACTGAAAGAGCACATTATAAAAAAAGAACTCACAGGGTTCAATCTACTATGGAGCCACATGGATTGAAGCAACGGCATTGCTTATTTCTAATTTGTTTATTTGATTATTTATGATCTATTTAGTAAAGCTGTAATTAGAAAAAATATTATCTCTAAAATTACCAACCATCTGGCTGACTATTACGGAGAGTTGACATGAAAGAATTGTGGAGAATGGCAACAGGCCAAAATAGCTGAAATGAAAGGGGAACACAATCTTAAAATCAGTTATTTTGGTCTGAAATTTGTAATTGTCTGAGAAATTCTCATCAAAACCTGATTTCTGTGATGTTTCTTTAGTAGTTTTCAACGTAACAGTCAGATTATATTACATTTGATTGATAAAGAGGCACTCTAAGGTGCTAGAAGGCTATTGGTGCTGTTTTTTGGTTCTTCATCAAACCATTTTTGAATGGTTCGAAACAAACTGAGGATCCCTCACTTCTGCATTAGTATTGTCAATTTTGTCCAAATTTGATCGTCTGAAGAAGTCTTGGTTTTCAGCAACCTGCTTGACATTTTTGTAACATAATTTGGGGTGTGTGTAGCATAGCATGCTAGCACTGTAACATTACAACAGCCTTACAATGCAAATAATAAAAATTAGAAAGAATTGTTCATTTTTTATTTTTTACAGTACTAATGTGACAAGTTCTACAAATGAAAAACCCGTAAGACACATAGATTTCACATTAACCAATTGCTCTTTCCATCCTTAATGGAACTCAGAAACGACACTCCTTCCCCACTATTTCCCCAAACCTTTTATTTAGATGCAGTGGACATAATTGTTGACTTCTTTTGTGTATCAAACATACGCAGATTTTGTTTCCAAACTGAATTGTGAATGTGAAAGAAACTTTGAATCGTATCAAACTGAAATATATCAATGGTAAATACACATCATCTAAATGGTTTTCAAACCAAGCCAAACAATCTAATATCCCAACTGATACAGGTGTAGATCATACCTTTGGGCTTGGAGAATATGTAGGTTCTGGGTTTGAAGATCTCATAGCCGATCTTCCCCTATAATTTCTTAATTCGTCTGAGAATGGAAGTGGTGGACGAGCAGTAATCGCAGACTGAGTAGGGGCAGGCGATGGGGATGGTGGAGATGGTAAATGCATCCACGTTGGCTGTATAGGTGAAGGTCTTGAGTGCCTTGAAGGAGCTGGAGGAGCACTTCTTCTCATTAAGGTTATGTTGGGAGAAGGTGACTGGTGGGCTGTAGATGAAGAAGACAACATGCGAGGAGATGGAGGTGGAGGAGCCATCCTTTTAGTTGGCCGATTTGTTTCTTCTAGATTGATTTCATCTAAGTCCGTAGTGTGAAGCTGCAAGCCACCAACAAACCTCCTCACGGAAGTGACGGTAGGTGCAGCTGGAGGAGGAGAAGGGACAGGCGGATGTCCGCTTGCCACCTATGTCAAACAACATCATAAATCAACTTCAAGAACTGTCAGTAAGAGTTGCTAAGAAGTTTTGTAATAGGTGAAAGGACGTGCTCTTAAATATCAGATAAAAAACAGAGACACACCAAACCAGAGAAACACCAAAAACAAAACAAAACAATACTGCTCAAACTGCATGCTAGAAATATAAAGCAAATTAGATTTCATTTAATAGCACTTTAATTACACTTGTCATAAATTACTAAAGTGAAACATGTTTGTAGGACCTTGTAGCTTTAGAAAGTGAGTTCTATTATTGGGCGGACTATGAATTCTATGCTATCGGCCTGCCATTATTAAAAAGCAGTAATATATTATTAGCTGTGTGTGATCTATCTCAGCTGGCACATTTTTGTTTTATGTTTCATTTTATCTTGACTGCTGTCATCACTGGACTGTAACAAGCAGTTTTCTTGGAATTACATAACCGTTGAACCTCAAAGCACTGCAATAATTGATGTTCGAGTCCTTCAAAATGCACTTGTAAGCACTTCGCAAAATACGAGAAATAAATATTTGTTTGTGTCGATTGCAGCACCACGAATAGTGCTTTAGATGTTTAACCCCCTAAGGACACATGACATGTGTGACATGTCATGATTCCCTTTTATTCCAGAAGTTTGGTCCATAAGGGGTTAAAGAGCTAGCACAGGCCAAGGCAGTTCTGTCACGTTTACAGAGAGTTAAATAAATCATTATGGAATTAAACGAGTAACTGCACATTATCTGGATATAAAGCACATATAGGTCACAATATAGCTACTGTGAATGCAGGGTTATACTCGACCAGCCTCAGCCAATACATAGTACACAGTAACACAGTATATTAATGTCACAGCGTCCCTCAGAACAGGTTTCACAAGAGTAATAAAAAAGTTAGTAAATCTTAAGAAAATGATATTCAATAATATTCAGTATACAATGTACAATATTAATAATATCTAAATGGTAAAAGGCAATCTATCACAGTCATAAATAATCCTTTTTGGTATTTCATATATTGAACTCAGTTGGTAGATAATGTCTTTTTAGTATTAATTTACTAAAACAAAATGCTAAATGTATTCCCAAACTGTGAATGTTGTATAATTTTTCCAATTCTGCTCTTTTGTCCTTAATTTTACAAATGATTTTGTATCAATTTAAATTCACTTCTTAGTGTCTGTTGATATCAATTGCTGAATTAAATACAATGTTCGTCATTGTGTGACAGATGCACGTTACATACCATAAGGCATTCTTCTCTCAACGACATAATCATGTTTAGTAATATTAGATAGAAATATACTGTGGAGGGCTTAGAAAGTATCACAGTTTACTATGTGATCAGAATCCTAATTTGTTGGGATAATATTTTTGAACAAAACACCTTCAGTTGAAGCTTGGATGGAAATAATCTGTGATAGATTTCCTAAAACAATAACTACATCCAACCACTCAGAAAATGTTCGCTTGAAAGATAACACGGTTACCTCGAGAGTATCATTCTCTGAGATCTGTTCTAACCGTGTCTGGCAGAGTCTTTCAACCCAATGCTGAACCTTTTCTGACTCTTCAAGGTCTTCTCGTTCTGTCTCTGAAACCTTGGTCAGGTCATTATTGAAGTACATGTCAGTGGTGATATTAAATATATGGTGCACCAATCATTACAGTAATACAGTAAAGCTGGTAGAATTCCAGGAAAAATAAACTAGAGTTAATGGGTTACAGACATCATCAAACCAATGTTTTGGGGTTTTATGAATGACTCAATAACCTATGAAAAATGAACGTAAAAAACTAAATTACAGTTTAAACAGGTAATGGTTTATAAAGTACAAAAAGGTTTCAGTTTGTCAGGCTTGTAGTAGGGTTTTAGGGCAAGTCTTGGTAAGTAAGGGTTAGGACACCTAGTGTTAGTGAGCCAGTAATAAAGTACAAGGGGAGAAAGCTTTGTAAGGTAGAGTTAGCAGGTTAGCATCAAATAGCTAGAATTCATTTGTTGTGTCTGAGGTTTATGGTAAGTGTTGACAGGTTAGAATTTGGACAGCAGTAGTCATTTTGGAGTTTCTTCACTTCCTCCGTAGTGTATCATGGCACAGGGTTCCCACCACACAGCTTTGAAAGAGACAAAGAAAGACAGAAATACCTCTTGGACCAGCCGATTTATCTTTAGTTGTTTTTCTTTTTCATGCATCTCTTCTTTTTCTTTTGCAAGTTTCTTTTCAAATTCAACCTCCTTCTTACTCTTCTTTTGTTCAAAGAGGCTTTCCATTTTAGACTTCTTTTTCTCTTTCCCTTTCTAAGTATATATATTTTTTTAATCAAGGTTTAAAAAAATTGGCCAAATAATATAGATTTTAGCGTTTACAACAATCTATAAACCAAAGCAACATTCCAACATAGCAAATATTAAAAAAAACAAAAAACATTATTTGAATATAATAAAGTATCGGAATTATAGCAAAGTACACACAAAAACAAGAAGTACTTAAAAAAAAAAAAAAATATGACAACAGCGTAAACCAAATCCATAAGGAACATAATACTCATCTTCAGATTTTAAAGGGGATGCATTTTTATGTGTTCTAAGTATTAAAACAATCTGCCATCTTAATTGTGGTGAACTAAGAGGCTTTCTATACTTATGATTACGAGACCCTGTTTATTTGGGGGTCTAAATCCTAGAGATCTTGTGAAGATCTATGATCGCTATTGTCTATTCCCTCACAGTTGGTGCCAAATGTAGTGGGGAGGTTGAGATTTGTGCCAGTAACATGGGAGTTGAATGGTTGCCCCTTAAAGTAATTCCTTTTTGTGACGCTTTTAGATGGCTCCACTATTCCTGTGACTATGACCTTGATATATTTTTGGATAAACATTTCAAATGATTCAATACTATAAAATTATTTTAACTTTGTAATAGTTTGATATTTTTTATAGATTAAAACAAAATCTGATTTCATCTTGATATTTTAATATTTTAAATAACATAATTTGAAAAGATTATACCACAATAGTAAATCAAGGCCCATATAAACAAGTTAATAATTTTCCACTTCAGCATATGATGGGGCTCTATGACATAATCATGACAAGGTTCTATGCCAATCAATCATTCACGAGGCTCTATAGTTTTGTCGCAGACATAAGGGAGGATATGACAAAACAAACTTGTTCTTGTCTGTACAATTGCTTGTAGCTTTTAATACAATGTGCACATCATTTTATTATGGGCTGTATTCACAAAATAAAAAAGTGTATTCACTATAAAGGGAATTGTGAAGAAAAATTGAATTGCAAACATTAGTAGAGCAAACAGAGTCATGACTTATGTGGTCAGAAACTACATTTTGGGGACTTCCCAGGGGAAATGCAGTTTTCATTAAATAATTACAATATTGCACAAATCCAATTTATGGGAAAATAGTTTATTAGTGATTAAGTAGGATGATGTGTTTATCATCCAGGGATCATAATATTATAAAGACACATTTATCAAAATATCAACAGCATAATCTCTACAGTAAAAGAAAAATTACATCTTGGGAAAAAAAAAAAACATGCTTGATGAACATTTGCACACAGAAGAGCATGCCACATGCATGTAGACCTCTCTGCTTGACGTTTGTAATATTAAGGTCCCGGGGACATTTTAAAAATAAATAAATAAATAATAAGGCCATTAAAAGATTCCAATAAAAAAAAAAACAGTCAACACGGAAAAAATGGAGTCAGAATGAATATTCAGTTGTTTTTTTTTCCCGTTGTGGGCCACCATTCGTTGCACCACTTTTGACAACTATTTTATAAATCATCCCAGTAGTAAATCAAAAACAGGGTTTTGGATGAACGTTAAGTTAATATTAATTACAAAAAAAATGACATAAATGTATGGGTTTATATAAAATATGTAATGTCTTCTACGTAGCCCAGATACATATTAAGTGCTCTACTGGAGATTAAAGGAACACTTCACTACCCCCCAACCCAAAATAAAAATCAATGTTTAGTAGATATACTCCCATTTAATAATTGGACTCTTGTCTGCTGCCTTTGCAAACCCTCCCTTTCTAGCCCTGCCCAGACATTTTATGGCTGTCCAATCACAGACTTCCAAGAGCAGTTCAATGAGAAGTCTTTGCAAAGCAGGTGCACTGGGCATTGTTGACTCTTGAGTTTCGCTCCACTGAGCTAAACAAACTAAGACGTAACAGGACAAGTTATCTGATTGACAACTAAGAGGGTGGTGAAAATAGAAAATTGTGCAGGAGCAAGAGGGTTACTGTAGTAATACACACAATCGTCACAGTGTTTTAATGAACGCAGAGATCGCAAATACATAACAGACAGTTTCGACATTTGCTGCTGTGGCAGGATTTGGGCTAGTTTTTAATTTTAAATACTACAAAGGTTTTGCAGATAACTGGTCCACAAATCCTATTGCTTTGCACAACCAGGAGGGTGTAGCAAGGTCAATTTATAAAAGTGCCAATTTTTATTGACACCTGCACTTTTTTTAAAATGAAAAAAGAGCACACGTTCTTCACACACAAAGCATTTCAGCAGCTAAATTGATTTAGGTGTCTGGACTTTGTAGCATCCCTTTAATTGATCTGAGAAGAGGTCAAACTGATGATCTCACAGAGAGCATGGATGGCAATTTTAATGACATTTAACCCATGGCACACCAAAGCTGGAAATAAGCACTTGTGGTGGTTTTATGTAGTGGAGGTAAATTACATTAAAATCGGTTCTTGTCTACATTACTATATATAAGGTATGTTCGGCACAGAGGTAAATCCCCAACACTACAGGTGCCTGCACCACGGGGACTTTGCTGGGGTCATAATACTATTCATAGCATGCACACTGTTCTGCTGTAAAAATGAATATTTTATTCCATCAAGGACCAAAGGAACAGGAAAACATTTCAGTCACAAACACCTTTCTCAAACTGTGGATCAAAACCACTTTTTTGCTTCTTGATGGAAGAATAGATTCAGTGTGCTCCATTGATTTCCATTTCATCTGTACTCTTGTCAGAAGTACTATTTAGGTGACAAATTAACTTTCCAGGTAAACGCACTCTAACTCCTTCTGCAACAGACTGAACATAACTGGAGGTTTTTCTAATTCTGGGTTCTGCTCGTGTCGAGGTTTAGAACGCATGACTCGCACATCAAAACTGGAACGAACAGCTGCAGAGCACGCAGACAGAAAACAACACACACAAATACCACGCCGTACCTTTCTAAGAGTGGGGAATTTTCCATCGTATCGATAAAACCAGCCAAAAGCTATTGTTAGAGAATGAAGCACAGGTTAAGTTGTTTTATTATTTTTTATATTCTCATAAGGCCTTCAGTTACAGAACATTTTGTTTTAAAAAAAAAAAAAAAAAATATTTGATTTGAGGTAATACTTTTTTTAGGTGTTCACGATGACGCACATTAAATGTCACCCCCTACATTCAGTTTATAAAAGGGAAGTTTCAGTTTCATGCGAATGTATAAAAAACTGTTATTTCCTCATGAGTCACAGCCCATTAACTTGTGTCCTCTGTACTGGACATTTCGTTCACATGCATCTCCTTTTATTCTTTTGAGCTACTCTATCAATCCCTGCTGTATTGTAAAGAGGACAACCTGGGCTTTCAGGTGATATGTCATGTGATTGGCTGGGATTCTGGGAACTGCCTCTTCCTTTTCATAAAAAATGTATGACATATTGGAAGACAATTTTTTACCTCGGTTCCCAAGAGGATATAAGTGCCTTTGAAATCTTAAATACTCAAAAAAATAAACATTGGAAAAGTTCACATTTCTGTATTACAACACAATGAATAAATATGTTAAGAACATTTAATTCCAACAGAAGCAATCATTTCACACACAGTGTGGCCTTCTTTTTCTATCAGACCCTTTGATCTAGATTTATTACCAAGTCAGAAATGTGGTTCTCCTAAATGTCATCCTTTCCAGTGTTTTCCAAGATACGACGCTTCAAAGCATCAATAACAGACTAAAAACACTACCTGAGTTATTCATTAAACGGATTTTTGTCTGAATAATCAAATTGCACCCAGAATAGCAATTCTCATATTTACTTAAGCCAAATCCAGTTAAAATTCGGTCGGTCCGAGCGAATCTGCCACAATCACCCAGATGCATTCAGTGTCCGAATTAAATTTAGTTATTTTCGCATTTGAATCCTATATAAAGTAAAGTGCAGGATTCAACATATTTACAAAGTGCTAGCAGTCAGCGAGCATTGTTAACTAACCCCTTTGTAGGGTGGAGGTTAATCATGTGGCAGCCAGCTGCCACGTTAAAATGTAAATAAATAAATAAATAAAAAAAGCTTTTGGGGGTCAATAAGACTCCCATATTAGTATAAGGTGGGCTTTTATCTTCCCTTTTGTCCCCACCTGCTGCTCATTCTACATAAAGCCCGTGCAGAGCACAGATGGATTAAATTTTTATTGCAACACAGTTTGATTTAAAAAAATAAATAAATTGAGAATTGTGCTTTTTTTATTATTAATAGTTGGGTCACATATTATGGATTTTAGTCTGGTATTTTTGGGGACTGAAGAAAAGATGATTTACAATAAAGAAGACTTGTGATGTTAAGTATGATTATTTTATTTTACCGATAATAGTTTTTAGATATTGTAAAGATATTTGTTTAATACCCTCCTCACTATTATTAGGGTGCTGGTTTAACTTATGTTAATGGCAAGTGGCTAGGAAATTGGGGACCCTGAGCTACCTGGTGGAGGGCAATGGCAGACAGGTCCCACCACTTAAATAGTAAAATTATAATATTATAATTAGAGTCCCTACCGACTACCAATGGATGGAGTCTGGCACTACGTCCACTCGGCATTTAATTGTCATGTAACGCCAAGGTTTTAAACTATTTGCCCGCTGACTGCTTTCAGTGCAAGTGAGCAAATAGTTAGTATTTTTTTAAATCCTGGCCTGGATTTGAAGCATTAGGTACAGATTTCCACTAAACCAAACATCACTGGACAGTTGAAATCCAGACGCAAATGTTTCAAATCCAGACCTAATTCAGACTCATTTGGAGCCTGGGTTGTGAAATCTGCACATTGTTAAATACTGCAGTCCAAATGGCCACGTACACAGCTAGATGGTTTTGCCATTCTGACTTTAGTGAATAACCCTGAATATGTTGCACTATAATAAAATACAAAATGTAAACTAGTGGCAAAAATATAGGGTTCACAATATTCTGACCTTCTGGGGTTGTGTGGTGGGAGTAAGATATTTTTGCCTTTTAACCTTTCCACATTGTACTAGAAGAAACGGACATTGTAGAAATATGTAATATATCAGCACCCTTAGAAGAATGAGAGTGAGCGGAGATCATTGAAGAGCAAATTTAACAAAAACAGTGGGGAGGAGACCAAGAAATAGTCATATATCAGTCTCTCACCAATTTGTTATGGCATGCTTGGGAACTATATGTAATAAATCACCACGTCACTTGAAAATTGTAGATTAAATATCTCAAAATAGGCATGAAAATCATCTACTATTGTTTGTATATCTAATTAAGTGTCTATTATTGATAAATATCTATGCACTGAACCTACACTTATCAGCCACAACATACCACTGACAGTGAATAACATTGATAATTTTGAACTGGACCATGGAACAATGGAATAAGGTTGCCTGGTCTGATAAATCACATTTTCTTTTAGATTAGGTGGATAGCCAGGTGCATGTGCATCAACTTGGGGAAGAAATTGCAGCAGGGTGCACTATGGGAAGAAGGCAGGCCAGTGGAGGCAGTGTTCTGCTCTGGGCAATGTTCTGCTGGGAAACCTTGGGTCCTGGCATTCATGTGGATATTATTTTGAGAGATTGTTTCAGACCAAGTAAATCCCTTCATGGCAATGGTGTTCCCTAATGTTAGTGGCCTCTTTAAGCATAATGCACCCTGCAATATTGCAAAAAGTATTCAGGAATGGTTTGAGGACATGATAAAGATTTCAAAGTGTTGTCTTGGCCTCCAAATTCCTCAGCTCTGATTGAGCATCTGTGGGATGTGCTGGAAGAACAAATCCATTTCATGGAGTCCCCACCACACAACTTGCAGGACTTAAAGCATCTGCTGCTAATGTCTTTGGTTCCAGATACTACAAGACACATTCGGTAGTTTTGTGGAGTCCATGCCTTGACATATCAGAGCTCAACTTAATTGTATCACATTACAATGAAAGGACAAAAAAAAAAAAAACCACCCTGCCAGGAAATTAACCAGCAACTCTGATGGACTGCAGCTGGAACATTTACTATCAATATTGTGGAGTTGGAATCTGAGATGTGGACAATTACTGGAGTCAGAGTCAAAGTTGGTAAAAATCTTTTTACCAACTTTGATTAAATGTACTTATATGCTAACGTATAGGTCGATCCAGAGTATATGTTGACCAACAAATTAAAAGGTGGAGTATAGGTTTAGGCCTTGTTTGACAGATAATTCAACTCCCCGAATAATATAATACAGCACCATATAGTAAAAATATGAGTCGGTGGTACGGTAAAATGAGACGTCAGAGTCAAAGGTTTTGTGTACCAACTTCACAGCTCTGTTTACTAGTAAATTGAATATGGATGGCGTTCTAAGAATATATAACACATTCTACAGTTTTACATATATAATGAAGAAAGCGGATATGAATGCCCTACATGACACACTATCATCCTAAAATGAGGCTCCACAATTACGAGTAAAATCATCACTGTTACTCCAAACTTACCTTTCTTTTATGGTTTCTCTACCATTTTCTCAGAATCTGTTCTTTTTATCCATTTCTGATTTGGTTTTCTAGATCAGAAACATAAGACAAAGTAGGGACTATTTCATTTTATGTATTTTTCCTAAGCCTAACATTCTCTGACACAAGGAGGAGTTTAACTCGGCTCCAATTCCTGTGTCAATGAGGAGGGTGAATGTTATGGGAAAATGTTCTCTGACACAGGAAATGGAACGGACTAAAGCTCCTCCTTGTGTCAGATAAAGTCAGGCTTGGGAAAAATACATAAGACAAAGTAGTCCCTACTTTATCTAATGTTCTAAAGAAAACTAGATCATAAATAAGGAAGTACAGATTTCGTGACAGTGCCGCTTTAAATAAAAAAATCAACAATAAAGTTCTGAAAACCATAGAGTGAAAAAAAAGTGTAAGTCACACTGTATCCTGCATTAATAGTTTTTTCTTTTTTTGTCTTTCTTTTACAGGAGAAATATTAATAAAATAATTCATGAAAAATGTCTGCTGTTGAATTGTTAAGCCTAAAATCGTTTCTGGCTGTCAGGACGAAAGATAAAATGATTCAAGAAAATATACTGATTAGAGATCGGTAAAATAAAAGAATACAATTCAAACCTGCTTGATTTGACTTCCTGTAGCAGATTCATCTGTGGGCTGTGCATCAGCTGGGAACACAATGGGGGTTAAATCGTGATAATGGATCCCTTACTAAACAAAGCACTTCAACATGAATTGGAATTTAGAGGCAAGGCTACGGAACAGAAAAAGCTTCCAACAATAAATTCTTATATTGAAAGATAGTGTGGGTGCATTTATGTTCTAGCTTACACTATGTAAGAATACGCCTAATTCTGGATATTTTATATTATTCATCTTTTTCAGGAAGATGCATGTGATTTCCCAGTCTGGAATTAAGGCAAAATAAAAAATAAAAAATAAAACATCCGGTTCTATCATTCTTAAAAGAGAATTCTGTGAGTATACCATAGACGTTGACCCTTTAACAAACTAGAAGTGTAACAATAATGTAAAACGTGGGATACATTGCTACCATGGGTAAAACAGGTCTTTAATACATAGATTGCTGTCAAAACTAAAATTACATAAATTAAAATATTTAAAAAAAAATATTTATGCATTCATTCTTAAGAGAAATACTAAGAAGGGAGTGGGCTATAATATTGTATATAAGTTCATGAGTAATTTGCGGTATTATTTATGATACCTATGCATGTAGGCTGCTTGTGTAATTGTGTGTGTGGATGATATGTCACATTGTGTGTTTAGTTGGGTTTGTATTTGTGGGGCTGCTTTGAGTATTGCATGTGAGAGGCTGGTTGTGGGGTTGTGTGCGTGTATGACAATTGTCAGTGGTGTTCTGGTTGTGGGGACTGTGTGTGTGTGTGTTGTGTGAGCGGTTTGTATTATTTATATGTAGAAGATGTTTCTTATGCAGCTCTTTGTATATCTATAGGGGGGCACGGATCGGGGGAGAGAGGGCGGGGGGTGGGCCACGGATCAGTTTTGCACTGGGGCCCCATGTATTGTGTGTACACCACTGTCTAGCAGTGTTGTTGGCTGTCCAAATACAGGTCAAGAAGAGAAGCTGAAATAGCTGCTGTGGGCTGCTCTACTCCAGTGGGAATTCTTATTCACAAGTGCTGGTAGGAAGCGATCTTAGATCACTACCTCTAAAAGCTGCAATATGTAAATCGAAGATTGTCCCTCAGCACCTGGAATCACCGCTCAGTTTGAACGAGCAGATATCTGCAGTTTCTATTTGTCTCTGGCAGCCTTGAGTGCCGTGCAAAGGCACCTTGAGTGCCATGGGCCTTATGACCCCTGCCATAAGGTGTAATCTTAAATATTAGCTAAAATAATAAAATACCTGCTTAAGGGTGCTTGTAGGGAAACTGGTGACATTTTTTTGGCTGATGAAAAAGGCCAACAGAATTTCGAAATAATTCCGGTTTGTGCTATAATGCCCAAGTACAGTAAATGATTTTATCTGGTTAAACTCAAAGCTATAGCGGGCACTGCAGGATGCTACTGCAGCCTGCATGTAGGACATGCAGAGTGCTGTCGTATGTGTGGTTCGTCTGGGGGTTGATGGTCCTGTAGGCATGATATTTATTACTTTTATTGGTAGTAACTTTTAACAAAATTCAAAAAAGTGATAGCTGTTTCCAGACTTAAAACAAAATGCAGAAAACAACTTTAATTTAGTAATTGTTAAATAGTTTTGGAGTCTCTTGTTTCCCACGCTCTGTGTGTACGGTTGTTTGCTCTCTGAGGTCAAACCAGGAGAAATTTACCAATAGGAAAGTGACAAGACACAGATGTGAGTAGAGGAACAAAAAGGGTCTGACATCACAAAAACAGCCAGACGGTAAAAAAATTAATAAAAAACAAACAATTAAGGGGAAATAGTTTAATTAATGAATGATCAGTAAATACTTAAGATTTTACCAGTTAAACTGATCAACATGAAATATCAGTAAATATTAAAGGCTATGATAAATATATTTGTCAGTATAATGGATGAGTAGATATTAAAGGTTATCCCAGTTCAATTGATTAATAGAATGGAACAGTAGATATTAAACCGTTTCCAAGTTTTTCTGATCAATAGAATAGATTAGTAAATATGAAAGTTATCTCGGTTATATAGTAATCGATAGAATGGATCAGTAAATATTAAAGGCTATCCCAGTTATAGAGATCGATAGAATAGACCAGTATGTATTAAAGGCTGTCTCAGTTATAATGATCAATAAAGTAGATCAGAATCTATTAAAGGCTCAGTTATAACAATCAAAAGACTAGATCAGTACTTATTATAGGCTATTCCAGTTATAGAGATCGATAGAATAGATCAGTAAATATTAAAGGCTATCTCAGTTATACAGATTGATAGAATAGATAAGTAGGTATTAAAGGCTATCACAGGTATAGTGATAAATAGAATGGATCAGTAAATATTAAAGGCAATACCAGTTCTAGTGATCAATAGAATAAATCAGTATATAGTAAAGGCTATCCCAGTTATAGTGATCAATAAAATAGATCAGTAAATATTAAAGGCTACCCCAGTTCTAGTGATCAATATAATGGATCAGTAATTATTAAAGGCCATCTCAGTTCTAGTGATCAATATAATGGATCAGTAAATATTAAAGGCTATCTCAGTTATAGTGATCAATAAAGTAGATCAGTATATATTAAAGGCTCAGTTATAGTGATTAGTAGAGTAGTTAAGTAAATATTAAAGGCTATTTCAGTTATAGAGATCGATAGAATAGCTCAGTAAATATTAAAGGCTGTCTCAGTTATAGATCAAAAGAATGGATCAGTAAATAGTAAAGGCTATCACCGTTCTAGAGATCAATAGAATAGATCAGTAAATATTAAAGGCTATCTCAGCTATACAGATTGATAGAATAGATCAGTATATATTAAAGGCTCACTTATAGTGATCAGTAGAGTAGTTAAGTAAATATTAAAGGCTATTTCAGTTATAGAGATCGATAGAATAGATCAGTAAATATTAAAGGCTATCACAGTTATAATGATCAATAGAATAGATCAGTAATTATTAAAGACTATCCCAGTTATAGAGATCAAGAGAATAGATCAGTTTGTATTAAAGACTGTCTCAGTTATAATGATCAATAAAGTAGATCAGTAACTATTAAAGGCTCAGTTATAATAATCAATAAAGTAGATCAGTAAATATTAAAGCCTATGTCAGTTATAATGATCAACAGAATAGATCAGTAATTATTAAAGGGTATCCCAGTTATAGAGATCAATAGAATATATTAGTAAGTATTAAAGGCTATCTCAGTTATACAGACTGATAGAATAGATAAGTAGGTATTAAAGGCTATCACAGGTATAGTGATAAATAGAATAGACCAGTAGGTATTACAAGTTATCCCAGTTATAGTGACCAATATGACAAATCAGATTTGATTATTATAGATTAGAAGTGCAACTGAAAAGATTCAATCCTCATATTGAAATTTCTAGTTTTCTTCTCTCCATAAAGAATCATTGCTGAAATAGCACTGTCTTTCTAACTCACAGCCAATCACAGAAGCCGCTGGGTGGCTTTAAACTACTGTGCATGATCATTACCCAATTCAGCAGTGACAGAAATGAGAGAGGAAATACATGTATGAACAGCCGGGATGAAAGAAAAAAAAAATATTAACAAAATCTTACTAAAATTACTTGGCCCTGGGCTACAAGCTTTCAAAGAAATTGGTTAATTTACTCACAATGTGGGTCATGTCAATTTCAGCGGTTTAACCAACACAATATGGTCCCCACACAATATTTCCTGCAGCGTTTAATGCTACAGAGTGCAATAATATTTTACAGATATCCCCGCGGTGAAGGAAAAGTCCTTATTTAAAGGACACTCAAAGTACCGAAATTACTTTTAATGCTAACATGAAAGGGATCTGTCATTTGAAATTTCCTTTTACATAAATCAATCTAGCATACAATTCTTATTTTCAAAAGATTAAAAATACACTCTACCCACCCAAATTCATGTTGTGATGGCAGCAGCTAATCATGAGATGTATGTTTCATGTTGCTATTTCAGCCATATCTGTGCATTATATTAAATAGAGAGTACCAGCAGAACATGTGACCAAATGGATAGCATCCAAACCAATGATTTCTACGATTTCGCAAAAAAGCCACCATTGGCATTACAGTGAAAAGTAAGGTCTCTAGGATTTATCATTTTACAGACTTTATTTTAGTCTTATGTTTAAAAGATCTGGATATAGAGCTTTTACAGACCACCTACTTTTGTGTTTTGATGGGGTATTTCGATGTGTTTGAGGTGGCAGTGGCTGGACATTTTGAGGTACTTCCTTACGTCCCCAGTCTTCCTCCCAATTTTTCTTAATTTTGTCTTCTTCAGCAGATATCCTTTAAAAAAAAAATTTAAAAAAATTGAAAGGAAAAAAGGACACAAATGGCTAAATTTAGACTATAGTGAGTGTTACATTTTAATCTAAAAGAAAAAAAAAACATATATTAAAAAAAAAATACAGAATAAAATGCCCAAAGTCAAATAGAGATGTCAAGGTACCATTTTGAATACTACATAGATGAATTTAATATCAGTTGTAATTTAATTGTTTAACTTTACTTTAGCTATAAAATAAGTGGATAGTAAAATAGTTTGGAAAAATTAAGCCATATTCATAATTAAAGCCGCTCTAGCTAATGATATTTCCTTCCAAAAATTAGTTTAAAAGCATATTAGCATCTTGAAATCTCATTTAAAAAAAATCTTGAACATAGTTACTTTAATATAAATAAATAAATTAAAATTGCTGAATGAAATGACAGTGTGCAGAGAAGGTGCCCACTATGTCCAAAGAAAGTAGATGTTAGATATATTTCAGTCACACTATAAAGAAACACAAATACAGATGGTTGATAACGTTTCCGAATTGATCAACATACATTACAGAGAATTTTGTTATTTTTAACTTAGAATGCCTTTTATTAACGTTAACATATCTTGTTCCAAGAGAGGCTTGCATTTTTTTTTTTTATATACACTATATGAATCCATAGTTGGATACAAAGATTTATTCTCAAATGCAATAATTTGTATTTATAACACTGTATTTACATTTTGTGACCTGACTTCATACTAAGTCAGTTAATTCGATATTTTATGAGCGTTGATCGATTCATGAGATCGCATAGAAATTATCACACTCCAGCAATGTGAGGGTGTTTGAGAGACTTAATACCATACTTTACGTCACTTGATCACATGAAACGTTCTTTTTAATTATAAGGTATGGGGTGACTCAAATAACTAACAACTTGCTAATTCTAAATCATAGGACTATGGGGCCAGCCATCTCGGTATAAAATTAGATCTCAGAGCACCTCTTGTAACAAAAAAGAGACCTATCATTGGATGGGCTCATTTTTCTAGTCTTGCATTAGTTGAGCTGCAGTAAAGAAGCAAGAAGCAAGATTGGAACACCAACAAACTCATTTCTTTTTCTTTTATTCAAACAACTTGGAAACGGGATGACAAAAAACAATAAGATAACGCCCACAAACTACGTCCACCATAACCACTACAGTGAGCTGTATTTCTCTTGTGTATTGTACATTGTAAGGATTGGCAGGTTTATGTATCGGTTACTAAATTAGCAATTTTATCACATTTTTTCTAAAACAAGGATTCTGAACCTTTTTTGCCTTTTTTTTTTTAGACAGGGAACACAATTACAGATATGGTATTCGCTGCGTAAGCCATTTATCAATAGCTAAATTAACATCTTAATCTATTCTTCAGTTGTCCTATAAAATTATTTTTTTAAAAAGAAAAGAAAAAGAAAAAAAAAACACAGGAAACCACCTTTACTGTAAAACTCTTACAAAGATTTTGCTGCACTTACTAAAAGTGCTGATACAGTAACCAAATTATTGCAAGCAATTGCCTGGGGGCTTTGCCAGCATTATGACTGCAAGTCCATTATGGGAAATGCAGTTTACACCATCTGGAGTGCCAACGGTTGCCTACTCCTGTTATAGAGTGCATTCATCAAAAACTAAACCGTAATGAACTCAAAAACAATCTGCGATATTAAGGCTAGTAGAGCCAAACTGGACACATTCTCCATCTCAGCTATATTCCCACTTTGGCTACGTAAACCTAAATTTGGTCATTTGGTTTTCAATACCCTACATCAGAGAAGTAAATTTTATTTTACAACCAATATTTAAAATGTGAATAAATCTTAAGTTTTTTTTTTTTTTAAGAGATCATCTTGTTTTTAACATTTAAATGCCACTACTAATTGAATACGTCAAGTAATTTTCAGTACTTATCCATTTCCTTGCGATATCGATCCTCTTCTTCAGCAATCTTCTGGGAGATTTCTATTTTCCGTCTGTCAAAGATTTGTAAAGAGAAAGAAGTGTTAATGAAGACAAACAAGCTTGTGCTGGGTCTGTCTATGCCACGATTAGGCAATTGCTAGCTAATTCTGGGGGTATAACTTTCTATTTCTTTCTATTACATTTTACATTACACACACAAAATTATTTCTCTGTTTTCTATAAGAAACTCTACTCGTTTGTTAAAATATGCTCCCAGTAACCGTGCTGGAGCGGTATTCCTGGTATATAAAAAAAATATACTTTTCTTTATTTTTGTTTTCTATTTTGGAACTTTGAGTTTTGTTCACTAACAAACAGTTAATCGCAGTGGGAGTTTTCAAATCAGGTATTTTTGTCCTACGTTTTACATTTCCGTCTTTATTTCACTACACTTCGCATACAATTTTTAAACAAAAGCCTGTATTTCTTTACAAGGTACCATCACGCCCCCCTCCTCCCCGTCGGGACGACACTGGAGATGAAACTTACACTTTTTCTTTCTCTTGTTGCTCTTTTAGGATTTTATTGGTCTCCATGGCGAGTTTTTTCTGCCGGAGAAGTTCTTGGCGTTCCAGTTCATGTTGTCGTTTCTCCGACATTTTTTCATCTTCTGTCATGAACAGTTCTCGGCCCTTAAAAAGGAAAACCAGACCACAGCAGATACATTAGGGCCGTGAATGCATCTTGGGAAATGTAGTTAGCAAATAGGCACAGTGTTAACACTAGCCATTACTGCCCTATGGTGAATATACGCATTGCCAAGATTCGCCATCATTGCCATACGGTATGGTATCTGTAGAACGTCGATGTTTAGATATTGAGCTTGTTATGGTAGCAACGTGAAATGTATTTAGGGTATAAATTAGTCAAAATCACTCAACATTCTAGGCTGCAAGGAAGCTTGTGGTTCTGTTGTCATGAATTTATGAGCGTCATTCTCCTGGTTTTAAACCATCTGTAAAAACGGGTCCTTCTGTACGGCATCTGCCTATCTTTGCCTTCCACTGCTGAAAATGGCGTTTTGCATTTCATACATTTTCATTTTGAAATGAGTAACCCCATGTATGAATAGGTTTGAGGTGGAAGTGAGCAAACACATTCAGATTTGTAGATTTTATGGCCAGATGTCTTTCATTTCTTTATAGGCTTACTCAAGAAATGAAGAATTGTGGAAAACTCTGTCTGGATATATAAATTTTAGGCCAAAATGTATATTATAAGCCAAGATAGCCAAGCTGGGATATTATTCAACTTTTTTTTATTGATTTGGCAATTCGTACATTAAAGCTCCATAATTTGCCATTTTGCGAATAAAGTCCCATTTGTTTTACTCTGAATGGAGAATATTGATGTATTAATTATAATACATAGTATATGTATGGCTAGTTACGTAGAAATTCTATCTACATATTTACTATGCCGCAGTGAAGAAAATTGAAGGAACACAACTAAGCACCATAACCACTACAAAGCGATGCAGTGGGCCAGGCGTGTCCTGATGCTCTCCCTGTGTAAGCAGTCAAACTGTTTAAGAATGGTTTGACCACTTACCTGGGTCAACTGGGTTCCAGTTGCCTCTTCCGCTTAAGCCCAGAAGCTCCTACATGGAGCTTTCATTAGCTCAGCTGAGCTAAGCCCTGCCTCAACTGAGCAATCTCGGCTATTGAGCTGAACCCTGGACAACTAGGGTAGTACAGTACAGGGAGATTTCAGGCTACAGAAGACTCCGGGTAAATAGTCAAACCATTCTTAAAGTTTTTTGACTACTAACAATCGGAAGATGTCAGAGTACTCCTTGTACCATAACCATTATTGAGCCCTGTAGTGGTTATGGTGTGTTGAATGTTCCTTTAATCGGAATTGCCATTCTTATAATCTTTCAGTTGTTTATTTTTTTATTTTTATTGTTCTGGCATAGTCATGGCATGTCATGCAAATCACTTTAACTTTAATCTAGCAAATGATTTTAACTATCAGGTAAATTATTGTAACTCCTGCCATATGCATGAATGGTAGGCAAGTATAGAGCCCTCCTCTGTAGAAGCCTGGATGAGTACGAGATACTAAGTCCTGTGGAGAAAAGTGTGTGGTTTTACTTACTTCCACTGCACTGCTCTCCCTAGTAAGTTCTTCAATAGCACATTTATTGGGGAAAGCAGAGCGCTTTAACAAGGTAGAATTAATAATTGATTTGAAATAGCATGAATGGCATAAAACATGTATTCTAGTTACTTACCGCTCCAGCCACAATGGTTAGAGTAAGACTTCTGCTGCCTTTTAAAACCTTCACTGCCTGGTTAAATAAAAGAAAAATGCTGATTAAATAGTGTGACTGACCACCCAGTCACCCAGGGATTTTGATAGACTCTCCAACCTGCTACCTCCTCCTGAAAGAGCTATATTCACAATATTTTCCTCTCCACACGTGCCTCTACTCCAGCGCCCTCAATAGCAGCCTTCCGGAGCATTGTAGACCCGCAGGGAGGATTCAGAGGCATGGTGCGCCTGACCGGGAGCAACCACTAAACTTCCTGGAACTCTGGCTTGAATTGTGGATCAGCCACAGTCCAGTATAACTTTGTCCCAAATGCTCTCTATCTCAGAGCCATCTAGCAGGGCACTTTTTGGAAAGGAGATAGAGGAGGAGGTGAGACATCCAAGGACACCCGGGACTTGGAGAGCTACAAGGATTCACGGAAATTTTTCATGTTTTAGGGGACCAAGACTTTCCACAAAGCATCATGGAACTCTGCGTCAGATCAGTGGATAGCCGTGGCCCGCTGAAACTGTGACTTCCATCCAAATGGGATAATTTGAATATTGACAACTAACTAGGTTATGTCTAATGGGATATTACGGGTTTTGGGTTTTCAGACCTGCATATTTTTGAAAATAATTTAAATATAAAAATTATATTACATTTGAATCACTTGTTATAGCCATCTAAGGCATCAGGATTTTACATAAAGAGAAATTCTGGACTTTGTTTCTAAAAGTGGAGCAATCTAAAACATTTTAATGGTTTCCATGGTGACTGCTCAAAAATTACAACTTGAATTATTCTTGCTAAATAATTCCCGGTGACCTTTTGGAAACTGTATCACAGTTGCATTAGAGCATCATGGTCTTTTTCAAATTACACCATTTCGTTTTAAATTATCACCTTACCAAAACATGCACAGTGTCACGTAAAGACGATTTAATATTACTTATCCGAATATTATACTTCTAGCCATTGCACTCCAAGCATGTCTGTATGTGAAAGAACACACCTCTTTGTGATCCACATTAGAAAAATCTACCCCATTCACTTCTACGATCTGATCTCCAACCTAAAGAAATGAAGAGGAAATAATTAAACAAAAATGTGCTCTGCCTTTGTAAATTGATCAACCACAGAAAGGAATGTGGCCCAGTTATACGCTCACACCTAAGGCTGATCCAGGGGTCTTACACATCATCAAGTGACTTTTTCATTAAAACTTTTTTCATTTGCCATTACTGGGGTCAATAAAGACCACCCTGCACCCACTGCCCTGCTGTCACCTGATGATCTCCAGTTCAATGAAAAAACAAAAGGTGATGCACTTTGTGTTGGATAATGTCAATGCACTTTTTAAAGGGCTGAATGCACGACATCAAACAACATGCACACACTGCCCTAAGGAAATCTGATCTAACTATCACTGCCACCCAGAAGAAAGATGACTGCAGTGACTACATTGCACAAAGTAGTTATGGTGCCATCTACTGGTAGTTTGTATAAGCTGAATCTACCATAAAAATACCCAAAAAATTAAATTCCATAAAGAAATAAACATCCAGAGTTTCCCAAAAAAGAAGACTCAACAAAAACAAATGTATTCAGATTTAAATTATTTAAGGACCAACAGTATATAATATATTATTTCAATGGAAAGAACATGTTTCCTTTTTGTGTAAGGCACAGATGCGGATGTTATCTGTCCATTATTTACGGATATAAATGGATAATAATGCACAGGGCACCTCCATGAAAGTCTGGCACGGAGTTCACAGGCTCTAAATTTGGGCAGAACCTGGCCTACTAGATTAGTGGGAGTTACACTCTCAATCAGCAGCAGCCATCATTTTATTAATCTCATTTCCAGAGATACCGTAATTGATGGAAGCAGATGAAACATTAACCCTAACGCCAAGCCCAGCCCCATCCAAGAAATATTATGTAAAATCAAATGAAAATCACATCTCCGGGTTCTGGAGACATTTACAAACCATTTCACGTCCAGCTTCACCATTTATTAGGACTTTCCCATAATACCTGATTGCATTATTTTAACCCCTAACACATTACACATTAACCCCTACACTACAATAACACTAAACATTAACCCCTAACTACCTTAACACTAATGGAAAACAAATAATGCATATCAGGCTCTGGGGACTTGTATGGAATTATTTTCTCATAATACATGTATCACACACTCGTTATATATACCTATATTCTCATAATGAACAAAGCTTCGCTAGAAATATACAGTTATTTATTACTTACTTCTAAACCAACTTCTGACGATAAGGAGCGGTGCTTGACATTACTGATAAATATTCCAGGTTTGTGAGAAGGTCCACTGGAAATACTGGAAATATGTAAAGGGATGCTATTAATGCAAATTAACCAGTCAACTGATATTGAAGGAACAGTGATATAAAAGCAGTCTCAAAACACGATACAGAATAGAACCCTCCCTATAACATAGGAGCCAATGCTAATCATCAAGCTGCAATGTTTGCATATCGATTTATCTCGTGTAGTGATTTAAAAAGGTAATATTGAATGGACACATTTCATGTATGTCCAAAAAAAAAAAAAAAAAACTTTTAAAAGTCTTGGAAATTGCTAAATGCTGTTGATTTTCCATGGATTGTATTTATTTGCCTGTCTGTAACTGTTATTACCAAGCTTCAACCACTAGGTGGCAGAGTAAAAACATTAATCTAGATGAGAGCTGGAGACAAGTTAGCCTCCCAGCTTTTACATAACTACAACTCTCATTGTGCTTTTACAGCCTTTAAATCAATGTGTTTGGAGTCACAGTATAACGATGTTAGTAGAGCCTTCTAAACATCATAGTCCATACAGGCTTTTGTACATCTTATTGTTGTGGCTATGGTAATTGGAGTGTTAAGGTGCCCCCTTGTCTGACGCTCAAATGCTACGGAATTCAGTCATAGGGTACGAGTCAAGAGTTAGGCTAAGCAGTGCACCATAACCACTATTAATTAGTAACAGTTACGGTGCTTATAGTTTCCCTTTAAATAGTGAATATTATTAACAACAAGGTTCTTTTTTCTGAAGTACCTACAAGTCGCGGAGGAAATTAATTTAGTACAAATGATAAAATTGTATTACAATGACATTGCTGATATTAAAACAATCACACATTTTAGACTAAAAAAGCATAATTGGAGAATTTCTACAATTCACTTATTTAGGTCTCAATTTTTAAGTTACGCTGTGAATAGCGGTAAACTTAAAACCAAACTGCAAAATATTATCTATAATAGCCAAACTCTGAGTTCCTCCAAATCAGCAAATTTGGACTAATTTAGCAATGTATTTTTTAAACTATTCATTGTTTAGCAATGATGCCACCTTTTAAAATAGAGAAATGGTGTGTGTGTGTGTGTGTGTGTGTTGGGGGTCTGTTTGTAACATACGCACCTGCACCCTAATCCTGTTGTGCCCACCAAGCTAATAAACACTTTTTTTTCCTTGATTTCTCTTCCGCTGGCCGACGCCAATCCAGCCACACTGCTTTTACCATCCTGCAGCAAAACAGCAATTCAGAAAAGGTCAATATAGGTATTTAACCCAATCACGTAGAGGATTTATTTGTAAAATTCCTACATGTCATCAATTGTGAAATGGTTAAGGATATGTTACTACGGATGGTTGGGATTGACTCTCCATATAAAGCCTAACTTCAAATGTCAAGATATTAGAAGGTTTAGGATGTTCTACATGCAAGTTGTCTGAGCCATCATTTGTTGTACAGAACATGACCACATCTTGAATATATATAATGGGAGATAAAAGTTGCCACTTTTAGTAAAGTAATCCAGACCAGGCATGGCCGAAAGACGGGGGTACCAAACCTTCCATACCAGGGCTTATCGTGCAATGATGGTAGGATTCCATTTATATTAAATCAATACAGAACACTATATACCGCTGTGCAATGTAACACAGGACGTGGTGAAATCTAATTTTCAATGAATCTGGAGCATTGCAGTGTGACACAGTGACAAAATATGTTTGGATAAAGCATGTTGGCTGCTTTAATTTATTCAAGTGAACCTGGTAATGTCTATTCCTGGTGAGGTCTTGACTTGAATTAAATAATACAAAAAAAAAATCTGAATTATATTTCTGCTAATGATATGAGCTTACACTGGTTCCTTAAAACACTGCACCAACCCAACAGACTTGGACAAGTGCCTGAGTGGTGACTTCCCTAAGTAGTGAATTGCTCCAATCCTTACCCTAAACATACCATTCTTCCAGCCAAGAGCAGCCAGTCTTACTACAAAAGTATCGTTTTCGCTACAATCCTACAGGTGTAGCGTGATTTCCACTTCATTAAAACTTCTCAGTCTATCTACAAAAATACAAACTGAGAGGCTGGAACTATGTACAATGTCTGTCTGGCACTTAAAGTATTATTGCTGGATTCCAGGTATGTCTCAAATAAACTGAAGGATTCCAGTCACAATTTGGCATCAATGTTACCCTACTAGGCATCTTGATTTTCATTGGCATAAGACTTTTGTAGAGGCATGACCCACAATCTCTGAAATGCAAAGAGAGAAAGCATGACCCACCAGCCTTGAAATACCAAGAAAGAAAGTTTAAAAAAATATAATAATAACTAAAGATATTCCAGAGAGAGGTGTTTGAAAATGATATTAAAAGCGGTCTGTGAATTTCTAAATTGCTGGCGCCTGCAACAGACAAAAGAAGAAATTAAACCACAAGAGCTTTGGGAGAGCTTATCCAGCTTAATGTTCTGGGGTTTCAGGCCTGTGAGGATTTAGCCCGAACCTTCAGACCAATGGTGGCACAAAAGGCTCAACGCAATGAAAGCAATAAATTTGAGTTACTGAAGCATGTCTCACTTTTGAATGTTACCAGTGTATGGAATGTTAGATACCTGATAAACCGGCATTCTGGACAGAAGCCAGCTACATATGTACAACAATGTTTTATTCTGTTCTCTGGCCATAGATGGGTTAAACGTACAGATGGCAGGTGCAAAACAGGTTAGAAGGTGACTGCAGAGACTCCACGATCGATCCCTGGCCGTATGAGTTTAGTCATCTCAATGGCTGCAGGCTTTGATGCTCAATACTATATAAAGTAAAAGCAGTAAGCTAGGAAATGCTAAATACGGACACAGAACTGTGTTCTGTAACACTTCTCTTTTTTTTTTTCACTTCTCTAAATCTGTCAGTCTTCCAACATGTACATTTCTGCAAGCTGGTGGAAATCTACAGTGAAGGATAGCATTACTTTTTAGATCACTTCTAAAACATTTTAATAAAACCGATCAAAACAAGAACGGACTCTAAACATCACTTTACAGAACATTTTGATAAATCTACTCTATTGTCCCCGTTCTCCCCCTCTTTGGATGCTTTCTTTATGTGAATTAAACGTAATAATTGACAGGGAGTTAGGATGGAGGGTACTCTGTCCCATGATACAGCAAAATACAGCAGTGTGGAATTCTACATTTAAACCTGTGATGTAATCACACAGTTATCATTTTGCTTGTCCTTAACCTGGGATGTTGACTTAAAGATTTGTGAATTCAGCAGCAAATGAATTGCAATTCATTTGAATTTTGCATGGACAGTATTTGCTGAACCTACGCCACATGATCGACTGTTGGACCACTCATAGAAGATTTTTTTTTGATAAATCTATTCGGCTAAATTTTTTCACCATGCAGAAGTCTATTGGTCTATCAATATCCAGAAAAGACCAGGTTCTAACTAGGACATTTCAGAAAAATGTAGATGTAAATGGCTTCCTAAATGCTACCAGTGACCATCATCGTACGTGGATTGCGAATGTACCACTAGGCAAATTCATTAGATTCCGGCGCAATTGCTCCATGTTAGAACACTTCAAGGAAGAAGCTTTAAACCGTGCCAATGATTCCTTGATAAAGAATATCCTTCTAAATCAATCCTACTTGCCTCCAACAAGGAATATGGATAGAGCCCCTCTTTTTAACCCAGCTTTTAAACCCATAGCCAATTCTGTCACTACTGTAAAGCATCCTGACTCTGAGACACACAGACAGGGCCGGATTAACATAGGGGCTGATAGACCTGCAGCTCCAGGCCCATGCCCATGGAATAGATCGATTGATTTAAAACAAAAAATCTATATAATTTTTTTCATTTTTTTTTTTTTTTTTTTACACACTACTCTTAGGGTTGCCACCTGGCCGGTGTATTTATTTGAGGCTGCCTGGCCGGTGCCAATATTGCAGTAATACCGGCAATATAAACTGTACAGCAGCTTGCAATAACCTGAGTTTATTTTCTTATCTATGTATGTGTGTGTTTTAATGCTGTCTTGCAGTGTAGATTGCCATTGTGCACACATGGAGCAGACAGGGATAGGTTCAACCTTGGAAGTCTATATGCTGACTTGTAATTTAGGTATACAAGCAGATTTGGTACCTAGACATGACCTTCTATTCATTATTTGTTTGTAAATGCAAGAAACCATCATTTTGCAAATATAGCAAGTCATTAACCTCACTGCAGATAAAGCACTGGCTTTGACCTTATTGCTAGTGGCTTAATATGACTTGCAGAACCTTCTTCTCATCTAGAATAACAAACATTTGGTGCTATCAGATGTCAGAAGGCCACGTAGGATCAAGCATGCAACTTGAAACATTTACGTTATTTCCCCAAAAAATTCAAATGGCTTTTTAGGAATGAAAGATCATTAAATTCTATGAAATTGTACTCCTTAAGATTTTTCCGTCATGCTGACCTCTTACTTCTGAAGATGTGTCCTTAAGGAGTTAAGCCAATGTATTTGTAATATTAAAGGCCTCCTTAAATATCTAGAATTTCTGCAACAAACATCATGATTTCTTTTTATAATAAACCATTTTAACATCATTACTTCTACTAAGTTTTATAGAAGATTTGATGTCGTAAGCTAGTTAATCAGTTATCTATGGTCTAGATTAGTAAGTAGACTTACTTCTGTTTCTGACACATACTGATCAGCAAATTGCCACTTCAAAGGTTCCTCTGCCGAGCTACAGGAATAGAACAGAAGAGAATTGTCTTCAATCATTGGTCCATTAATGATTCTTTGTTACAGTTTTCACAAGGGAACCAGTGGAAGCCCATATTTGTTGTATGGAATTGTACAGATCCCTCTTAGAAATTCTCTCTTGAAAGCAAAGTATTTAATGCTTTTAAACCATTTTACAGAAATGGTTGTCAATGCCTGAACAGACTTCCAGTGGTACGGAAGAGGTTAGACACTGTTACTTATTAAAAAATAAATAAACAAAACAAAAAAGACAAAACGGGCATAAGTATGTATAATTAAACAAAAAAAATGCTTTAAGATTGAGTGTGATATAAGTAATATGGATTCTAAACAGGAGCACCTAAGAGGTAAGTAGTTCTAGTGGTTACCAAGAGCACAATAATGCATTAAAGCATCCAGTGACCTCCACAATGCATGCAGTGAGACTATTTATACCAAATGGCAATCAAAGGGTTCATCTAGTTTAACTGTATAACTGCCAATTGTGTGTGCAATCTATAATTCAACTCTCTAGCAAGTCAGGAAGAAATTACAATTTTGCATTAGTTTTGAACACAGAGGTTCCCAGATTAGTACAAACATTTATTACCTTTTGACAGGAATCATCCCGACATCTATAAAAAGAAAGAAGACAAAGAATCATGTTATGGAGAAGGACAGGACACATCAATTTAATACAAAACATGGTTTGTCTCCATTCCATTAGGATGACTTACGTCTGACTTTGATGGACACAATCTTCTTTGTGCGAATAAGGTTGATTACTTCCTCGTGAGTGCATGAAGATATGGAATATCCATTTATCCGGACCAGCTCATCTCCAATCTGCAATAGAATAACAATTATTTAGGGTCATGTTTGAAATGAAACAGCATATGATTAAAAAATACATTAAATAAACGTTCTTCTTAAGCAGCTTTTGGCAGCCAATCTGTATGTGGATAAGGGAGGAAGAAGAAGAGTTAATATGCATATGTTTTAAGTATTTCTGTGCCATCAGACAGGTCTGCAACTCTGCAAGTGAAAACAAATTGTGCTCCCATATGTACCATCATGTAGTTTTACTTGATTGAGTAGAAGAAAACAATTTCAAATATATACTAGCATTGTGTGGGTTTTGTTTCATATGTGAAATGAGAAGTAACAAGCTGAATACGGTGTATGGGGAGTTAGGAAAGAATCAACTGATATTCCGTTAATAATTGGGACAGTTAGAGTAACAGGCACATGCAGTGCAGTGTGCAAGCACCTCTACAGTTCCTTTATAGTCCTATTTTCCATATAAGTTCATTAAGCAAAAGATATGCCTATCCATCTTGATCTTGCATTATATATGTTTTCAATCCTGCATGCATCCATTTAAAAAGAAGAAAAAAAATATATCTTCTTACCATCCTAACTGCATTTGAATGTCTACCTATTTTTGTACATTATTTTTATACACACCATATGGATACTAGACTTGTGCATTACGAGAAAATTTGTCTCAGCCGAACCATTTTTTTCAAAAATAGAACCTTTTTCAGGACACCAGAATTTCGGCTGGAAGACCATTTGGCTCAGCAGAATTTCGGAAACGAGTTTCTGAATGGAAAAACTAAATCCGAAGAAGCTGTTGCTTACAGCCCAACACCGTGCAGGACGTTTGGCATTTGCCAGAGAACACCAAGATTGGCAAATTCGCCACTGGTGCCCTGTGCTCTTCACAGATGAAAGCAGGTTCACACTAAGCACATGCAACAGATGTGACAGAGTCTGGAGATGCCGTAGAGAACGTTCTGCTGCCTGCATCATCCTCCAGCATGTCCGCTTTGGCAGTGGGTCAGTAATGGTGTGGTGTAGCATTTCTTTAGGGGGGCCGCACAGCCCTCCATGTGCTCGCCAGAGGTAGCCTGACTGCCATTTGGTACCGAGATGGGATCCTCAGACCCCTTGTGAGACCATATGCTGGTGCGGTTGGCCTTGGGTTCCTCCTAATGCAAGACAATGCTAGACCTCATGTGGCTGGAGTGTGTCAGCAGTTCCTGCAAGACAAAGGCATTGATGCTATGGACTGGCCCGCCCGTTCCCCAGACCTGAATCCAATTGAGCACATCATGTCTCGCTCCATCCACCAACGTCACGTTGCACCACAGACTGTCCAGGACTCATCAGGAGCATGCACAGGCATTGTAGGGAGGTCATACAGGCACTTGGAGGCCACACACACTACTGAGCCTCATTTTTACTTGTTTTAAGGACATTACATCAAAGTTGGATCAGCCTGTAGTGTGTTTTTCCACTTTAATTTTGAATGTGACTCCAAATCCAGACCGTGGGTTGAAAAATGTGATTTCCATTTTTTAAGTTTTGTGTGTTATTGTTGTCAGCACATTCAACCATGTAAAGAACAAAGTATTTCAGAAGAATATTTAATTCATTCGTATCTAGGATGTGTTATTTTTGTGTTCCCTTTATTTTTTTGAGCAGTGTATATTATGTATAACGAATATAATATATAAAGATGTTTATTTACTGCTCTTCCTTTTTCCCCTCTATTGCTCAGTTGTTATCTGATCTGTGAATAAAATCAATATTTAGCGACGAGCCATCAATCATTAGGTTTTTGGCCATGAGCAGAATTCAAAACTACAACCCCAAACCTAACATGTTTGGCATTGTGTGGTTCGGTTGGTCCGTGATTTGGATACAGATCGGCTTGGGGTTCGACTTAATTTCAGAAGTGCTGCAGTTCCGCCCGACACAAATCTCCAAGAACAATAGATAACTTCATGTTTATAAGGTTATACAACAGACCTAAAAAAGGTCTGTACTCATGTGTGGGAAAATAAGTTTGTATAAAATTGGATTTAAGATGAAAAGTGGAAAAATCATTACTGTAGGACAACCAAAATAAGGAATAGAATGCTCTGTTTGTTTGAAAAGAGACAAAGAATAAACATAATGGTATAGTCCACATTATAAAGACCTTCAGAAAATTGAAATAATGGAGGAACTGCAATAGTCAAACAATACCACGCGATAGTATCAATGTATAATTTTTGTGGTTTAAAAAGAAACAGGTCGAGGAAATCATAGAACATAATTGGAATCTCTAATTGATGCAGTTTGTTATATACACAATATAAACTAGATTATTCTCTGAGATTCGATGTTTAAAGGAGAGAAAGAAAACTTGGATCATAATATTTCAAGAATAGTTTGAGATCTTTCACAAACCAGAGAAATATCAACGTGTTTGAAGACAATGACTGACCAGTGAAATATCCTTCGGCAAAAGGAGAAACTACGACAACACGTAATTGACCTGGGAATAAAATTAAAATAAAGAATAGAAATAGATGCTACAATTAAAGATCATTAGTTTCTTTTTTTGCTTTAGTAGAGGGTCCAAATATCTTTAGATAAATGACCAAACGGAGTGAAATTTCAGTAGTGGCTGGTTTTAGCTTTGTTAATTTTAACAACAATAGTCTGTCTGTCATTCCCTTTTCTTAGAAAGATTTAGAAAGGACCCATTGCTACGGGTTGTTATGAAGTTATCTAAAGCCGTTCCTTTTTACACCTTTAATCAAGTCTGCTAGACCAGACAGATATCTGAGAGAAACAAGGAATTTAAAACCTAATCCCAAAAAAATAAAAAGGTTTAATCTTCTATTTCAAGGCCACACAAACAGTGCCATAACTCCCAAGTGTCCCTGTTAAGGATGAACAGTCCCTATTTTGGGCCCAAATCCCTCTGTCCCTCTTTTCTATCCTAACGTCCCTCTTTTCTAGAAGCTCCATATTGTTGGTGTGTCTGAGTGTATAACAGAGCTCCATAGCAATAATACTCTCAGTAATGTGTCTTCAAATTACAGTAAATGTGTTTAGACATCAGCATGTAAATAAGATACATTGTTCTTGTTGTAAATTACATTTTAGTTGTATAAATGGTTATTAGTAATCAACTTTGTTTTACTGGCACTATAGTTTCCCTTTAAGCAGGGAATTGCAAAAAGAGGCAGACTGAAAATGTTTCCAAATCTTTTGTGGCCCAAGATTTGCAACTCCCTGGTAAACGCCACCAATTTCCTGTTTTTGAATAACTCCATGTCGGGAAAAGCTGAAGGCAATTCAAAAGCGTAAACCTTCTTGATAGATTGGTTGACCTGCAAGGCAATGCGTGACTAGGCAAACACTAGGCATGGGATTACATAAAGTCCCTGTGAGTTTCAGTTAACAAGTCTAAATTATCAGGAATGTAAGATTATATCCAAACAGGAGCCCCTTCATTGAGAGTTTGCAAAGTTGTCAAATAGATGGCATGACCACAAGGACGTTATGTGGTTTTAATATATCACCTACAGTTCTAATCAAAATTCTTCAACCCCCATTAAAAATCAGGTTCATTGTCCAAATTTACAGACTTTCAGGTGTTTACAATGAACAAATCAAATAAAAGCAATTGAAATAGCTAAACACAACGAATGCTTCAAGTGGTTTCTCCAAATTCATCTGAAAATGCAACTTATAATGACTTCTCCAGTTTCATAATTATTCAACCCCTTCATGGAAAGTATCTTTAGTACTTAGTAGAGCTCCCTTTACATTTATGAGCTGCTGCAAACGAGAGGATAGCCAGACACCAGCTTCTGGCAGCGTTTCTGAGGAATCTTAGCCCATTGTTCATGAGCAATGGCTTCCTGTTCAGTAAAATTCTCGGGTTTGCCTGCGTTGCCTTCTTCAATTCCCACCAGAGATTTTCAGGTGACTGATGACCACAGATTAATTTTCCAGAACTACTTCTGCAACCAAGCCTAGGTGGAATTTGAGGTATTCTTGAGATCATTGTCTTGTTGTAAGATCCTATGACGCCCAACTTCAATTTTCTCACCGACGGCATATTTTCTCCTAGGATTTCCTGATACTTCAATGAATCCATCTTCATTTCTACATGCTGTAGGTTTCTAGTCCCAGAGCATCACTGAGACACCACCATGCTTAACTGTAGGCAGAGTGTTCTTTTCAGCATATGCTTCTTTCTTGTTCCTCCAAACATACTACTTATCCATTTGGCTGAAAAGTTCCAGTTTTGTTTTATCCCAAAACTTCTGTGGTTTATTTATATATTTTTGAGCATATTGGAGCCGACTTTTCTTGTGCTTTTGGGTCAGAAGTTGTGTACGTCTTGGAGTTACGGCATGGAAACCTTCTGCTTTTAGTACGTGCCTTGCATGTGCTTACTGAAACCTCAGTGACTGTTGCCACCAAGACTTGCTGCTGGTTTTTTGCAGAGAATCAAGGGTTTTTCATAACCTGCCTTCTTAGTAGTCTGATTGCAGCCATTGATAGCTTCCTTTTTCTGCCATGTCCAGGTAATGTAACCACTGTTCCTTCAACTTTGAACTTGCAAACTATGCTTCCAATGGTGTCTCTAGGAACATACAGTTTCTATAGTTTTTTGTATCCTGTTCCTTGTTTGTGAATGGTGATCATCTTGTCTCTTAACTTTGTGGACCATTCTTTTGACTTAGCCATATTTCTAACATGCAGTCAAACATGACACTCAACAAACCCCTAGCCAGTCAAGATATTTCAAGTGTTCCTTATCAAGGATACCTGGTGCAACCAGGGGCGTACCTAGAGCATTTGGCACCCGGGGCGGATCCTGTGCTTGGCACCCCCCCCCAAAAAAAAAAAACCTGTAAAAAATGTTAAAGGTTTTATTTCTTTTATTTTTACAATTTGTAAACTTTGTCAGCCCCTCCTACAAAACCCTTGTCCTGCCCTGCCCCTCCTACAAAACCTCTGTCCTGCCCCTTCTACAAATCCTGTACTGCCCCATCTACAAAACCCCCGCAATCCCCTTCCACAAATCCCCTGCTTATCTCCCCTTATAAAGACTCCTGTCCCAATACAAAACCCCCACCCCCTTCTACAAAATCCCTGCAGCACCACAGACACATTTACATACACAGTCACACACTCAGTTACAGACACAGTCACACACTCAGTTACAGACAGACAGTCACACACTCAGTTACAGGCAGACAGTCACACATACACATTTCCTCCGTGCGGCCAGTTTATCAGCTGTTTGCTTGAGTGAGCTGTACTGGCCGCACGGCACCCTAACTACCATGGGACACTGTGCGGCCACAGCTCACACAGCCCCCTCCAGCCAGGGCCGGTACAAGGATTTTTGCCGCCCAAGGCAAAAGTAAAGTTTGCCGCCCCCCATGTGACATCACAATGCCCCAGCCATATGATTTGCCATGTTAACTAACGCCAGTGCTGCAGTGCCGCCGTGTTTACATTAAAAGGCCTGCAGGGACAGGCTATAGACACCAGAACCACTACATTAAGCTGAAGTGGTTCTGGGGACTATAGTGTTTCTTTAATGTGAGGTAAATTAGAGCTTAGTGCCACGAATAATATACTAGATTGCCTACTTACAACCAGATGAGGATGATGATGGGCTCTAGCTGCAGTCTGGCTCCACTGGTCTGGTGCAGAACAGGCTCTCTGGAGGCGGTTTGTAACTGTGGTCACAAAAATCAATGTTCTGGGAGAACGGGAAGCAGCTCCATTTTTTGGGGGTCCTTTACACAGCTCAAGGTCTGGGTCCCAGGGTCCACCTTCATGTTCCACCAATGAGTTTGTTCACAGGGGGTGGAGTGTGTAGGGGATGTCCTGATATGTGTGTAAGGAATGCATTGTGTGAAATTGTGTTTGTATGTGTAAGGGCTGCAAGGTGTGTTTCTGTGTATGTATGGGATGCATTGAATGTGTGTAAGGGGTGCATTGAGTGTGTGTAATGAATGCATTGTGTGTTTCTGTGTGTGTAAGGGATGCATTGTGTGTAACGGTTGCATTGCTTGTGTATGTGTGTCTGTGTGTGTAATGCATTGTGTGTTTTTCTGTGTGCAAGGGGTGCATTGTGTGTATGTGATGAATGTCAATCTCTCCTCCCGCTCCAATTTCCTTCTCCTCCTCCCAATTTCTCTTTCTCACCCCCTCCTAATTTCTCTCACCCTCTTTTTCTCTCACCCCCCTTATCTCTTTTCTCACCCCCTTATTTTCTCACCCCCTTATTTTTCATCCCTCTCTCACTTTTATTTCTCTTTCTCACCCCCTTATTTCTTTTTTCTCTACCCCTTTATTTCTTTTCTCACCCCTCTCTCACCCCCTTATTTCTTTCTCACCCTCTCTCCCCCCTTATTTCTCACCCCTCTCTCACCCCCTTATTTCTCTTTCTCACCCCCCCCCTTCTTTCTCACCCCTCCTCTCCCCCTTCTTTCTCCCCCTCCCCCCTACCTCCCTGTAGCGTGGCCGAGCCCTGTATAGTCCGCGGGTACAGGGAGCTTTTGTTTCCTGTACCCGGCCGGACTAACAGGAAGTGCACACTCAGTGTGCACTTCCTGTTAGTCCGGCCGGGTACAGGAGACAGCTGCTCTCTGTACCCGTCGGACCATGCTGCAGTGAGGGAGCTGACAGGAGCGTTCCCTCCTGTCAGCCCCTTTCTCAGGCTGCGCCCGGGCGGTGCGGTCCGCCCTCATGGACGCACCGCCCGGGCAATGCTGCAGCCGCCTGAGGCTCTATACAGAGCGCTCGGGCGGCTGCAGCATGGGGGGGGGCGGGGGGCTGGTCATGGCACCCCCCACCCTGGTGGCACCCGGGGCGGACCGCCCCCCCCGCCCCCCCCTTAGTACGCCACTGGGTGCAACTAATGAAGCCCTTGATTAGTTGCATCAGGTGTGCTTTAGACAACACCTGTTTTGTATATTTGTGCTTTTGTGAGGCATTCTATTCAGAGGGTTGAATGATTTTAAGACTGGAGAAGTAATTATAAGTTGCATTTTCAGTTGAATTTGTTGAAACCACTTGAAGCATTTGTTTTGTTGAGCTATTTCACTTGCCTTTATTTTATTTGCTCATTGCAAGCAGCTGAAATTCTCTAAATGTTGACAATAAACCTGATTTTCAATGGGGGCTGAATTATTTTGATTACAACTGTATATATTAGTGTCTAATGGCACAAGAAAACACCAGTAAGTGCGATTTTTGACTGAGGATCACTTAAAATGGCAGCACACTTCTTGCGCTTGCATCAGAGTGCAAGTATATCTGCCAGCTGGGGGCTATAAGTTGCGTGAATTCAAATTCAAATGTAAGGCCAGAGTAGCTGAACTGAAAGCATAGCTGTATAGTATACAAAGTATGGAGAGACTATATAATAGTGTAAACAAAAACAAAAAAAACACTTGGGTGCTATTCACAAATGGTACTCCCTCAAATACCAAAACAATCAGTACATACATGAACAGAGAATGCACACCAAAAACCATACGAAATTAATATCTTCGTTTAATAAGCCAGTATCTGATTTACAAGTATGATATAAATATAATACAAATAAAGTGATAGTGAACAGGCTAGACAAAAAATCCACAGTGAATATTTACCGAAATTCCTCAACCTGATAGGGCAGAAACACGAATAAAAAGAACCCCCCCCATTTTATTCGTGTTTCTGCCCTATCAGGTTGAGGAATTTTGGTAAATATGTACTGTGGATTTTTTGTCTAGCCTGTTCACTATCACTTTATTTGTATTATATTTATATCATACTTGTAAATCAGATACTGGCTTATTAAACGAAGATATTAATTTCGTATGGTTTTTGGTGTGCATTCTCTGTTCACGTATGTACTGAAAGCATAGCTGACCAAGAAAATGAGAGACTTAAAAGAAAAGAGGAGAGACAAGAAGAGAAGAGCTGAATCCAGTGAAAACCTCCCAGATAGGGGGGGAGAGGGGGTATAACCCATGTAGTTAACAATTGACAAACAAGAAAAAATGAAGGGTGCAACACATGGTACTAAAGATGGAATACTATCAGGGTAAAACATCACGCATTATAAGGCTTAACTTTTAATAAATCATAATAAAAGAAAGTCCAACCAGGACTTGCACAAGACCTAACCACATAAAAGAAAAATAGTACTACAGAAAAAAACAATAGCTGTTAGGACATCTATACTAGCCCACTAATGAAAAGGTTGTAATTGGCACTTTGGTGGAATATTTATATTTATAATATTTACAATCGTGTGCAAAATATTATATTATGGTGGCAAACAACTTAACAATGACAATTGCAGATAAGCACATTCCCACTAGTAAAGTGATTTGTAGTCGATATTATTAGATCATGGCTAAACATGCAGAGAACTTGGTATAAGATCACTGCTAAACAGACACATGCAGATAACTTGGTATAAGATATGTAATTAGACAGAAATGACGGACCAGGCGGCTGGCCGTAACCGGTAATCAAATAGGATAGAGGAATAGGGAAAAGGGGAATTAGAAGGGAGTCCGAGTAGATTGCTTTCCCTATTGTGCCTTCATGGGTACCCCTTACCCCAAAGTTATCCCTGTCCTGTTTGGAAAATACTTGTCACTCCACTTTATTTCTAATTACATATCCATAACGTATCAGTACCTTTTGCTACATTCTATAAACATTGTAGTAACAATTATGGTTGCACTTATCACAAACAGATGTAGCATTTTTAGACATTGATACTATTACACCAAGTTTTCTGCATGTGTGTGTTTAGCAGTGATTAGTGATGTCCCGAACGGTTCGCCACGGATGGCGAACATATGCGCTGTTCGGTCCGCCCCCTTTGTCATCATTGAGTAAACTTTGACCCTGTACCTCACAATCAGCAGACACATTCCAGCCAATCAGCAGCAGACCCTCCCTCCCAGACCCTCCCACCTCCTGGACAGCATCCATTTTACATTCATTGTGAAGCTGCATCTTAGTGAGCTGTCCAGGAGGTGGGAGGGTCTGGGAGGGAGGGTCTGCTGCCAATTGGCTGGAATGTGCCTGATGACGAATAGGGGCGGACCGAACAGCGCATATGTTCGCCATCCACAGCGAACCGTTCGGCGAACCGTTCGGGACATCACTAGCAGTGATCTATTAATATCGACCACAAATCACTTTACTAGTGGAAATGTGCTAATTTTTCAATTGTCATTGTTAAGTTGTTTGCCACCATAATATAATATTTTGCACACGATCATAACATAACAGTTACAGTTAGTGCATCCTTCCATTAACCGATAAGCGGTGACACTAGCACAGCATATAAAATTATGGCTTAATACTTGCCTGGCAAGTTTCCCCATACTGGGAAAAAGTCCTCCGTATTTAGGTTCCAAACACAAGAAGTTCTTATTTTACAAAACGTCATGACAAGCAGGCAATGGCACTGGATATGTATTGTTCGGGCTTCTTTAATACATTTACATTAATGCTCTTCTAAGCAATGTTATCTGTATGTCTGAATCTGCTAGATATAATGGCCCCAGACATCTATGTTCAGTGGTCGATGTCTGGATATTTTAATCCTCTCTGGAAAGTTTATCTCCTGTTCTGTTTTTTTCTCTGGGCTTCTTATCAGACGCTTTAAGATTCACCGAATAGAGCACTGATATCACTTTCATTACATGTTTACATGCGTTTATGGAAAGGTTGCAAGGTAAGCATGGTCGAAAGACAGGTTAATTCACTAAGCAGTGAATTGAAGTGAATTCATAATCAAATTGCAAAATTATAAAATTGAAATAGTTGGATGGAAAAAATTCTGAAACTTTGGCCACGTTGTAGAATTTCTCTAATTTGGGTATTTTCTAATACAATATGCAAAGAGATGGCAGCCTCACCAGAAATAAATGTTTAATGAAAAGAGAAGCAAACTTTTTTTTTTTTGCAGTAAGCAATCTGTTTTGTGCACTTTTCTGGTTTGTTTGCAAATGCCTAGTGTTTCCCTATGTAACACAGAAATTCAGATGTGGTCTGCTTGCTTATTGTGGGGATAATGGATATGCCTCACTAACGAGGCCCACTATGGCTGAAATGTGTATCTAGGGTTGCTCTAATGTGGGACAGTCCCAATTTCTGAGTCCTGCCCCGACATCTCTATTTTGTTCCCTCGTCAGCTCTCGCTGTACAGCGGGTACTAGGACTATGCAGAGACAGCTTCAGAAGCACTCTATTACACAGTAGGCTGGCCCGGAGCTCGTCTGTGTGCCTGGTGTGTTTGACACCAGGCTCACAAACACTTTCAGTAGGACTTTTTGGGCAACCCATTATAGGCATCACCAGTGACACAAGTTGCGTGACTGTCAACAAACCCTAGAAATGCCTGCAATCTGTTTCAAAGATCTCAGGTTTGCTACCTAAGAGGAATTACCATCTACAAACAATAAAATATCCAGACAGCACTTACCACAAAGGGTTCAAGGAAGCCAACCCCACTCACAGGCCAAACAATCACAAAAATATCTGGCACATCCTCACATATGTGTAAGGGAACCCACAAACATAGACCCTAATCTACAACCAAAATATAAATACCAAATTACTAAGTTTTAGAATGGGTGGACTTAATGTAAGGCAGGCTGGACTGGACATCAGCACAACAGGCAAATGCCGGTGGGCCGCGATGTCCATGGGCCGAGGCGATCACAGGATCTCCCCTGCCGGTCTATGCAGGGCCGGTACTATGTGCGCGCCGGCCCCGCTGTGTTCCATGACGGGCCGCTGGGGAGATCAAAGATCTCCTTCAACGGCCCACATGTAGTGTATTGCGGCCGCCGGTGGGGAAGAGAGGGAGGGAGACAGGAGAGGAACCCGCAGGAGCTCTATCTTGCAGCTCCGCTGGGTTCTTCTTGCGTGATTCGGAGCCTTGCCATGGCAATGCTCCCGGTCTCGCGAGAGTGAACTCTAGCCCCACAGGCTAGAGTTCACTCACCACTAGAACCAACAGGGATAGCAGCATGGCCCCCCCTCCCAGGCTAGAGGTAAGAAGGGAGGGGTGATTTAATCAATGATTTGTCTTTTTTTTTTTTTTTATTATATATATATATATATATATATATATATATATATATATATATATATATACATATATATACACACACATACATATATACATACATATATACATACACATACACACATGAAAAGGAGAGAATTCAGCGCTACTTAACACACAATTAGTAGAAGTAGGCAGCAACCCAAATGAAGGAAAACCCCTCAGGTCCTTCAGTGAATAAACACAGATAGAGAAAAAGATGTATAAGAGCTGCGCCAAAGGGAGGAGAGCAGTCCAGTAAAATAGCGCTAGGATACCAGTGGATAGTTGGGGATACTTGATAGGGTTTCTTGGTGGAGGTAGGTGCGTCTGGTGTTGACCGTTCAGTATATGAAAATACAAGAGAGGTAGAGGCGACCAATGGTGCAGTATGTAAAATTCAAGGTGCAGTAAATAACAAAAGTAGAGAACTCACGTTCGGGAGAGCTATGGCCAGCTCTGGTGTGAATTGCGTACAGCGGTATAATCCTCGCTTATGGGATATGTAGGGAAGGGGTCTCCGTCAACACCAGAGAGACTACCAGACGGTGTTGAATGACCCCTTGTGTGTGTGAGTGATGGGTGCTGTGTTTGTGTGAGGGTGCTATGTGGGTAAGGGTGCTGTGTGTGTGATGGGTGCAGTGTGTGTGTGCTGTGTTTGCGTGAGGGTGCTATGTGCATGTGAGGAAGCTGTTTGTGAGGGTACAGTGTATGCATGTGAGGAAGCTGTGAGTGTCAGGGGTGCAGTGTGTGTGAGTGAGGGTGCTGTGAGTGTCAGGGGTGCAGTGTGTGTGCTATGCGTGTCAGGGGTGCAGTGTGTGTGCTGTGAGTGTTAGGGGTGCAGTGTGAGTGTGAGGGTGCTGTCAGTGTCAGGGGTGCAGTATGTGTGCTGTGCGTGTCAGGGGTGCAGTGTGTGTGTGAGGGTGCTGTGAGTGTTAGGGGTGCATTTTGTGTGTGCTGTGAGTGTCAGGGGAGCAGTGTGTGTGTGAGGGTGCTGTGAGTGTCAGGGGTGCAGTGTGTGTGCTGTGCGTGTCAGGGTGCTGTGAGTGTCAGGGGTGCAGTGTGTGTGCTGTGAGTGTCAGGGGTGCAGTGTGTGTGTGTGCTGTGAGTGTCAGAGGTGCAGTGTGTGTCTGTGAGTGTCAGGGGTGCAGTGTGTGTGCTGTGAGTGTCAGGGTGCAGTGTGTGTGCTGTGAGTGTTTAGGGTGCAGTGTGTGTAAAGGTGCTGTGAGTGTGCTGAGTGTTAGGGGTGCAGTGTGTGTGTGTGTGAGGGTGCCTGAGTGTCAGGAGTGCAGTGTGTGTGCTGTGAGTGCTAGGGGGGTGCAGTGTGTGTGTGTGTGTGAGGGTGCTGTGAGGGTTAGGGGTGCAGTGTGTGTGCTGTGGAGTGTTAGGTGCAGTGTGTGTGTGTGTGTAGCTGCGCTGTGGAGTGTCAGGGGCAGGTGTGTGTGAGTGTTAGGGGTGCAGTGTGTATGTGTGAGGGTGCTCTGAGTGTCAGGGGTGCAGTGTGTGTGCTGTGAGTGTTAGGGGTGCAGTGCGTGTGTGTAAAGGTGCTGTGAGTGTGCTGTGAGTGTTAGGGGTGCAGTGTGTGTGTGTGTGTGTGTGAGGGTGCTGTGAGTGTCAGGGGTGCAGTGTGTTTGCTGTGAGTGTTAGGGGTGCAGTGTGTGTGTGAGAGGGTGCTGTGAGTGTCAGGGGTGCAGTGTGTGTGCTGTGAGTGTTAGGGGTGCAGTGTGTGTGTGTGAGAGGGTGCTGTGAGTGTTAGGGGTGCAGTTTGTGTGTGTGAGGGTGCTGGGAGTGTTAGGGGTGCAGTGTGTGTGTGCTGTGAGTGTTAGGGGTGCAGGGTATCTGTGAGTGAGGCTGCTGTGATTATACCTGAGTGATTATTTCCCCCCTCCCTGCTTACCTTATGCCTGGGAGGGGGGATCCTGCTGCTGGGGCTGCCATCCATCCCTGGTGGTCCTAGTGGTGAGTGAACTCTAGCCTGTGAGGCTAGAGTTCACTCTCGCGAGACCCGGAGCATTGCCATGTCAACGCTCCGAATCTCACGAGAGGAACCCGGCGGAGCTGTAAGTTAAAGCTCTGCCGGGTTCCTCTGCTGGCAGGCTGGCTCCCTCCCTCTCTCCCCGCTGGCGGCCGCAGTATACTCTATGTGGGCTAGTGAGGGAGATCTCGGATAGTGCCGGCCCTGCAAAGACCCGATGGCCAGTCCGGGCCTGCACAGCACCCTCACTCAAACACAGAACCCATCACTCACACACAGCACTCTCATACACACACACACTGCACGCTCACACACAGCTTCATTACACGCACATTGCACCCTCACTCTAACATGGCACCCACTTACACACACACACTGCACCCTTTATCCACACTGCACCCCTCACCCCTCTTGCACACACACTGCACCCCTCACCCACTGCACAATACTCTTTACTGGCATTTTTGTCTCCTGGTATCCCATCTATGATGACACCAGAGACAAATTTCAAGCAAACAGAGTGCAAGCATGTTATTACATTTGCTTGCGCTGTGCAGAACAAATACAGGAACTTTTTCTCATGCTAGAGCTCTTCAACAGAGCTCTGCACATGGTCTGCCTTGGAAAAGCATTGAACCAACATGCTCACTTTGTGATGGGGCGTGTTTGTCATTGGTGATGACAAAACACACCCTATCTGTCCCCACCCCCTTTTTAGTGGGCCGCTGTAATTAAAAAATGCCCGGGCCGAATTTTCTTCCCAGTCCGGCCCTGGTGCTGTGTGTGTGTGAGTGAGGGTGCTGTGAGTGTCAGGGGTGCAGTGTGTGTGTGTGAGGGTGCTGAGAGTGCCAGGGGTGCAGTGTGTGTGTGTATGCTATGTGTGTCAGGGGTGCAGTGTGTATGAGTGAGGGTGTGTGAGTGAAGGTTCTGTAAGTGTCAGGTGCAGTGTGTGTGTGTGTGATGGTGCTGTGAGCGTCAGAGGTGCAGTGTGTGTGTGTGTGTGTGATGGTGCTGTGAGTGTCAGGGGTGCAGTGTGTGTGTGAGGGTGCTGTGACTGTCAGGGGTGCAGTGTGTGTGTGTGAGAGGATGCTGTGAGTGTCAGGGGTGCAGTGTGTATGTGTGTGTGAGTGAAGGTTCTGTAAGTGTCAGGTGCAGTGTGTGTGTGTGATGGTGCTGTGAGTGTCAGGGGTGCAGTGTGTGTGTGTGTGTGAGGGTGCTGTGAGTGTCAGGGGTGCAGTGTGTGTGTGAGGGTGCTGTGACTGTCAGGGGTGCAGTGTGTGTGTGTGTGTGTGTGAGAGTGAGGATGCTGTGAGTGTCAGAATTTTCTTCCCAGTCCGGCCCTGATGTAAGGAATAATCAAACAGATAGCAGAAGTCAAGGGAAGGGAAAAAAATCGGAAAATGGTAGACAAGCCAAATATCAGGAACACAGTGAATAGAAAAAAAAACAGTAAATGAGCAAAGGACAGTAACAAGAGATCAACGTTCAGAAAACACATTATTGGGCTTAAAAAGAACCATAACAGGGCTATTTGAACATATAAAATGCCAGGATCTAAATAGCTCAAGCTTTATGGAGATTGGATGGTGTCATATTTGAGTGCCGAAAGCATGGGTTTGGCTAATTGCCGAATCTGGGTCTTTCACAAATTTGCTTGCACCCGCAGTTGGTGCTCAGCGTTGCGCCATTCTGACTAAGGCACATACATAAATGGTAAGTGTACAAACAGTGTTTGACATCTTACTGTGCAATGAGCGAAAGGGAGTCTCAGTACTGGTAAATATTACAGTCCCTTTATTTAGTTGCCACAACTGGGAAACAGCAAAGTTTTGGATGACAACATCCAAAACGCTGATAAAGCTTGATAAAGCCCGTGTTATCAGTCTAAAAATTTTAGTTTTACACTTGTGGCACTGAAATAAAAGGACATTGACATCAGAGGACATGCTGGATATCTATGTAAGTTGCCTAGTCATCTGGCCACCTCTGATGGGCTTATGGTTTATAATTTTCTCTTTTCTTTGTATTCTCAGCATTTCAAAGTGCTAAAGATTTAAATAATATATTTAGCATCTTTAAGGATTGTCTACTACAATATAAAGAAATGTTACAAGCTTTGTTGTCACAGAATACTGTGCAACGTATTTTACAATCCAGAAATTAAGTACAGACAGTCCAGAAGACGACTTCCAGTAAAAAATAGTTATATTAAAAAGTAAAGCTCAGAACTGGAGCAGCTTTCAACCTTTCATTGCTTGCAGACGCAGTATATATAGCACACTGTAGTGAACAGTTACCATGGCACACACTCTAGGAAACAGTTACCATGGCACACACTCTAGGAAACAGTTACCATGGCACACACTCTAGGAAACAGTTACCATGGCACACACTCTAGGAAACAGTTACCATGGCACACACTCTAGGAAACAGTTACCATGGCACACACTCTAGGAAACAGATCCCATGGCACACACTCTAGGAAACCCTTTCCATAGCATACACTCTAGGAAACCCTTTCCATAGCACACACTCTAGGAAACCCTTTCCATAGCACACACTCTAGGAAACCCTTTCCATAGCACACACTCTAGGAAACCCTTTCCATAGCACACACTCTGGTAAAACCGTTACCATAGCGCACTCTGGTAAAACCGTTACCATAGCGCACTCTGGTAAAACCGTTACCATAGCGCACTCTGGTAAAACCGTTACCATAGCGCACTCTGGTAAAACCGTTACCATAGCGCACTCTGGTAAAACCGTTACCATAGCGCACTCTGGTAAAACCGTTACCATAGCACACTCTGGTAAAACCGTTACCATAGCGCACTCTGGTAAAACCGTTACCATAGCGCACTCTGGTAAAACCGTTACCATAGCGCACTCTGGTAAAACCGTTACCATAGCGCACTCTGGTAAAACCGTTACCATAGCGCACTCTGGTAAAACCGTTACCATAGCGCACTCTGGTAAAACCGTTACCATAGCCCACTCTGGTAAAACCGTTACCATAGCACACACTGGTAAAACCGTTACCATAGCACACTCTGGTAAAACCTTTACCATAGCACACTCTGGTAAAACCGTTACCATAGCACACACTGGTAAAACCGTTACCATAGCACACTCTAGTGAACAGTTACCATAGCATACCATTTGGCTGCCAGTACAGCTACCTTCGGTCCTTAGTGAATTACCCTGTAAATATATTTAATTTTGTTAATAAATAGCTAAATAATGCTTAAATATGGCACAAAACAGAAAACAAAAATTAACAGAAAGTATGCATATAGTGCAATGTCTCAAAAGACCTTACACCCACAAGGTAGAGGGGCCTACTCTAAATATAAGAGAGAATAGACAGAGACACCGTCAAGATATAGTAGCATCAACCTTTCAGTTACATCTGCAACTTTACTTAAAGGAACACTGTAGTCACCTAAATTACTTTAGCTAAATAAAGCAGTTTTAGTGTATAGATCATTCCCCTGCAATTTCACTGCTGAATTCACTGTCATTTAGGAGTTAAATCACTTTGTTTCGGTTTATGCAGCCCTAGCCACACCTCCCCTGGCTATGATTGACAGAGCCTGCATTGAAAAAAACAAAAACCTGGTTTCACTTTCAAACAGATGTAATTTACCTTAAATAATTGTATATCAATCTCTAAATTGAACTTTAATCACATACAGGAGGCTCTTGCAGGGTCTAGCAAGCTATTAACATAGCAGGGGATAAGAAAATCTTAATCAGAAAATCAGAATGTCTGTGCAGCATGATGAGAATACGATGTTTCAAGATAGTATTCATATTTGGTATCAGGTGTAATTAAAGGGACACTCCGGGCATTATAACAACTTAATCAGAATCCTATCAGTGGTGCCCTGGTCAGTAAGCCTCAGAATGAAAGGGCAGAGATGCTGGGTGCTGGATTGAAGAATTAGGGGTTAAACTGTTCATAAACTGTTTAATCCCTGAAGGTAAGCTGGAACTGGGGAGCTCCTCACACCATAACAACTTAATTCCGATGAGTTGTTATAGTGCCTGGAGTGTTCCTTTAATAGAGGCTTCTTCTTACATGGCTTTATTTCTGTGCACAATTTCTTTAGATTAAACAAATGCCTGGCAATCATTAATTTGAACAAGCTTTATTTTACTACCAATACTTTTATTGAGTGTTCAAAGTGCAGAAGTGATCCCTGGACTAATTCTCACACCCTGTAATAAATAAATAAAAAAGATGCCTGCTGTATGATTAACCTTTTTGTAAACCATTCAATTTGCATCTGAAGAAAATAATTACTGATCTCTGTAGCTCAGTTACTCAGGTAATTGCAGTTTCTCTCACAAACTACTTGGTTGTTCACATCTAAAATTGCTTTTCTAAGGTGCATCTCACATTATGTTGGCAATCTTTTCTACTTCTACTTCCGTTTTTATTTTTTTTAATCAACATCATCCCTTTAGAATGTAAGCTCATGGGTCATCTTCTGTAGCACTTTGTATAAAACAGCGTCAGGTGTAAAATGAAAGGGATTCTATAGTGCCAGGAAAACAAAGCTGTTTATAGAATCCTACAGTGCCCCCCTCCCTCACACCCCCAAAACCCGTTCAGTCACTTTCCTGAATCCAGTGCCGATGCACTTTGGCACTGGTTAGGCTCCACCCAGGCTCCTCCCCTGCAGACATCAACTGGTGGGGGAGACCTAATGCACATACGCGGCAATGACTGCACTCGCATTAGGATTTCCCCATAGGTAAGCATTATTCATAGAAAAGTCTGACATTGGAAGTGTCAGATACTGGGCCAAAGGTCCGTTTCAATTCAGAAAGTCCCTCTAGTGGCTGTCTGTTAAACACCCAGCATCTCTGCCCTTTCACTCTGAGGCTTACTGACCAGGGCACCACTGATAGGATTCTGATTAAGTTTTTATAATGCCCGGAGTGTCCCTTTAATTACACCTGATACCAAATATGAATACCATCTTGAAACATAGTATTCTCATCAGGCTGCACAGACATTCTGAATGTGCCCTTAGAGTGCTCAATTGCCACTGAATACATAGATATACAAGTAAATTATACATGGATGAACATGCCAACCTTTAGTGGGCTGAGGTCACAGAATGCTATGATCTTATCCTGAATTAAAATCATCTTTAGGATGACAACCTAGGGGTCATTTGCCAAATATTTTAGAACACCAGGTGTGGCTTCTGGAAATCCACTGATTTAGAGCAACTTACCATATTGGCTATATGGCACCCATGGTTTGGCATGGCTCCCATGTTACCATCTCATTTCACAGCTGGATCATCTTTTATATGTACACCTTATACATAGCTAGATCATTGGATGCCTTTAAGATTACTATATGGTATTATGCAACAGTAAATAATGTAACAATATCTAGAACTATCATTATTATTGTTATTATTATCATCTGTTTAGTAAACAGCCATCTTGTTTTTTTAGCAGATGATCTTTCAGTGTAATTATTACAGGGACACACAGTATTTTTATAGCGATATATCCAAGTTTGTATCAACAAAATAGCTATCAAAAACAAACATTTCGAATTAAGGCATTAAAAAAAAAAAACAATAAAAAAAACATCTACAGATATTTTTTAAAAATAGCTCCTCATCTTTTTGTCACCTATAATGCACCAAAATAAGGCAAATAAAGAAATTTTCTAGCTCAGCTATTTTGACCTAAAATTTATACCCGTGACAATTCTCCATATTTTTCTTATTTGGTTAAGTGTCCCCATTTACTAACCTGGCTTGCAAAAGGTATATTTCTCTCCAAGACAGTTTGGTGAATGGCTAATTGCTCGCAGCCAATCAGAAGCGGCCCTGCCCGGCACCACACCGCTCTTTCTGCATCTGAAAATTCAGAAGCTGGATGCTGCATGGGGGAGAGTGGAGATCACCGCTGGAGGCAACTTTGGGATTAAACCGTTTGAGAACGGTTTAACCTCTGAAGGTAATAGTGCCTCTAGGGAACTCCTGGCACCGTAACTTCATTTACATGTGAGTTAAAAACCAGAAAGATTGCAAGCTGCTCCTGAATTACATTTCCAGAAATACTCAGCAATTGTTTCGTAAAATGCAGGAATTTGTAAATCAAAAATAGCTGCAATAGTAGGTGTTGGCTTTTCATTGGTTAAAATCCCACTTATTTAGGAAGCAATGTGCTAAATGTTGTACCTGCAACCCAGCATTATCTGCTTGGCTCTCCTTCATTATATGAGAGATATAAAGTCCGCAATTAAACTCCAGCCCTCCTCTGACACTGATTCCAAGTCCATCAGGGTGCGTACGGTCCAATTTCACTTCTCTTAATTTCCTGCCAAAGGCAAAAATAATAAAATGTATTATATCATTCATGTTTTATATATACTTTCTCTTGATGAATAAAGTTTTTTTTGTTTGTTTTTTAAAGGAACACTGTAGGCACTGCATCCACTTCCTCTCATTGACTAAAGTGGCTATAGTATCTGGAGTCCATCTGTGCCATCCCTTCATACAGCGTTAAACAGTTTTTATTGTTTTTATGTTTTAATGTTAAATGAGAGTCCCCAGCAGCACATACCCTCTGTGCTGTGCCTGAGCAATACTGTGATTGACTGAGAGTGTCAGCTGACTGCTTTTAGCCTCAGACTGTCCATTTCTGGTATGAATTGGTATGGCTACAAGGAGGTGTGTAATCGCTGCCTTAGCCACAACTGCACCGGCCAGTGACCCTTATTTAATGTTATTAAACTGCTCAAATTTGGTTTAACACTGAATGCAGGGACAGCGCCAGGGGACTCCAGACACTATAACCTACTCGGTGATATTAAATAGTTACCATGTCCCTTTAATTTCGGTGACAGATCAGCCATGTTGAAAAATAGAACACTGAATGGTAAAATTGTTACTTGGAGCAATAGCTGCTTGCTGATCCAAGAAGAAGTCTGATTGCCTTTTTGTATTGAAGAATTGCTTTTTTCTTAACTTTTTTTGCATAATTGTTTTTTTCACCTTCAATAACATAAACAGAGATGTATGAATGGGTGGACCTGACTGGCTGGCATTATTTTTTAGATATTATGTTAAATATGGTGTAGTTCTAAACTCTGATACACAAATACAAAAAATAGGTAATATTGCAAATACCTTGCCCGTTTTGGTGTCAACTGGTCATATTCCACTTGATGTTTTAAAGGTATGAGAGGACGAATGGCATCGAACAGTGGCAATCGTGATGGGTCATTAATGACAAGTTTTAAGTCTCCCACAAAAACAGGAAGATTCATAGACCTAAACAAATGTGAAACAGTTATTATAAAACACAATGTTATGTTTTAGCAAAGCTAATAATTACATAAAGGCATATTACAGAAAACAAACAGGGGTAGTCACTGTGTTATAAATGCTGAGAATACATAGTGAATTTCCAACTTAATGTCAATATAGCCAAACAGAATTAATTTGGAAAAGGTTTCATGGCAATCCTTACGTTTGTGAACAGAAACATAGAACCATAGAATGTGACGGCAGATAAGAAAAATTTGGCCCATCTAGTCTGCCCAATTTTCTAAATACTTTCATTAGTCCCTGGCTTTATTTTATAGCTAGGATAGCCTTATGCCTATCCCACGCATGCTTAAACTCCCTCACTGTATTAACCTCTACCACTTCAGCTGGAAGGCTATTCCATGCATCCACTACCCTCTCAGTAAAGTAACACTTCCTAATATTTTTAAACATTTGTCCCTCTAATTTAAGATTATGCCCTCTTGTTGTGCTAGTTTTTATTCTTTTAACCCCTTAACAGAGGTGGCTCTCTAATTAGGTGGTTTAGGCGGCCGCCTAAGGCCTCGCGCTGGCTGGGGCCTCGCGGCCGTCTAAACTGCCTGTGAGCAGACTGTGTCAGGTCCTCGGTCAGTGACCGAGTATGCTGCCCGGTATGCTGCCGAGTGTGAGGTCCCTCCAGGGTGCCCGGCAAGCCACTGCAGACACCGGTCTGCAGCTCCGCAGTGAGCAGAGCTGCAGACCATGTGTCTCGCGAAAACCGGCCAATCACAGCGTTGCCGCGGGTTACCACGGCAACGTTTTGATGGTCTCGTGGGATTACATGATCTGCAGCTCTGCAGAGCTGCAGACCGGAAGCAATGGCCACCGGACCACCAGGGAGTAAAGGTAGGTTCTCTCTCACGCCCCACCACCCTCAGCCTCACCACCACCATCAACCCCCCTACTTCTCACCATCACCCCCCTCACTCTCACATCCCCCTCTCCCCATCACCCTCTTTCCCTCTCCCCATCACCCCCATTCCCTCTCACCATCACTCCCCATTTCCCTCTCACCCCCATTCCCTCTCACCATCACCCCATTCCCTCTCTCACCATCACCCCCATTCCCTCTCACCATCACCCCATTCCCTCTCACCATCACCCCTATTCCCTCTCTCACCACCATCACCCCCTCTCCCTCTCACCATCACCCCCTCTCTCCCTCTCACCATCACCCCTCTCACCCCCTCACCTCACCATCACCCCCTCTCCCCACCTCCCTCTCACCATCACCCCCCCCATACACACAACACACTTCAAGCAGCTACCCGATACACATACGGTCTCAGACAAAAACGCAAACATGCTCACAGAGACATACATTCACACACACAAGGATACTCTCTGTCAGACACACTCTCAGGCACATACACAGGTAGACAGTGCCTCAAGTTTCACCTAAGGCCTCATAAAGTCTAGAGCTGCCTCTGCCCCTTAAAGGACCACTATAGTGCCAGGAAAACATACTTGTTTTCCTGGCACTATAGTGCCCTGAGGGTTGAAAAGTCATCCAAGCATGGAAAAGTGGTGGAGTCTCCAATGCACTGTACTTACTGCTTCTATTAATTTCCAGGCTGTTTCCTCACTTTCAGAACTTTAGACCACTTTTCAGAACAGAACACTTTTTATACACATTTCCGTAAGAGTCATTGGCAGAATAAAAAAGGAAAGTTGACAACATGTATTAAAAAATATTAAGATATTAACAAATTAAATCACTCTAGAAAAAAAAAAATATAAAGGCATTAAGACATTAAGAGAGAAATAGAACATATTCTACCAACCTGTGTTCTACAAGAGAATATAAACATTTATAAATTATTTCAACTCAAAACACATGCATTTCTAATCCTCGAAGAGGGAACAACATGTGAATTATTAAGGAGCCCAATTCAAGTTGACTTCACAGGCCACAGGCAAAGGCTTTATTCCCGCAGAACAATTGGACGCTGCTTGCTGAAACTGAAACGGATAGGCAGCACAATAAAGCCGCACAAAGACCACATGGAAAATTGGAAACATGTACTGGTCTGTCTATGGAGAGGAATTAAACCATAGAAAGAAACCGTGATCACCAGAGCATCCTCTCTTCAAAATCCAACAAAGCTTTTGTTTTTAACCAAAATAAGGTTGTGAGTGATACTTGGTAAAGTGTGGGATGAAATATTGGAATACAACTTGCTTTTAGCAAACCTCATGTGCAGAACATAAAAATTATATGAACAAAGAGTACAAAGCAAGCAAGCATGCATCCATAGCCACTTTGGAGCCTTTATGCAACTACAGACCACGCAATATACCCATGCCCACTTTATACTTCCATTTTACTCCTCTGTTCATTTTCAAGATCTTTTCATATATGTTTGCTCACTTTCAAACACATTGTCTACCCCAAATCTACATGACCATGTTAATACCTACTGGTACCAATTTAAAACAGTGTTCTTGGTCGGTATATTTATGACCAGGAAGTTTCTCAGGGCATAAATGCGAGAAGATATAGCCACTGGATGAAAGGTAATTTGTTCATTTATATACAGCATTCCCATTGGCCAGAGTACTCTGTAAACCACTTTTGTTTATGAAGGCATTTCTGCCTATGATAGATGTTAATAATATTAAAGAGGAAAACACTATCTTCAGATATTTGTAATATACATTAAAATATGCTGCTTGGCAAACTTCTACTGTACATACCCTTTCAGTTTAAATGGTATTGGGAGAAGATATGAGCTGCTGTGTTCTCTGAGTATTCAAAAGACAGCATATCCAGTTAGTGTCAAAGATATTGGGGATTTGATTACTTGCCCCCCTCCAGTTTGAGCTGTTGTGTACCCTGAGTATTGTACAGACAGCAGTAACATTGTAATGTCCATATTCCGTTAGTGTAAAAATGTGTTGCGCTACTTTGTTTTGAAAATGATTGCTACTTTTTATATTATTAATGTACATGTCCTATCAGACTATTGACAAAGACACCATTGCAGGTCAAAACGTTGCTGTGCATGTTCTGATTCTCCAATTACTCTGATACCTTTTGTATCTTGAATTCCTGGATTACATTGTTCTTTCTATTTGACATGAGGTACATTACATATAAATTAACCGTTATATATAAACAAAAGGATGCACACCAAACCAGGTTTGCACAAATAAATCAATACTTTATTAAACAATTCCAAATACAAATAACCAAAAAAAGTGGCAGTGGCTAATCTTAATGCACAATGCAAATAACGTTACCTATCAGAATTTGCACACTTTATATCTCATATACATTTTCTGGTGCCGAAACATTGCCAGTATAGGTTAAGGACGTGTCCAGCTCATAGGGACTCTGACTAAGTTCCAATAGGTAACTTTATTTGCATTGTGCATTAGGAATAGCCTATGCCACTTTTTTGTTATTTGTATTTTTTCATTGTATTTGGAATGGTTTCATGAAGTATTGATTATTTGTGAAGACATGTTTTGGTGTGCATCCTTTTGTGTATACATGTGTGATTGTTTAGGAACTTTAAGAATGCCTCATTAGGATAGCACCCATTTCTGTTTATGAGGAACTTTACCATAACAAGTTGTTATTTTATAAATTAAAGGAACCGCAGCACTGAACATACAGTACTACTAGACGTATTATCAGAGTGTAGATGCTCTCATACAGTAATTTTCTATAGATTCCCACATCATGAGGGAGGGGAGCTAGCACTGAAACCAGTAGTAGAGCAGAGGTAAGTGCATTTTTTACTGAGAGAGAGTAAGGAATTCCAGAGAAAAAAGACAGTTCCACTTTAAAACCCAAATATATTTTCTTAAATTAAAGAGCCGCAAACCATTACACATTGGCAAAAAACCATCTACTTTATACTAAAACATGTTTAACATCCCCCTTTAATCAAAAGATAAAAAATAGATGTGTTTGAAATCTGCATTCTGTTTCATTTGATGAAGCCAAGACTTGCTCTAATACTTACACAGAGGTAAATGTCACTTTATCTCAGGAAATAATGGTAATATTTAAACCTATTGTTCTCTAACTAAGTTCTCAATACCAACCTACACCGGGGCTTCCTGGTAAACCTCCTTTATAAACTGAAACAAATTGCCAATCCTTTCTAGATTAATAAAAAAAAAAGGTAAATAAATAATCTACTTTTAGATGCTCCTGGATACAGGTAAAAATATCCCCAAATCTAAATTGTAGGGTTCTCTTAAATATGTACCTTAAAACCATTTGTGTACAGAATACAAGTTAAATAGTGACTTGTGCAAATTCACAAACAGTATAGAACCAATCTATGTAATAAAAAGTACATTTCAGCAAAAGATATACCAGCAATAACATGTAATAATCTAAAAGACGACATCAGTACTTACTGATAGTACATACGGAGTACATCATACAAGTAATCCTTTTCTGCTTCATTTTCAATACACTTTTCAACCTAAAAAATGGACAGTTTTATTATCACACAATACATGCCATATTTAAAGCAATAACATTTATTTTATGCACAACACACACTGTACATTAATAAAGGTCTATTATATTATCAGATTAGCAATAACTTCTAAACAATTTTTCTTTTACCCTACCTGCCGATGAGTATATTGCTGGAAAAATACTTTCAAGAATCGTTTCGGCCACTGGTCAATGTAGCACATATTTCCAATGACAAGACCCCCTCCAAAACTAGTAGATTGGAATATCAGATTCTACTACTAATGGTAATGCTGAGGAACCGTTCAGGGGATTGCTATAGCCTGCGCAGATGTTCTGATATTGTGACTGCTTTCCTATTCCCTTCGGCGTAGATTGATGGAAGCTGGCATCATATTACAGTTCTTTGACAAACAAGTGAAATATTCAGAATTCAGCAATAGAACACTCATTACAAGGGTTGAAGAAGAGAACTGTTTATTTATATTAAGCACAATGCCTCAGATCCAAAAATCACGGAAATGTACCTGTGGTTATTAATTTGAAGGTCATATTTTTTAAGGATCTGGTAATACTAAATAAAATGAGAATTTGCTGGTTTTAAGGCACCGACAGTAATGAAAAAACGTACAGGGTTTTTTACTAAATGGCAATTGATCGTGAATTGTAAATTCATTTCAAATGTAATGTCAAAGTAGCTAAACTGGAAGCTACCTAATAATTTAAATTCACTTTGAATTCTAACTTTAGTGAATAATGTGGATATTGGTTTTTGGTGATATCAGGTTTGAGAAATAACGAGTGCATATATTAAGACTATACAAACAAAGATAAAGCACCGCGCTTACAGCAGCAGTGGCTTAGTATCCAACAGCTTAAAATACATAGTAAAAACAAAGAAAAACGTTACCTGCGCTCTGGCCTAGATCCCCATGTGCATTTGAACAAAAAAGGAGGCTCTTTAGTTCTATTCTAAATGGCCATTTGAATATGTAAGCTCACCAGCCACGTCAAGGCAAGCCTCAATAGGTGATATCAGCGTATCTAATGGCTAGTGTAGGAACTCACCTATTGAGGCTTGTTGACGTGGCTGGTGAGCTTTGTTTTTACTATGTATTTTAAGCTGTTGGATACTAAGTCACTGCTGCTGTAAGCGCGGTGCTTTATCTTTGTTTGTATATGAATTTTGTATCACTCAGCTATGTTACATTGCTGCCAGCCTTCCCACGTTTGTCTTATTAAGACTTTATAAGTATGTAGGGGCAGCACCCCTTCCTGTCTCAGAGAAATTTGCCTTTTAGCTGATACCAGCAAGGTGATTTGTATGTTATAGCCCTATTTAGGGTAAAGTATGTAGGGGTTTATAAAACACCCTTTCATGTCTCATTAGAGACGTTTATACTTTGTCTGATACCAGCAAAGTTTATTGAATGTGTAGAAGCCCTATAAAGGGTTAAATGTTAAAGGGTTTATAAAACACCCCTTTCTGTCTCACTTTGTCTGATATCAGCAAAGTGTATTGTATGTGTAGAAGCCCTATAAAGGGTTAAATGTTAAAGGGTTTATAAAATACCCCTTCCTGTCTTATTGGAGACTCTTGGCTGATATCAGCGTATCTAATGGCTAGTGTAGGAACTCACCTATTGAGGCTTGCCTTGACGTGGCTGGTGAGCTTACATATTCAAATGGCCATATATTAAGACTATATTTAAAGGGAAAAAAACTAAACTTTTCTCAAGTAATAAACAAAACCTTGTCATCTTGTTCAGGCAAATTCATTCAAAGCATATTGGTAGTGCTGATGCAATAAAGAGGAAATATCTTATAATTTAAAACAATATTACATCTGTAGAGTGCGACTACCATCACTATCCAACAGGGAGACTACAAGCATTGCATGTAACAAGTGGAGTGATGGGGGACGAATCCCTGTCATCAGAGGTGTAACTAGAAACCACAGGGCCCCAGTGCAAAAATTGACCTTGCCCCTCTATCATAGGCTCATTCTCCCCCCTCCCCCTCTCCAGCCCCTCTATGTGTCACATTCACACAACACCCTCCATGTGTCTCATTCATGCCCCACGGGTGAGTGTGGCATGGTTGGGGGGAGGGGGGTTAGTATGACAGAATTGGAGGGGTTAATGTGTTAGGGTGAGTGTGGCAGTGTGATGGAGAATGAGTGTGACAGGATTGGGGGAGTGAGTGTGTTAGTGCTAGAGTAGGTGAGTGTGATAGGATGAGTATGGCAGAGCGATGGGAGGAGAGTATGCCATGGGTGAGTGTCAGGATTGGAGGAGTTATTGTGAGTGTGGCAGGGTGAAGGGGGGGTGACACAGATACATAGACTGACACACATGCAGATAAACAGACACACAAACTAACAAACATACAGATACACACACATATACACACATGCAGATAGACAATTACAAACATTCAGATACACATAATGACACTCATACAGATACAAACAGTGACACACATACAGATACATAGGGGAGCACATTACAGATACACATACAGAGACACACACGTGCATACATACATACAGACGGAGATACACACACACACACAAAATGTTTTAGTAACCTTCCTGTTTCCTACCTTTTAGGTGCAGGAGGTTGACTTACCTGGGGTCCAGTGGCTCAGGCTGATGGTAGTCAAAGCTCCTACTCTAACTCCCTCCTCTCCTTCTCCTCCCTTGTGATGCTTTATATTAGCTGGGAGGAATCACTTCCTCCCAAGCTGACCTCATCACAGGGGGCACTGTTAAAGTGCCAAAGTGCTGACCGGGCCCCTGGAATCACATTGCATCAGGTGTCCCTAAAAGCATGGGCCACCCGATAGACCCTAAACCCCTCATGGCCGGCGTGCACCCCAGTTGCAGGGGTCCACAGGGCTGCGACCACTGCCTGCCATGAAAATATGGTGGGAGATGAAAAGAGTAAGATAGTGAAGTAACTTTTAAAATCATATGTTTTAAGAAAGATGAGAAAAACATTTTAAAAGGTGTTTATTTTCTCCACATAACTTTTTAAAAATTGCATTTGTACAAAAAGATATTTCAATATCCATAAAAAATACCTTTGTTGAATTGATTGTTGTGAGAAACTGAATATATACGAGGTCTGTCCAGAAAAAGTCCAGTTATTGTTACTATAACAGTAGAGCAAGGAACCTGCAGTAAATTTTATGTTAAGCTTGAACATTCCTCAACGGAAACAATTTGGCTTTTAGGGACGATGCAATGAGTACACAAAAGTGAATAAAAGTGTGGCACAAATGCTTTGAAGATGGTTAAGAGTCTTTTGTAAGATTTTGACTCCCTACAACTTCTGCCTTTTACTGAAGTTAAAATCCTCTTTGAAAGGTAAGAGATTCCAGACCGTTGATAAGATTCAGGTGAATACGATGAGGCAACTGATGGCAAAGAATTTTGCAGAGTGATTTGAACAGTGGAAGAGAATCTGGGAGAAGGTGCCTCCTTTTAAGGGGACTTAGCCGTAAAAGTCCTATGTACAATGTTTCTTGTATTTTCTTTAAAAAATGTCTATTTTTCATATTACATGGCTGAATATTTTCAGGACAGATCTCGTATATAATAAAAAGTGCGACATGCAGCTTAAATAGGTTTATATACTCTATTAATAGCGTCCCAGTGATACACTTATCACTCACAACATTAAAACCACCTGTTTAATATCATGTAGGTCCCCATACTGCTGCCAAAACAGCTCTGATGCATTGAGGCATGGACTCCACAAGACCCCTGAACATGTCCTGTGGTATCTGGTATCAAAACATTAGCAGCAGATCCTTCAAGTTGCAAGGTGGGGATCAGATGTGTTGTTTCAGCACATCCCACAGATGTTAAATCAGATTGCAATAAGGGGAATTTGGAGGATAAGGTAGCATCTTTGTCATGTTCCTCAAACCATTCCCCTACCTACCAAGTTTCCCTATTTAAGAGACACCATCCCTATTCTGAACTCTCATCAATCTGTCCCTCTTTTCATCCTAATTTCCTCTTTTCTAGGAGCTCCAGATTGTTGGTGTGTCTGATACTCCCAGGAATGTGTCTTTAAATTACAATTAATGTGTTTAGAAATCAATGTGTGTAAATAAGATTAATTGTTCTTGTCCTAAATTACATTTTAATTGCACAAGTTCTTATTAGAAAGTCGTCTAAAATGTCTCAGAACAGAACCCCCGCCCTGCCCTCTCCCCCAAGTGACACACTAAAATACAGTGTACCTCTTTGTCCATTTTAAATGTTAGGTGGTTTGTATCCCTGAATTTATTGTGCAGTGTGACAGGGGACACAGGCTGCTCACTGCTTACTAGACATGCCCCTACTCGCGGTATAGCGAGTAGGGGCTGAATTTACTAATACTAAGTAATCTTTACTTAGTATTAGTACATTTGGCTGAAAGACCAATTTAGGTCTTTCAGCCTTTTGGTAGATAGCTCCCTAATACCGTGGGAATTAGGGAGTTATCTACTAAGTGGCTGCTACTGTTATTTTAAGTTATTTTAAGTTATTTCCCTATCCACATTTGTTTGAAGGGCACCTGTCTTACTCTTAACCCCATTTTACTTCTTTTTGCAGTCCTCTAGCCCTTTCCAGGACTTTTTAGAGCCATTTTTGTGCCCAAAAGTTCAGGTCCCCATTGACTTCAATGGGGTTCGGGGTCAAGTTTGATCCCGAACAAGACATCCTGGTGTCCACTCAACTCTACTGCCTAATATACCACCCCTTGAAAGGTGCTATTGCAATGATATAATCAATCAATGTTATTCACTTCACCCGTCAGTGGTTTTGGCTGATCAGTGTCATTTTGCCAACAGAAAGACTGCAATGTTTAATGTGTGCTCCCCAAAGGATGCAGGTTTGTTATAAAACCCCGATTTTCATACACTGACAAATGCAAGCACAGATGCCAAAGGGGTAACACTATATTTATCATCTTCCACAATCTGTTGATTTAAAACAGTTTTGTGTCTGTTTTCACTGTATTAATGCAATAAACGTTATCATCTATTAATGTGCTGGATTGATATTAAAGACATTTAATATATTCTGCAAATATATTCTCTTTTTGCCAATAAATCACATATACTTTCTTGAATTACATAGTCAACTACGTCAAATTTACGCCATACATTACCCATTGACAACTTCACTAGTATATTCAAAATGGAGGGTCGAAGTTCAACAAAGGTAAATGTGTAAAAAATATTACTACAGGGAGATTAATAAAATAAGATATCCTGGAGAGGGAAGGTGTCAGGAAGACCCCCTTTCTCCAGACTGGACAAGGGATGAGAATGTTTTGTGACAAATAACATGGTTTGCTAACATTTCACTAGGTTTTAATAAAGTATTTTCAATTTAATCCTCTTAGAAGATCAATTAAATACCTCCCTTTAAAGCAATATAGGTATAGATTGTAAAAGGCCTACACAGAGTACATTTTATATAGTATTTTATTAATTTCTGCCGCATTTCTGTCCAGAGGCCAACTGGGTTTCATTTTCCTTGTATGTACATTGTACAGTGAGAACGTTGAATGTGAATCTGAATATAAAAATGGGGCAGATGTAATACACATTTTCAGGTTCTGCAGTCTTATAGAATCTCACAGCGAATGAGCAGATTTTCAGTGATTTAGAGAGAATGGGTATTTAATTGAGTTAAATAGATGGACGATTCTCAACATCAATTGGCAGATGCTTCCAAACTCGGGGTGAATGGCGAAATTGCTAGGTCTGAATGGGTAGATTCGCAGAGAATGTTAAAGGGGACATTTAATGCCTATAACAAGTTATGATCCCACCCATAACGGCAGTCTAGAACCAAAATACCAGCAAGTTCTCTCTGCACAACCCTAGACGATCTCTTCAGCCTTTTTTGGGCCTCGTCACTGAGGTTTAGCAGATACCCTTCTAGGCATAGTGAGCACAGGGTCATCTGGATTACCCTTTTAACTTGGGGGGAGCCAAGCTAATGCATTACAACAAAAACAAAGAATATGAGAACCCTGAGATTGGACAAAGGCTTAGAGAAAATCAGTAGCTTGGCCTTCGGTAAATTCCCGCTGTTTTGTAACACTTTTCAGTCAATTCTTCAGGCATAGACACAAAGTCGACAAATAGCAGAAAGGACTTCCCACAGGTGGTCCTTTTGCTCTCCACACATAGCTGCTGGCACTGAATAGGAAGTATAGGAATAGAGTAACTGACATCGCACAGTTCAGACGCTGGCATACTGGCAAGATGGTACTGGAATGGAAGTCAGGTGAGTATCCATAGTTATTTGACTTTGTATAAACTTCACTAAGTATCTCTGTGTTATATGATGTATTCAATGAATTCAGAGCTAATTTAAAGGGACACTATAGTTATCATAGCAACTACAGCTTAACATAGTTGTATGGTGAGTATAGTCAGTCCCTGCAGGTTTTTTTAATGTAAACACTGCCTTTTCAGAGAAAAAGGCAGTGTTTACCTTACAGCCTAGAAACACATCCAGTGGGCCACTTCTCAGATAGATACTAGAGTGCTTCTTGGCGATGCTGTGCTTACCCCATAGAGATGCACTGATTCAATGCATCTCTATGAGTAGATGCTGATAGGCCAGGGTGGCATTTGGTTCCACCCCCAGCCCACCTCTTTAACTGAGATGATCAGAATTGACAATCTCAGTAAATCCAATCAATGGGAAAGCTTTGTGATGATGCCAGCCAAGGAAGTGGATCAGAGGTGGAGTAAGCACCTTCGGATCTGCACGGCGCTGGAGATAAGGGAAGATTTTACTATATTTAATGGGGGCAAATGGGGTTCAGGAGGGCTATATAGTGATATTAATGTTAATACACGTTTTTGATGACAAGGTCACATTAAGATTCTCTAAATGAATGCTTAACTTTCTAAATTAAATTGGAAGATCCTCTCAGATTTCTAGGTTGGGATGAGTAGATTATCTAGGTTTATCTGCCGATTCACAAGGTTAAAAAGCAGATTTTCAGATTGAGGGACAGACTGCTGAGGGTTTAGGACAGACTCTTACAATGAGTACATTGAAATTCTCAAAATAAGAGCAACAAGTCTCAGTGTCACTCACTCTCCATGACATTCAAATACATTTTGGCTATACCCGAGCCTTTTAACAGGAGCTTTTCCTTTTAACATATTGAAACAAAAGTATGTGACGAGTTGAAGTTACAATAAATGCAGTCGCACACGCTCCACGCGCTACAGTAGCATCTTCACAATATGCATAAGATCAATATATATTAATATATAAACAAGTTAAACAGAAATGGATACGGTCCTAAAGGAATATATCTGGCAATGGAAGCTAGATAGATTTTGCGGTTATTCCAAATGAATGTAACCTGGTCCAGTCTTTAACATGAGAACAGGCTTTAATAAATGCATCACACAGAATAAAGATAATATCTTCCTGTAGAAGGTTTTGTTTTTTAACATGGTTTCCTGGGTAACTTATTTTTTTCCATGTTGTCAGGCTGTGTATAATAAATAACCCTATGGGGATTGCATGAATCTGATTGAAGCCAGTATCCCATCTGTCTCTTAGTGTTTTCTATTAAAAATCTTTCATCAATTTTTAACAGGTCAAAGCCCATAATGAATTGTTGGACCATTATACATCCTATCACTAATTCTAACGCACTCCATAAAAAAATAAACAGTATTGACCCAGCTAAAGCAATCAAACTGGAATGTATCCACAACAGAATTGTTTATGCAAAAGGGCAAATCCATAATTTAGCCGAAGCTAAAGCTATCTGACTTTAAGTCCATCTGCATCTGCTCAAGCAGGAATTACTGTTTGAAAATGACTTGAGGTCAAATCAATATATCAGTTCTATTGATGTGTCTAAGTAAAGGTTTCATGTCTTGTAAGATGGAAAATTGCAGGAAAAATAACTTTGATGAGACAGATAACGAAGAATAAAAAAAAAAAAAAAAGCTGAACTGATCATATGAAAAGTGTAGATCCACACTACATGAAAATATTTCCGAATGAAATATATTTTAAGGGACAACTCAGGAGAGGGTTTCCCAGTAATTTGTAAAGTATTTATAGAAGTGATAAAAAAAAAAAGGAATTTGAAAAACAAAAGATACAATATCCAGTATTTATCTCTTAAAAAGTCCCTTTTTTGAAACAAATCACTGGACTCTGATCCTCCTCCAGCGCAACACATGATCCACTTAAACTAGACTATGTCACAAATATTGGATTTCACCCAGGAATATTTGGGTGAAAAGTTAGATTTATAGTGTGCCTGTCAGGACTATAACAACTACTACTCGTTTCACGCCTAGGGATGCGCTGTGGTTGATATGTTAACTCTCTGACGTTGGCAATAAAGCCAGCATGTCGACATTACAGTGGAGATTTTACTTGTATGGGGAAGCGTCCCCAAGTAGGGTAAATGAAAGGAGCAAAGTGTGGAGGAGTAAATTGCGGACCAGAAGTGGGTGTTACAGAAGAGTAACACTCACAAAGCTGAGAAAAGGGCGCTGGATCAGTGATAAGGTAAGTATATCTCCGAATTTTACATTGAATATATGTATCCCTGCGATATATGATTTACTCAATGTATTTGGAGCCGATTTATGGGAAGTGAAAAAAACAACTAATCCCTGGTTCACTTTATAGGAACACTGTAGGCACTATAACAACTTCATGTGTGTTGTTATAGTGCCTTTAGTCCAATTCTTTCGTCCTATCCCCAAATCCCTTTATTTTACTAATTAGAAGGCTTAGAAGCTCGGCCTTCGGGCTCTCTGGGTATGAGAGCTGGGGAAAAACAGTCCATTAACATATTTTGTGTTAAATGCTGTCAAGGTCTGCTATAGAGAATCATTGTACTCAATGATTCTGTAGGGCAGAATTGTAGGCGAGTGTTGCGCATGCGCCTTTGATCCCCAATGCTCCACTATGAGAAGCATTGTATTGGGCCGTCATCCTGGTGGGAGACTCTGCGCTGGAGAGAAGTTGACTAATTTATTTTTAATAGTTTAACACTGGAGGGGGCCTGAACAAAGTGGGCACATCAAGACTGTAGCGTTATGAATAAAGATGTGTATTCCTAATGCTAAAGTGCTCCTTTAAATGTAGATAGATTGTCTGCACCTTACAATATCCAGAAGAAGTACAACAGTTTGTCAAGTATATATGTGTTGCTTATGAGGAACACCTATAAAAAGCATGCAGCCCCTTCATGCACTCATCCTACTGCTAGCAAAAACTATGCAAAACTACTGTAAATTCAGTGTTTGAGGACTGTGTGATTTCATGATGGTTTCTATAAGTGCCCATGTGCAGAACCATCACTCATGTCATTCATGACACTAAGGATGAGCTCATCGGCCACCCTCACATTCACATTGGTGAAGCTCCTCTGTGCACTTTACTTCTGTGTGTGCTGAGCAAAATTCATGCATTTTTCTTGTAAAACACTAGGATACTGAGAGAAAAAACCTCAGGCTCTACCCAGAAGAACTGTCTGACAAGGGACAGCAGAAAAGACCTCCCACAGGCAGTCCTTCTGCTCTCTGCACTATGGTAACAGCATTCACCAGCAAAATATATGGATTTCTCACTAAGGCACAGGCATGTCTCACATGCGCAGCATACCTCCACCACTCATCTTTTATTTCCGAAGGATAGGCCATGACATTTTGATAAATCTCAATGCCATGTGACTCATTCTGACAGTTAAGAGGTATTCACAAGTGCATTTGAGTTAGAAATGTTTCAAAACTATTGTAACCGGAGTCAGTTCAGGAGGAGATATGATGGGCAGATTACTTTTTTAATTATAATTTTTACAATGTTTGTTGAAAGGTTTCAAATCACATTTTACATGAGGTTTATGTATAAGACATCAAAGTCATATAGTATATTATAACCAATGCCGTACATACCTAATTGCTTTTTAATTTTAATTACTGCCAAAACTCCCATTTTTTTGTTTTTTAAATAATCCCCAGGGGGAATAATGTTCTAAGTTATCAAAGGTTTAGAAAATAAAACTAGTATTTACTTATAGGGTTATTCACTAAATCCCAAATTTTGCAATCTAGATTTAATTTAGGAAAAATTTAAAATAAATTTTTTGTCCACTCCCATGAGACTCATTCTCTGCCACTCCAGAGATTTTGGACTGCAGCTCCCATTACATTAAGCGAGTCTGGTACAATGCTGTGTAAAGGAAATATTATTGATTTGAATAATATTAAATATGGGAATCCAGTAATATACCAGTGATCCAGTTATATTAATAAAACATTCTATATTTGGGATGGATTGCACACATATTTATCACCTTTCTTTCATTTAATGTTTTCTTTGTAAAAGTCCCAGTATCTATTTCCCAATGCACCCAGTTATTATAATTCCTAATTTATTTATTTTTAGCTACTGATCGGATCACTTAAAGGGACAATTCAAAATACCTCTCCTAGGATATAATAATAATCTGACGGATGAGGTTTATGCCACCAGGAACAGTCTGAAAATTTGAAATTACTGGAAAATAAATACTCGATTATCAATTCAATTATAAATCTACTTTCCAACATGGAAATGTAAGTTCTTTAGATGATCAATTACATGACCATTTTCATTATCAAGAGATGGTTAAATTGTGGCCCATTCTAGTATTGAAAACATTTGAATTTCTGTGTTATATTAATCTATAGAAATTATACTTTTCATCGGCAGCACCAGCATTTACTACACTATATCCGTTACGCTTGGGTGTACAACATATTACAGGCCTTACAACAAACATGCTTGGATAAAGTTAACCCTAAAAATGTTAGAGAAAGTCCTTCTGGTTCATACTGCATCACAGTCTTTTCAGAAAAAAACCCCCAAAAACCAGCATGCCCCTCAGTAGGTTAATTTAAAAAATTCAGTTTCCCCATATAGCACTCACATAGTTAATGCATGGCAATATTAGCAATTCTCTCTTAAATAAATATATTTATTATAGGTTTATGGCTATATGACCTTTTTTCGCAAGCCTGTGCGATTTAAGTTCATATGTTTTTTTTGTTTTTTTTATTAATTTGCTAAAAGAAATAATAAAAAAAATAAAAATAAATAATAATAATAATAATAATAATAATAATAATAATACACAACTGGGTTCATTCACTAAACAGTGAATTGCAGTCAACAGAAAATTACATTTCAAAATTTAGGCCAAAATAGATGATTTAAAAAAAAATTAAAAAAAATACCCCAGTCACAGTTTGATTGTTATAGTCTGCATGTTGCAATTCAGTTTTCAATACACTATTTAATTAATAACCCCACCTCCCATAATAAAAGTGAGATATCTTGCAAGCCTAGCACTTGCCCTGTGACTGATGTTTGCCTGGTAAATGCATTCACTACAAAGATCCATAGTGTCTCTCCTTTGGTTAATTGATAGCACAGAGTCCATAGTTCAAGACGTGTGATGTGAACAGGGCTCCTTCCTGGGATATGGACTGGGGGCTGCCTCCTTAAAGGTGCCCTGGTATGTACTAAGTGTCAGCAGGCACTGGGCAGCCATGCTATGAAAGCAGGGGGGTTCTTACCTTGTGTCTGAATTCCCTGGCTATTTTCCTCTCCATTGTTTGGAGGCTGCAGGGAGCACCTGACAGGTGGATAATGTATCAAAACATGATCCCTCTGCTTCTCCTAGCAAACTGAATATGCAAAGCAGCCTGTGAGAGACACACAAGAGAAACTTTCTCATTGGTCAATCAGGGACAGATTCCTGGTGCTTAATGAAAGCTGCCTTGCCATTGGTCAGAATTATCCCTCTTCCCTAGGACTTGCTCTCAAGGCTTGGGTTAACCCTATTGACCCCTTCACTGCCAGAGAAATGTATCAACAGGGATCACATTATCTCACATAGGAATCATTGTTTTATTTTATTATGGAAGTAAAATGTATCCATTACTTGTTTTGATAACTGCACTTAGTGCATTTTACTTCCTAAATAAATATTAAAACTGCTACAGACAAAGCTTTAAACACAAGGCCGCATTTAGAGCTTAATAAATGCATTATAACTATATTATAACTATAGAAGAGATCCCTCTCTACATACCTCAAAACATAATGCACGTGTCATGGTTGATTATATATTTCCTACATGTTCTATGTTAAATTTTGTATTTATTGTGTATTAATATTGTTTTTGTATTTTATTGTACCCTAATGTAACAATGCAATGATTTGTGGACCCAGGACAAATTGAGATTTACTATTTTATATATTTTTTTCAATAAAAAAAAATTTTGTAGTGATATCACTTGTTTTACCGCTATTTTTACAGCTTGCTTTATTCATACATAATATTTCAATTTCTAGCACTATGTAGAATTTTATTGGATATATTTATTGTCTTTATGTATATTAAGTGTATGTAAGGGTGTCTGAATGGGGTTTATACATGTCAACAAAATGGGGAACATTTGTACGTGTTATTCTTTTGTTTGTTCACATTTGCTACTTTACTTACAATGCTCATATCTTCAGATACATAAAGCAATCTAAAATGGTGAAGTTTTGTACATATTTTTATACATAATGTGACAAAATAACAACATAATGAATGACTTTGCTGCAGATGTAATTCTGTTGTAATATTTTTATACAAACACAAAGTTGCTAATTGTGTTGCCGATTTTCTCACATTTAACCCCTTAAGGACTGGGGCAAATTGTACAAGTTCTGAACTAAAACAAAACCTAGAAATTGGGCTATTTGTCTGTTCAACTTTAATTAAAATTTTTCTTATTATGTGCACCCACACTTATAATATATAATTCTGTTCAAGAGATATAGGGCTTTCATTTCACATCAAATATCTATGTAATATATTTAATATGAATAAAATCAAAATAAATTAAGACATTTATTTTTCTGCATGTCATTGTAACTGTGAATGTCACAATACTGTTAACTTTTACTGCACTAAAATACACATATTTGTATGTTGTGATGCCTCTCCCCTTTAACTCCTCCCTCCCCCATCCCCTCCGTCCCCTCCAAGTACAGGTTCTATAGTGTTTTGCAAAGTTACAGGGTCCAATAAAGAGCTTGCCCATTTTGTTTTTTTACCCATTAAACTTTGCCAGATTGGTTTACTGGACCTATGTTGCCTTTAAGACTGACTGTATGGCAGCCCAGAAATGGAAATGACCTCCATCAATAGTAGACAACCCAGAGTATTCAAAATGGGGTATGTCCAGTCTTTTGTTTTTTGTAGCCACCTAGTCACAGACCCTGACCAAATGTAGTATTCATATTTGGGTTTTTTTCTTTACACAAAAACTGCACTTTCACAGATTATATACTTGTCGTTATACATTTTACTGCTCTAAAACACTCATATTTGTGGTCAGTGCTGTCTCACAAGTACAACAGTATGGCTTGTCAATTTCAGTTTGCCAGATTGGTTTGCTTGGCCTAGGTTGCCTTTGAAACCATATGGTCAATTATAAGATTGCAAATTAAATTCTCTGGTATTTCTGCCTGACTTTTTAGGCAGGTCCCCCAATATATAGTTAATAACATATTATAATTATATATAAATGATATATAGATTGATAGATAGATAGATAGATATATAGATAGGTAGATTTATCTATCTGTCTACACATATGTAAATGTGATTCTAAATGTCTAAATTATATATACAGTTTTAAGAAAAAGTATGTGAACCCTTTGGAATGATATGGATTTCTGCACAAATTGGTCATAAAATGTGATCTGATCATCATCTAAGTCACAACAATAGACAATCACAGTCTGCTTTAACCCCTTAAAACCGGAGGACGTACAATTACGCCCTCTAATAGGCGGCTCTAAACGCCGCCGGGCGTAATTGTACGCCCTCCGGTTTTTGTTAACTTACCCGGTCGCCGGCGGTCCCACGCCGGCGATCGCGGTGGGGGGGACTCCCAGGGAGCCCCCCGCGGCACATCCGTCCTCGTTGAAGCCCCCCGGCCATGTGAGAGTGGGGTCCTAGCGAGGACCCCACAATCACATGGCCGGGTATAGCTGGCTTCTGTATTGCCGGCAGGGGGGCTGCCTGTAATGACAGGTGGTCCCCCTGCTGGCTGAAAATAAAATAAAAATAAGTTAATGGTGTAAAAAAAAATAATTATATATACTTAGATCATATATATATATTATATATATATGATCTAAGTATATATATACACATATACATACACACACATACACCGTCTAGGTGTATTTTACTATTAATATATATATAATTATATATATATATTAATATCAAATTACACGTAGACTGATACTGATTAAATATATATATAATTATTGTTATATATATATTTATATATAATATAAAAAAAAAAAAATGTAAATACGTTAAAAAATAAAATTAAAAAAATAATTAAAAATAAATAATTAAAAAATATATAGATGTGTGTTATTTCGTTCTAACTGTATTGTGAAATTAATATATATATATATATATCAAAATACACGTAGAACGAAATAATATATATCTATATACATAAATATATACGTATATATCACTATATATATACCTATATATAAATAAAAATATTTAAAAAAAATTATATAGATATATACATATATATACACATACGTATATATATACATATATTAATTCTACATATATATTTATGTAATATTTTTACATAATTAGGTATCTTAATTAATTACAATTAGCAGGACCTGCCTGACAACCCATGCCGAAAGTAAAGGGAATTTAATTTGCTAGCACTATATTTAACCCTATAACTTTCCGAGACACCATAAAACCTGTACATGGGGGGTACTGTTCTACTCGGGAGACTTCGCTGAACACAAATATTAGTGTTTCAAAACAGTAAAATGTATTACAACGATGATATCGCCAGTAAAAGTGACGTTTTTTGCATTTTTCACGCACAAACAGCACTTACACGGACGATATTATTGCTGCGATACTTTTTACCGTTTTGAAACACAAATATTTGTGTTCAGCGAAGTCTCCCGAGTACAACAGTACCCCTCATGTACAGGTTTTATGGTGTTTTCAAAAGTTACAGCGTCAAATATAAGGCTTGCGTTTCATTTTTTTCACATTAAAATTCGCCAGATTGGTTACGTTGCCTTTGAGACCCTATGGTAGCCCAAGAATGAAAATTACTCCTATGATGGCATACCATTTGCAATAGTAGACAACCCAAGGTATTGCAAATGGGGTATGTCCAGTCTTTTTTAGTAGCCACTTAGTCACAAACACTGGCCAAAATTGGCGTTTTTTGCATTTTTCACACACAAACAAATACTAACGCTAACTTTGGCCAGTGTTTGTGACCAAATGGCTACTAAAAAAGACTGGACATACCCCATTTGCAATACCTTGGGTTGTCTACTATTGCAAATGGTATGCCATTATGGGTGTAAATTTCATTCCTGGGCTACTATACAGTCTTAAAGGCAACGTAACCAATCTGGCGAATTTCAATTTCAAATGTAACGTGCTATATTTGACCCTGTAACTTCCCAAAACGCCATAAAACCTGTACATAGGGGGTACTGTCTTACACGTGAGACTTTACTAAATACAAATATGTGTATTTTATTGCAGTAAAATCAAACAGTATTATGACACTGACCTTTAAAATGCAATTTAGAACTAAAAAAATCAAGAAAATCGTATTTTCTCCCATTTTTTTCATATTAAATTATGTTTCATAGCTAAATATTTGATATTAAATGAAAGCCCTGTTTCCCCTGAATAAAATGATATATAACAAGGGTGGGTGCATTTACAATGAAAGAGGTGTATTACGGTTGGACAGACATGTAGCGCAAATGCCAGGTTTTGTTTACATTTTGTTTTGTTCACAATGTGTACATTTGGCTCCGTCCTTAAGGGGTTAACTAATAACACACAAAGAATTAAATGTTGCCATGTTTTTATTGAACACACCATGTAAACATTCACAGTGCAGGTGAAAAAAGTATGTGAACCCTTGGATTTAATAACTGGTTGAACCTCCTTTGGCAGCAATAACTTCAACCAAACGTTTCCTCTAGTTGCAGATCAGACGTGCACAATGGTCAGGAATAATTCTTGACCATTCCTTTTACAGAACTGTTTCAGTTCAGCAATATTCTTGGGATGTCTGGTGTGAATCGCTTTCTTGAGGTCATGCCACAGCATCTACTAAACAGTAATTTTAGTGCTGAACAATTTTTTGGTTTTATTAAAAACACCTAATCTAGGCAAAAAAAATAATGGGGGTTTAGTTACAGTATATGATCATACATTGCATAAGCCTGCCACAACGCCAATGGACCCCATCTTAGATGATGATCAGATCACATTTTATGACCGATTTGTGCAGAAATTCATATCATTCCAAAGGGTTCACATACTTTTTCTTGCAACTGTATATATATATATATATATATAGTATTTATATATATAATTTATATATAACAAGCTTATTTTATTAATTATACATTGGGGAATCTGCCTGACAACCCAGGTAATCTGTCAATCACCCCTATCCGAGTCATGTGATCGCAGTGTCATCGCATTCACATAACTTCAATGGGCAGGATTGGCTGCAGAGGGGCTGCCAATTATCAGGCAATCCTTCTGATCGTGGAGGGTAAGCATCCTGGCTGACAGGAGGGCTCAATAATTAGG